TCAGGGCCCTCCATCCTTGAGTTGCTGGCTTGATTTCCCCGAAAGGAAATCTTCTCAAAGTGACCACATAGGTGGACTTGCAACAGAGCACTAGTGACCGGGCTCTCCACCCCCCCAGGACAGTCACCCCAGGCCAGACACCCTGTCTGCATGGTTTTTGTTTTGTTTTTGTTTTTGTTTTGAGACAGGAATTCTGGAGGCCAAATTTGGTTAAAATTTATAATCCTAGTGCTTCAGCATCCCAGGTTCAGGGTTAGGCTATCAAGACTAGAACAGTGGTGGCGCACACCTTTAATCCCAGCATTCAGGAGAGACAGGTGGATCTCTGTGAGTTCGGGGCCAGCCTGGTCTACCAAGGGACTTCCAGGACAGGCTCCAAAGCTACAGAGGAAACCCTATCTTGAAAAACAAACAAACAAAAGACCACCCTAGGTAATAAACTGATACACTGTCTCAAAATCAGGGCAGGGGAGGGGCTGTTGGTACGTGCATTGCATCACAGCAGCAGGGCCGTGGTGGTGGCGCAGCCTTTAATCCCAGCACTCGGGAGCCAGAGGCAGGCAGATCTCTGTGAGTTCGAGACCAGCCTGGTCTACAAGAGCAAGTTCCAGGACAACCTCCAAAGCCACAGAGAAACCCTGTCTCGGAAAAAAAAAAAAAAGGAAGTCTTTTCTAGAAGCCCATAAAGCTCCATTGCCCCCCTCTCACGCACCCTCAAAACTTCCCCAATGAGGGGCTGGGGGCATGGTCGGGTGGAGCCCCGCCTACATGCCCAGTGAAGGGCTGGGAGCCTGGAGAACTTACCAACTATGTACCAGCCTTGCGTTTTATCTCTAGTACTGGGAATACAAAATTCGGTGGGAGGAGGTTAGGTGCTGGCTGTGAAAGACTAAAGAATTGCCGTTGGTTCGCAGGAAGGCAGACCTGTAGGGAAAAGGGTCCAGCCAAAGAAACACACCCTGAGCAGAGCCAAAGGAACACACTTTGTCCCTGGAATCAGAGCCAGTGGAAGAAATGCACCCTGGCCCAAAATTGGTGCCAAGGCTAAAAAAGACCAGAGAAAGAAACACACTTTGGCCTTAAGCCAAATCTGACATCCTGTGCAGAAAACTAACCAATCCTCGAGCAGACCTCTAGCCAATCTGAGCCCATCACTAAAATCTAACCAATCACCACTCAGGAAGCCCTATATAAACCCTGTGTCTGTTCAGCTTGTGGCTGCGCTACCCTGCTGTCCTCTGCCACTGTGGCAGGCAATCTCCTAGCTTCTTCCCTCCGGGTGAGGCAGAACAGAGGGAGCAGGAGCGAAGTTGTTACACTCCCTGGAGCAGAGCTGAACTGTAGCAACTTCGCCCTGCCTGAGCAAAACTGCTACACTAGGTGAACATCCCCAGCTGGAAGACCCTCTCGTGCCGGAGCAGAGCTGGAAGACCCTCTCCAGCCGGAGCAGAGCGGATACACTGGGGAAGCCTTTCCCTGAAGTAGGACTGTAAGCTGCTAAGCTTACTGCAACCTGTGGTAGTCCTTGGCTCCCAAGCTCCAGGATACCTTTCCACCTGAGCTGTGTAACACTCAGTATTCTGTGACTCCCGAGTGCCAGAATACCTGACCCATCCGATCCGACCGAAATGCCTACAGAAAGGAGATAAAGTCATCTTCTGACTCCTACACTAAGTTCATGGCAAGCAGGCCCTTGCATCATGTAGAATGCACACATGTACACACACAGAGAAAGACACAATTAAAACAAAACGGCAATTAATCCTTGAAATTGCCCCCCCATACTGGACAGAAATGAGTTTCTGACCCAGGTGGGCTGACACTCCAGAGCTGACTTGGCAATCAAGTACAATTTTCCTACACATACGCAACTTAGATTATGTTTAATTTCTAGGGCCAGAGAAAGGACCAGACTCAGAGGGTAAAGGGGGCTTGATGCCAAGCCTGCTGATCTGAGTTCAATCCCAGTATCTGAAAAGCAGGAAGCAAAGACAGACATCTGTCCTCCAAAACTCACTGTTGCTCGGGTACACGGCCCATGCACATTAAAACAATTTACTATGTAACAAAAATTGTAGTTTATTTCATATATTGGGGATAGAAAGAGATTATTAGGGATCCAGTTTAATTAATTGAAGACACTTAAAGATTTATTTATTTATTATGTATACAATGTTCTGCCTGCATATTCCTGCAGGCCAGAAGATGGCATCAGATCTCATTACACATGGTTGTGAGTCACCATGTGGTTGCTGGAAATTGAACTCAGGTCCTCTGAGAGAACAGCCAGTGCTCTTAACCACTGAGCCATCTCTCCAGTCCAGGATACAATGTAATCAAACTGTAAATGCGGTCTGTCTCAAAATACCTACATTTTTGTTGACAGTGGGATTAACATACATGTTAAATATTAATGTAAATGTTTATAATTACATTTTGTCTACTGTGGAGGGAGCGTAGGTGTGAGGGCATGCACATGCTATGACAGGGCTGTCAGCTCTGTCCTTTCCCGTGTGGGTCCCTAGGATCTGATGGGCCGTCAGGCTTGGCAGCAAGTCCATTTACCCACTGGCCCTAAATATATATTTTGAGAGGGTATTTGTTACACAGCAAAAGCTGACTAATACCCAGACATACCTTATATTCCTGCCTTTATTTTTTTATTTTCCTGACCTTGCCCAGGGGACACCTCTCTCCTTAGCTTCTCAGTGCAGACATGGCAGCCACTGACATTTCACCTGGGCTTTTCCTCCTTCAGCAGGGATGGAGACCGCAGCTCCCCCTACACACACGTGCTGATGCCTCTGCATCCTGCTACCATGCAGCTTACAATTTTCTAAAGCACCTAGAACTTACCCTGAGTCTGTGGCCTCCCTAGTGGCAGGCTCACAGACAAATGTCTCCATTTGCCAAGCTCATCGTCCAGTGAGGGTCCAACCCACCCTGGATTTCCTGGCTGGTGTCCCAGGATTTTGGTCTCCTCATTTTCTTTTCTTTTGTTTCAGACATCGGCTGGCTTGGAGCTCACTTTGTAGACCAGGCTGACTCCAAACTCACAGAGAGTCACCTGTCTCTGCCTCACTAGCCACAGTGCCGGGTTGTTAAATTATGATGTTAGATTGTAGGTTGAGTTCCTAAATTCTGGGAGTGAGTTTGACACAGCTCCAGAATCGACACCCCAAAACTGTCCTCCCTCAAATACAGAGCCAGGATCCAGGATCCAAATTCCTGAAAGACGGTTCCCTCTCCAGATTCCTGAATCCAGGATCCAGGGTCCCCCACACCCAGAGAGACAGTTCCCTTTCCAGATTACCGAATCCAGGATCCTGAAATTCAGGATCCACACTTTGGAATGCAAACTCAGGACCCAAATCTCCCTGAAATCCAGGCTCCGGATTCCACCTTGTCCAGAGATCCATGCTCCGGAATTCGGAATAAAGCCCAGTGTTCTGGGCCAAAACTCAGCGACATCCTTTGGAATGAGATTTATTTATTTTTATTTAAAACTGGCGCCAAAATGCAGCCTGGGCGGGGACAGCGGGCCAGGGAATTGAGGATAGAGGGGTGGGCCCAGAGAGAGCAGGGAATTCCAGGGCTGAGGGTCTAGGGGTCCGAATTTCCTATTCACAGCCCTGCACCCCAAAGCAGACAGCAGGCAGCTACTTTGTAGCGCCCCAGGAACCGGGGGCGGGGAGGGCACCAGCTCCGCGGCATGCTGGCGTCTTCCGGGCCAGCCCGAGACTGTCGTGGACCTCAGCTCCCACGCTGAAGCCAGGGGTCCTCCACTCCCCAGCCCTGTGTTGGGAGCCAAAGAGATGGGCAGGCCGGCGGATCCGGGGTGAGGGGACACCCTGGTTGCAGCTGTCACTGCAGCTGTCACCGCCCCACCCGCTTAGCGCCAAAATTCGAAAATCGCAGGACGTTTCCCAAAGTGGGAGGAGAGGGTCCCGCCCCATCCAGGGCACCGCGGGGTTTTCTGGGACTTATAGTCCAAGACGTGCAGGGGTGGGTGCTGAGGGAAGAGGGTGGGAAGTCAACGCCAAGCTTTTAGGAGGCAGAAGTCGGGCGTCCTGGGTTATGGCGTCAGAGGCGGACAGGGTGACAGCTGGTCCCGACGGTGTATACAGTCCGACTGTTAGGGGAAAGCTGTACACACGGAATCACAGTTGTAGTCTTGCTTTCTGCTGCGCTGTCCACAGTCTCTCCATCCTCCTGCCTCAGCTTTCCCAGTGCTGGGAAGACAGTGGGTATTTGCTTTGAGGTGGCACTTTAAATTTTTTTTAAATTCCATTTCTTTGCTGCATGTGTTTCTGTGTGTTTGAAGGTCAGAGGATAACTTGTGTGAGTCGGTTTTCTTCTATGTAGGGATAGAACCAGGATCCAACCTCGATCATTAGGCTTGGCAGCAGCTGCCTAGCCTCTGAGACATTCCGCCTGCTATTGCTATCTTTTTGTTTGATTTTTTTGTTTGTTTGTTTTTAGAAACAGGGTTTCTCTGTCGCTTTGGAGGCTGTCCTGGAACTAGCTCTGTAGACCAGGCTGGTCTCGAACTCACAGAGATCCACCTGCCTCTGCCTCCCGAGTGCTGGGATTACAGGCGTACGCCACCAACGCCCGGCTTTTGATTTTTTTTTTTTTTTTTTTTTTTTTTTTTTGGTTTTTCGAGACAGGGTTTCTCTGTGGCTTTGGATGCTGTCCTGTAGACCAGGCTGACCTTGAACTCACAGAGATCCGCCTGCCTCTGCCTCCCGAGTGCTGGGATTCCGGCTTTTGATTTTTAAATGTACTTAATTTACCATTCATTGCTGTGCGTGCTTGTACGTGGGCTCATATGGAAGTCATAACGCAGCCTGCATCCCCTACTAGGGATTGAACCCGGGAGGAGGCCAGATCCTGGAAACTACATCTCCTGGCACGCTGCCTCTTGGACTACCGATCCCAACGTGCTCCGCGCCAGAAAGAAGACTACAAGTCCCGGCTGACGCCGCGCGGCGGGCAGCGGCGCCATCTTCCGCGGCGCGGATTGAATGAGCCGCTGCACCCGAGCAGCCGAGGGGATCCGCGCGCCGCCGCCTCCGCCATGGCGTCCCTGCCGCCCCGCGCAGGGCCCGCCACGCCGCTTTCGCCCGCGCGCCTGTCTCGGCTACAGGAGAAGGAGGAGCTGCGCGAGCTCAACGACCGCCTGGCGCACTACATCGACCGCGTCCGCGCTCTCGAGCTGGAGAATGATCGGCTGCTGCTCCGGATCTCCGAGAAGGAGGAGGTGACCACGCGCGAGGTACGTAGGTCGTCACCGGAGATGCGGGTGGCCGACCGACAGACTCCGGTGACAGGTGCAATAGGCCGAGCTGTGCCCAGTGAGGACCCTGTGGACCGGTGCAGACAGCTGAGCCCTGCCCCCCGGGGACCCCAGGGACTGGTGCATAGGGCTGAGCCCTGCCCCCCGGGGACCCCAGGGCCTGGTGCATAGGGCTGAGCCATGCCCAATGCAGACCCCCCCCCCGGGGCAAATGCAGACAAGTAAGCTCTCCCCACCGGGGACCCCAGGGACAGGGCCAGAGAGCTAGCCCTGCCCAATGCAGACCCCCCTGGGGCAAATGCAGACAAGTAAGCTCTGCCCACCAGGAACGGGTACCTAGGGCTAAGCCCTGCCCATCAGGAGACCCCAGGAACAATTTCGGAGCGCCGAGCTCCGTCCACCGGGGGCGGGGAGCCATCTCCCCTACAGGTGCAAACCACTAAGCCCCACCTACTGTGGGTGCCTCCCAGGAACTGGTGCAGACCGCCAAGCTCCGCCCACCAGGAAAACCAGCAACAAGTGCAAACATCATAGCCTTGTTCACTGGGGTGGGGTAGTAGGGAATGGCGAGGGTAGGGACTGGTGCAGATGCGTCCAAGTCCATCCCACCTGAGGATATTAGGGACAGGTGTAAACAAAGTTAGTCCCGCCCCCTGAAGCCCCACCCACCCTGGGCTCTTGGGACTGGTGCTGATAAAGCTAACCCTTGCTCAGCAGGGGACCCTTGAATGACCTGTGAGGACTGAACTCAGACACCCAATAAGGGTGTTCTCAAGGGCCGTGCGGACCCTTCATGTTGCCTGAGTAGGCGGGATGCTCTGCTACCCAGGTCATAGGTTCAAAGGATTCCTAGGACTCCCAGATGTGTATCCAGAAACTGAGACCCTTGGGGACCCTAAGTCAGTGCTGGCTGGAGGCTGTACTGGGGACCTTCGGGCTTTGAGGATGCCTGAGGGACAGACAAGCCTGGCAAACCCCAACCTGTTGGGGTGGTTCACAGGTCTCAGGGACCCCCCAGTAAGGAGTCAGCTGTGGACTATTCTAGGAACCCCTGAGGGGCGACTCCACCTAGGCAAGGCCATCTGTATGGGGTTGTGAGATTTGGGGACCCCCTGAGGAGAGTTGCAGACTGACTGGAGTCTTTAACCCTAGAGATCTCAGAGGGGCTTTTGATGAGGGACCCTGAAAAAAAAATCCGTTGATCAGGGGCCGTCTTTCAGAGGGAGTCAGACTTTTGGGGACCCACGGTGAGGGTGCATGGGTGGCAGTTCTAGGTGACTCAGGTGAGGAGTGTGTGCTTTGGGGGGCTGTCCTGGGGACCCTCAGGTTCTGGGGTTTGAGTGAGAGCTGTCGTTAGCTGGGCAGGCTCAACCTACTGCATAGTTCAAGGATAACCTGGGACAGCCCTGATGGAGGGTACGGAGAAAAGAGTCCAGGGATGAAAGGCATGGACTCAGCCATCCACCGCTCAGGGCTCACTTGTGAAGTCACCACGGAAGGCAGTGGGCGGGGTGGGCGGTCAAGGGATCGCATCTTCCTGGGGGATGTGGGAATGGTCTCTGGTCTTTGAGTAGGGTAAGGGGACTCTAAGGTGGGTAAGGATCTTGTTGGGATGTCTCTCAGACAAATCACGGGATCTGTGTTCTCAGAACTCTGGATGGGTCCCAGGTGGTCAGGGCTGGGGTGGGACGGAATCACTGTGTCCCACCAAGGTCTACGGTGAGTGAAGACATTCTCATGTGTTAGGAGTTAACAGGCTACCTGGAAACAGAGTGCTTGGGCACTGTTTGACAGGCAGGCTCCAACTCAGGGGCCGTGAAGGTATGGGGGATTGTTGTGTAAGATCCACGGGGTATCCGGAGACTGTGTGGGCCCAGGACCCTACCCACTCAAGGGGCAGGAGGGGTGTGTCATCAGAAGCCCTGGCTGGCCCTTGGACATAGCGGGAGGACCCTGGCCTCAGATAGGAACTACTAGGGACTGGGGGCGTGGCTAGGGGTGGAGCCCCCAGGGTCCCCCAGACTCTAGCCTTTCTGTGTGACGTGTAGGAGGCTCGGTCTCTGGGAGCCACAGTTTGCAATCCATGCCATGGAGCAGCGGCATCATCCTTAGCAGCGTCACCTGCCTGGACAGCACTTGGCTGGTGTGTGTGTGTGTGTGTGTGTGTGTGTGTGTGTGTGTGTGTGCGCGCGCGTGTGCGCGCGCGCCCAGGCGTGTGTGGAGACCAGAGGTCAACCTTGGGTGTCTCTGTCAATCGTTGGTTTTGTTTACTCATGTATTTATTTTGATTTTTTGAGACAGGGTTTCTCTGTGTTGTTTTGGAGCCTGTCCTGGAACTCGCTCTGTAGACCAGGCTGGCCTTGAACTCACAGAGATCCTGCTGCCTCCTGAGTGACGCTATACTGGCCTGTAGCTTGCTGGTTCAGGCCAGCCAGCCATCTGTGCCACTGCAGCGCCGGCAGACTTTATGCTGGTGCCGGGGATCGGAATGCATGTCCTCCCTCAGGCTTATGTGGCAGACACCCTGGGCACTGAGCCTCCCCTGCTCTGGCTGGTGTATTGTTTTCCTTTGGAGCCCTTTTGTCACACAGACAGTTGGAGCTTCTAGGCTCTTCGAACATGTGCAGTGCCAGCTCCTGTGGAGGCCACCTGTCCCTGTGGGTGTCGGTGGCTGGCAGCAGGTGGCGGGCGTCCTGCCCTTCTGGGGGCCAGCCTGTCCAGTTTCAGGGTGTAAGATGCCTGAGGGCAGCTGTCAGGGTGGCCGGGGGGGCACAAAGGACGCCACACGGCGGCACATGCTCCCGCTGTCTGGGTTGCCTTCCAGACAGCTTGGCACGGTGTAGGGACAGGCGTGGTGGGTGGACTTACCCTGGTGCAGCCGGGCCTGCCTCAGGAAGTCCTTAGGTGCAGGCCGTCCTGTTGCAGCTGAGGTGCGGGGTGACTTGCAGGGGCCATTGAAGGCTGCTAGCTACTGCCCACTGGGTGTGTGAGGTGACCTTGCCACCTGCCCCATCTGGCCATGCGGCTCCTGCCTTCCATTCACTCTTCTCCGGAACCGGGGCCACGTGTGGCTGCTGGATGGGGCAGAATGGCATCAGGGTCACCAGACAGCGACACAGACATGGGTGTCTGTCGGTCGGGGAGACTGGGGTGGCTGTCCAGGGAGGTGATGATTGGAGAAAGGTGGAAGGTGTTCGGGCATGGCAGGGAGGCTGGGTGTAAAGTTCCCCACAAGGAAACCCGACCTCGCCTCCCCCCTGCCCGGTGTCCTGTTGCTGGGCTCATATGCCGGGGACAAAACTCCCCAGTCAAGGATGCGAGCACACCTGTGACCCTGGCAGAGACCACCTCAGGCCATCTGATCCCGTGCGCACAGCAGTGCTCCAGAAATCCCTGCCAGGTGGGGCTCACGGGGCTGCCGGCATCTCCACAGGGGCCCAGTGTTAATGGCTCCACAGGCCACCACCGCCTCTGTGACTAAGCAGTTTGGCAGCGTTGCGACCACATCCACCTGAGATGACACCCCAAACACACTGAGACCATGTGCCAATAAAGCTTTATTGATGAGTGTGCTGCCTATCGAGGCCACAGACTCCCCAGCCCTGTTCCAGACACTTAAAAATTATAGCTGCCTTTGATCCCAGCACAGGGGAGGGTCTCTGTGAGTTCAAGGCCAGCCTGGGCTACAGAGCGAGTTCCAGGACAGTCAGGGCTACACAGTGAGACCTTGTCTCGAAAAAAATAGAAAATACAAATACAGAAGCCGTCTTAGGTAGGCTCAGGTAAGGGCTGCAGCTGGCCCGCAGGCCTAGAGTAGACCAGGCTGGCCCACTCATGGGTCTAAAGGCGTGGGGCAGGCCCATGGTCCGTGCTTTTGCCTGGTTCACTGTGTCCTCTCTGCTCCAGGGCCACCCAGAGCCAGCGGGACATCGGTTGGTGTCCAGGCTCCTGTGAGCGCGAAGTGATCTTCCCGCATCACCCTCTGCCCTGCTGGGTGACAAGTGTACGTCACTGTCACTGTCACCACACCCATTTCTCCTTTTGATGTGTGTGGCAGTCCAGTGGTCACCTCCAGTGCTGTGTGTGTGTGTGTCTGAGTGTGTGTGTGTGTGTCTGTCTGTCTGTCTGTGTGTCTGTGTGTCGCTGTTTTCCTCATGGGCTGTTGTGTTCTGTCTGCCCTGAGATCCTTCCTGTAAGACGTGACCTGTGTGTGTGTGTGTGTGTCTGTCTGTGTGTGTCTCTGTGTATGTCTGTCTGTGTGTGTGTCTATGTCTGTGTGTGTCTGTGTGTGTGTCTGTGTGTGTGTGTCTGTGTGTGTGTGTCTGTGTGTGTCTGTGTGTGTGTCTGTCTGTGTGTGTCTGTCTGTGTGTGTCTGTCTGTGTGTGTCTGTCTGTGTGTGTTTGTGTTGTGTGTGTCTGTGTGTGTGTCTGTGTGTGTTTGTGTGTGTCTCTGTGTCTGTCTGTGTGTATGTCTGTGTGTATGTGTGTGTGTGTGTCTCTGTGTCTGTGTGTGTGTCTGTCTGTGTGTATGTGTGTCTCTGTGTGTGTGTGTGTGTGTGTGTGTCTGTCTGTGTGTGTGTGTCTGTCTGTGTGCGTGTTGTTCATGACACGTCTGTGCTAGCACATGTCACTGAGAAAATGCTGGAGTGCATTGATTTGTGAAGATGGAAGGTTTATCTGGGCTGGAAGTCTTTGGCCTGAGGTTGATTTGGGGCCTGCAGTAGGGGTGTGGGGTGCAGCAGGGTCATATCTCATACTGTCCTTCAAGGGCACGCCCCACGTCAGGCCCCGCCTTCTGGGGTGAGGGGAGGTGGCAGGCACAGCCAGGAGAGAATCTATTTTATTACCTCTCCCACCATCCCTGTGGCAGACTATTGTGCAGGAAACTTTTTCCTGGCCAAGGCCTCAGTTTCCTTATCTGTAAAGTGGGGATAAGAGCCCTACCCACAACTCCGAAGGGAGTCCTAGACAGCTCACATCTGGAGGCCCAGGGCAGGGACTGTCATAGGATCTCACACACACGTGTGTGCGCGCTCCCCCACACGCACACACATGCGTACGCACCCACACACGTGTATGCACACACACGCACACACCCCGTATGTGTCACACTGTGCTCTGAGGCCCGAGTCCTACCTCCAGGAGACCCTCAGCAGCCCTTCCATTCAGGGGCCTCAGCTGAGCCCGCCACAGCTGTGCTGGGTGTCCAGTCTCTGTGGTCACGAACACCAGGCACCTGAGCCCCAGTGGATATTGAGCTTGTGAACCCCCAGAGTCGAACATTACGTCTGTGTAGCCTCACCCTTATTCAATTCTAGAACATTCTGTCACCCACAAGGAAGCCCCATTCCCGTAAGGCACCACTGCGTCCTCCCAGCCCTCAGCACCTGTGGATCTACATCCTTCTCTGGATCCCCCTATTTTGGACACTTCCTGTCCCGGAGCCCACACTGTGTGTGTGGCCTTTGTGTCCTCTGGTCCCTCTGCACTGTCCTCCCGTTCAGGGCTCGGCAGTGCTCCAACAAGGGGACACCTGCCAGCGTGTGCCCGTGCTTCGCCTGAGGGCGTGGGCTGCTCCCCTCCATTGGGGCTGATGGCACTGGGCATGTTGTGTGGATGTCCAGGCGGGTGTCAGCTCTTTCTGACAGTGACCCTGGCTGCCTTGGGAGGACCTGTGGTGCTGGGATTACAGGAGCCCGCTGCATCTGCTTGGGAAGTAATGCTGCCTCCTGTGGGCGCCCCGCATGTGTCTTTAAACACTTTAGGCTCAGCCAGCCGCACACTGGCAGAGGGGGGCAGGGGAAATCCGAGTCTTGAGCCCAGCTGGTGTGTGACCTGCCTAGGGCTGGGTGGCATGTGGCAACTGTCTTCACAGTAGGGTCAGTGGAGAGGCCAAAAGCACATGTGCATTTGAGTGTACCCCAAGACCCTTTGCCAGGGACGGGTGTGGAGTGACCCCTGTGGATGGGTGGGGGTGGTCCCTGCGGATGGGTGGGGGTGACCCCTGAGGATGGGAGGCATGGCCCCTGCGGATGGGGGCGTGGCCCCTGCAGATGGGTGTGTGTTTGTGGGTGACCCCTGTGGATGGGTGGGGGTGGTCCCTGCGGATGGGTGGGGGTGACCCCTGAGGATGGGAGGCATGGCCCCTGCGGATGGGGGCGTGGCCCCTGCAGATGGGTGTGTGTTTGTGGGTGACCCCTGTGGATGGGTGGGGTGGTCCCTGCGGATGGGAGGGTGGGTGACCCCTGTGGATGGGTGGGGGTGGTCCCTGTGAATGGGAGGGTGGGTGACCCCTGTGGATGGGTGGGGGTGGTCCCTGCGGATGGGAGGGTGGGTGACCCCTGTGGATGGGTGGGGGTGGTCCCTGCGGATGGGAGGGTGGGTGACCCCTGTGGATGGGTGGGGGTGACCCCTGCGGATGGGAGGGTGGGTGACCCCTGTGGATGGGTGGGGGGTGACCCCTGCGGATGGGAGGGTGGGTGACCCCTGTGGATGGGTGGGGGGTGACCCCTGCGGATGGGAGGGTGGGTGACCCCTGTGGATGGGTGGGGGTGGTCCCTGCGGATGGGTGGGGGGTGACCCCTGTGGATGGGTGGGGGTGGTCCCTGCGGATGGGAGGGTGGGTGACCCCTGTGGATGGGTGGGGGTGGTCCCTGCGGATGGTGGGGGCTCTTTGAATGTGCACCCACATGGAGTTCAATGAGGCTGTTCTCATCCAGGTGTCCCTGGGACAATGGAGGGCCCTAGATCTTCCAACCTCCATCCTCACGGGATTAGATGCAGAAACGGAAGGTCTGATGTTGGCCTGAGGGATGGAAGGCAGCGTCAGGGATCCCCAAATTGCCATAATAGGGACAGGAGTGTGACCCTGCAGAGCCCCAGGAAAGACTCCCCAACCCTGAAGAGACTGTGGCTGTGGCATTGGGCTCAGTGGGGAGACCAATTGCCCGGCACTGGGCACCTGCCATCTCAGAACTGGGATGCTGGGTCAGCAGTGCTAGGCTGGGCGTGGGGTCCTGCATGTCTGCTGCATGCAGGGGTGTCCTCAGCAGAGAATCATCTGGACCCCAGCTAATGGTGCCAAGTGGGCTAGCCCTGGCTAGAAGGTCCTGTGGCCTGTCCTTGCCTCCTGACAGGCTAAGCTTATGGAGAAGGGAAGATGGCTCCTTCCAGAAAGACAGCTGGGACGCATCTATGAAAGATGCCACTATGTCACTATGAAAGATGGTGACATGGGGTGGACAAAGGGCAGTTCCCCACTGCCACCGCTGCCCTGTCTCCCCAGGTGAGTGGCATCAAGGCCCTGTACGAGTCGGAGCTGGCTGATGCCCGGCGGGTGCTGGACGAGACAGCCCGGGAGCGTGCACGGCTGCAGATTGAAATGGGGAAGCTTCAGGCTGAGCTGGACGAGGCCAGGAAGAGGTGGGTAGTCGGGCTGGAGACCCAGTGTGGTGGGTGAAGTGCTCGCCCCACAGGCGTGAGGATGAGTTCAGATCCCCACAACCCCTGGTGATGCGAGCGCTGGGGAGACCGCCAGGCTCTCCGAGTAGCCATGGTGCGAGCCGGGGTTTGCCCAGAGACCTGCCTCCACGGGAATGCGGAGGGAGAGCAGTCGAGGAAGGACCAGTAACATTGAGTTCAGATCTCTACACACACACTCGTAAGCAGGAGAGCACACATCAGATTTAATCAGAAAGGTCAGTGACTGAGACTGCACAGGTCCTAGCCCTTTGGGTATACTTGGTAGCCCCACAGGGCCCCGGAGGTTGGGGGCAGCATGAGCATGGGGTTGGAATGGAGTCCCCGAGTCCACCAGCCTGCAGCTGCTGCAAATGGCCTCACACATACATACGCTTGTCAAGGCCATGGGTGCCACGGGATAGCAGCGAGACCCCTCTTCCCGGGGGATAGCAGGCCCAGGATCCGTCACTGCTCCCCTAAGCCTGCAGGCCCAGGATCCGTCACTGCTCCCCTAAGCCTGCATGACTGTTGCTCCCATCTCCCTGTGCCTAACCTGCCCTGGACACTGTGCCGGGCTGCAGGTTCACCCAGGATGGTGCCACGAGAATGTTGACGTGGCACAGTGGCTGCCTTGGCTTGTGCTAAGTGTAGAATTCAGGTCCTCCCTCTGCTGGAGACATCACAGTGCTCAGAGCAGGTCGGGGCGAGGGGGTCCCCGCATGCCAGCCCTCCCAGTGGCTCTACCAAGATGTCTGCTGCTCGTGGGACCTGCCTGTCTCAGAAGGGTCCCCTTCCAGATCTACCCGAGTTCTGCCCCGTCCAGACTCCCTCTGGGCAACGCAGGTCTGGCCTCTGCGAGGCGACCCACCTGGTTCTCTGGTGGTAGCGCCTGAGCTGGCTGCCAGGTGTCTACCCCATGGTGTGTTGGGGCCTGCGGGTGTCCACAGACACCAGGCTACATCACAGGTGGGTGAGCCGTTAGCACCTCTGTGCCAGCCACCTCAGTACCCAGTCTTGGCTTTATTCATTCGTTTGTTTATTTGAGATGGTCTCATGTATCCCAGGCTGGCTCCCGGGTTCTCTGGTTCAGACTGGCCTTAAACTCTCTATGTAGCCAAGGATAACCTTGACCTTTGGCATCAAATAGTGAGGCTGGCTTTCCTGACATCCTGCAGACTCACCTTCTGGTGCACGGAATCCTGATGCCCTCGGGTAGCCTCGTGGGCTGCTAAGCAGCTCAAGTGCTCCCACACGGTGATCTGGGAGTCGTCACACTCCACCAAGGCTCTGCCCTAGCGCCCCGCCAGTCTGGGAGACAGGCACCAAGGCCTATGCAGGCCATATTCAGTGGAGCCTTGGCATTTGGGATCCGTTAGGAGTTCCCCAGGTCCCCCTCGTCCCTCTTGGGCCTCTTTGCTGGTCTCTGACGTGCCGCATCCCAGGGCCTTGGCACTGCCGGCCGTGGCCCCGCCTCCTCGCCACTTCTCTTCAGGCCGCCTTGATCCTCGCTGCCTGTCTGGGCTCTCTGAGTGTGACTCCACCCGATGCTCCTCTCCAGGCTCACTGACAGAGCGACGGGGCTGTTTGACACAAGCTGGGGCGGGGTCCCTCTGTGTCCCACGTCCTTAATTACTCAGGCAGCACAGTAGGGAGCAGCCTGGTGTCCCCGAGAGTCATGGCAGCTTAGCCGCCGGTGCCACCTATCTCTCCACACCTGCCTGTCACCTGCTGACGCTGAGCCGTCTCTCCAGCCCAGAGCTGGCTTCTGTGTGCAGCTGGGCAGGGTGTGGGCGCCTTCAGCCATAACAGATAGGACGCTGTTACATGGGCCACAATGTCCAGAGTTTGGTTGGCTTGGGTTGAGTTGGCTAGTGTTGTTTTTAAGACAGGGTCTGTAGACCAGGCTGGCCTCAAACTTGAAGCCTCTCTCCTGCCTCAGCCTCCCAGGGGCTGGGAAAGCAGGCGGTCAACCTGTAGTTGGCAGGGACTGTGGTGATGTTGTGCTTGGTCTCCCTGACCCCTCACCCTCCTCCTAGTGCCAAGAAGCGGGAAGGTGAGCTCTCAGTGGCCCAGGGCCGCGTGAAGGACCTGGAGTCCCTGTTCCACCGGAGTGAGTCAGAGCTGGCCTCCGCTCTCAGCGACAAGCATGGGCTGGAGAAGGACGTGGCAGAGCTCCGAGCACAGCTGGCGAAGGTGGGTCTGGGCTCCCGGTTGACGTGGAAAGGCTGAGTGGCAGCCGCCCCTCAGCTCACTGCTGTGTCCCCCAGGCAGAGGATGGTCACGCCGTGGCCAAGAAACAGCTGGAGAAGGAGACGCTGATGCGCGTGGACCTGGAGAACCGCTGCCAGAGCCTGCAGGAGGAGCTGGGCTTCAGCAAGAGCGTGTTTGAGGAGGTGAGTGTCACGCAGGCCGACACCCTCCCCTGCCACAGGGCCACCTCCTGGCACCTGGGGTCTGTGCTGTTCTTCTTTGCTGAAACACGATCCCCCAAACTCAGCAAACCCACATGGAGTTTACTGGGGAAGGGGGCAAAGGGAGGGGCGGCTGTCAACTGATCGGGAGCAGAATGGAAAAGAAGAGAGAACAGACAGGAGGTACTTGCTCACGTACGGAACAGGAGCGGTAGCTGGGGCCATTGAAACTGGAGTCGTAGAGCTGCCGTTGGCCTGGCTTCGCGTGGTCTCTGCTTGCAGACTCCTTATTCAGCCACCTAATGCATGCACGATGCAGCCATGCAACCTTCGACAGCCTTTGAGCTGTCAGTCAGGAGTGATCACCTGTCAAAGATAGATCCCGGGGCGGGAAGGTCACCCGGAGAAGAGCGGTCCTGGGGTGGGGAGAGCCCAAGGATTAGAGTCCCAGTGACCGGGAAAGGTTCCCTAAGGAGAAGGCCCAGGCCAGGGGAGGGCCGTGCTGTGGAGAACCCAGCAGCAGCCGGGCCAGGTTGTCCAGTGACTGGGGCGGGAGGAGCGGGAATCAGCACCTGGGGAGGGAGGAGCCGGAATCAGCACCTAGGGAGGGAGGAGCAGGGAATCAGCACCTAGGGAGGGAGGAGCCGGAATCAGCACCTAGGGAGGGAGGAGCCTGGGGAGGGAGGAGCTGGATTCAGCGCCTGGGGAGGGAGGAGCCTGGGGAGGGAGGAGCAGGGAATCAGCACCTGGGGAGGGAGGAGCCTGGGGAGGGAGGAGCAGGGAATCAGCACCTGGGGAGGGAGGAGCCTGGGGAGGGAGGAGCAGGGAATCAGCACCTGGGGAGGGAGGAGCCTGGGGAGGGAGGAGCAGGGAATCAGCACCTAGGGAGGGAGGAGCAGGAATCAGTGCCTGGGGAGGGAGGAGCCTGGGGAGGGAGGAGCCTGGGGAGGGAGGAGCAGGAATCAGCGCCTGGGGAAGGAGGAGCAGGGAATCAGCACCTAGGAAGGGAGGAGCTGGAATCAGCACCTAGGAAGGGAGGAGCTGGAATCAGCGCCTGGGGAGGGAGGAGCAGGGAATCAGCACCTAGGGAGGGAGGAGCAGGAATCAGCGCCTGGGGAGGGAGGAGCTGGAATCAGCGCCTGGGGAGGGAGGAGCCTGGGGAGTGAGGAGCTGGATTCAGCACCTAGGGAGGGAGGAGCTGGAATCAGCACCTGGGGAGGGAGGAGCCTGGGGAGGGAGGAGCGGGAATCAGCACCTGGGGAGGGAGGAGCCTGGGGAGGGAGGAGCAGGAATCAGCATGGGCTTCATGGCTGCTTCTGTCCCCTGCAGCCCCCGTAGTCTCTCTCTTGCTTTTTTTTTGGTCATTTTCTGTGTTTTTAGTTTCCTCTGGGGTGGGAGGAAGGTCCATGTAGTCAGTTGGTGAACTCAGGCTCTCAGACCCGGCATCAGCCACCTTCTCCTGAGGAGCCATCTTGTCAGTCCTCGGTGTCTCTTCACACTGGTCCCTGGATTTCCAGGCCATCTGAGTCATTGAGATTACCGTATCAAAGTATAACTTAGCTGGGCATGCATGGTGGCTGTGTCTTAGATACCAGCATGGGGTGGCCAGAGACAACAGGACATCTGAGTTTGAGACAGAGTCAGCAGTGTCTAAAGATCTCCTGGTCTACGGGGCGAGTTTCAGGACAGCCAGGGCCACACAGAGAAACCCTGTCTTTAAAGACTAAACAAACAGAAAACCAGCCTAAACTGGCTCATCAAGACAGCCCAGTGGGTAAAGGCGCGTGTCGCCAACCCACAACCTGTGTTGTACCACATGGTGGGAGAAAACTGACCCCACAAACTGTCCTCGGACTTCAGCAGCTGTGTCGTGGAACAGCAATACCCCACAAATGCACACACACAAAATAAATGTAAAAGAACCTTGGCTTTGTCTACTTAAGGTCACCACCCCAGGGCTGGGGATCAGGGTGTGGCCCTGGTTTTTGGAGACCTCATTTAGCCAACCTTGGGGTCTCCCCTCTGACCTCTGGGCCTGTAGCACTTTGGGTTACTGGGCATGGTGGGGGTGTTTAGGTCTCGATGAAGATCTGCCCCACCAGCTCCCTGGAACTCAGCCATCACAGAGCCCATTGTGTCATCATAAACCAGCTTAGGGTCCTGGGTTGGCCTGGGCCAGGCCCCTGCCTCCGGTCACTGCTCAGGAAGGCGTGGACGGGAGGGTCCGGTGGAGCTGCGAAGCCACAATCAGCTCTAGCCAGGGCAGTGACGGGCTGCTGCTCCACAGTCCCAGGAGGCCATGAGCGTAGACCACCCCTGTGAAGGAAACCACGAGGGACCCTGACCTCAGGAAGGAACCCACAGAGAGAACTCTGAGGCCCCCGAGGCCGTAGGAGAACTGGGCTCTGGGAAGGAACTGGAGAGTCCCAAGGGGGAATCGGAATCCATGTGGGGAGCTGGAGAGGGACCGAAGGGCACTTTCAGGACAGACCGCAGTGCTGTGCAGCGGCCCCTGAGGCAGGCCCAGCCTGCAGAGGGACCTAAGAGGGCCTGGCCGGTAGCAGCCAGCTCTGTGGAGGAGTGTGTGAGAGAGATCAGCCCAAGACCCCTGAGGGGGTTCGCGAAGCGACAACTGAGGGAGCTTGCGACGACTCCTGTGAAGGAGGCGGAGGAGAACCCCAAGAAGCCACCCTCAAAAGGAGCTCTAGGGGCTTTCGGGACTCGGAGAAGCCACCTCTGGGTCCCTGCAAGGGAGCAGGTGAGGGGTGCGCAGACATTTGGGCATCAGGAAGGTGTGTTCTGTCCTAAGTAGCCAGGGCCACTGTGCCCTAGACACCCGTGCTAGAGTCCATTTTGTAGGAAAACTAAGATCTACCTGGGCGGTGGTGGCGCAGCCTTTAGTCCCAGCACTCCGGAGGCAGAGGCAGGCGGATCTCTGAGTTCAAGTCCAGCCTGGGCTATAGAACCGAGTTCCAGGATGGCCAGGGCTAAACGGAGAAATTGTCCCCCCCAAAACACCGTCCACGTTGGTCCCTCCCTTCCCACACTCAGCTTCTGTGGAAGCTGTTGCCTCGGCCACTCCTTCCCGGGCTGCTCTCTGTCACCTGGATCTAGAATTGCAGCCCCCCCCCGCGCCCCCGTGGGCTCTTCAGGGTCTAGGAGTCTTCTGTTATTGTTTGGAGACAAGGTCTCACTGTGTAGCCCTGGTTAGTCTGAAATGTAGACCATGTAGCCCAGGCTGGCCTGGGACTCACAGAGATCCTCCTGCCTCTGCCTCCAGAGTGCTGGGACTAAAAGCGTGCGCCACCACAGCCCAGCCCTTTATAAAGTTAAGACGGGGTCTGGCTGTGAGCCCAGGCTGGCCTTGGGTTGCAGCCAGCCTTGCCTTTGGCTCTGGGGTGCTGAGATCTTTTAATCACTGTGGCCCTTTGTGCCTGGTCCTCTCTCGGCACCTCGGCTTCTCCCGGGTCCCTCCATGCTGTGGCCTGTATCTCAGCCTCCATCCTCCTGATCGCGCGGTGCGCGCACAGCCCAGGCTGTCATGGCCGCAGCATCCACACAGTCGATCACTGAACAACCAGGAGGCCACCTGGAGTTGCACAGCTAAGTCATTGGCTCGTCCCCTCATAGGAGGTGCGGGAGACCCGGCGGAGGCACGAGCGGCGCTTGGTGGAGGTGGACAGCAGCCGTCAGCAGGAGTACGACTTCAAGATGGCCCAGGCCCTGGAGGACCTGCGCAGCCAACACGACGAGCAAGTGCGGCTGTACCGGCTGGAGCTGGAACAGACTTACCAGGCCAAGGTGCAGCGGACGGGACGGGAGGGGAGGGGACCCCGGCTCCCTGCCACCCGCGCTCACACTCCCGTCCCCCCCAGCTGGACAACGCCAAGTTGAGCTCGGACCAGAACGACAAGGCGGCCAGTGCAGCCCGGGAGGAGCTCAAGGAAGCCCGCATGCGCGTGGAGTCCCTCAGCTACCAGCTCTCAGGCCTCCAAAAGCAGGTGCCAGGATCCAGCCCTGCCCCCAGGGGCCTCTGTCACTCCGGTTCTCCCCTGCACCCGCCCCTCCTACCCGAGGCTGACCCCGCCACACCCCCTAGGCCAGTGCTGCAGAGGACCGCATTCGCGAGCTGGAGGAGGCCGTGGCTGGGGAACGCGACAAGTTCCGCAAGATGCTGGACGCCAAGGAGCAGGAGATGACTGAGGTGCGCGACGCCATGCAGCAGCAGCTGGCCGAGTACCAAGAGCTGCTGGACATCAAGCTGGCCCTGGACATGGAGATCAGCGCCTACCGGAAGCTGCTGGAGGGCGAGGAGGAGAGGTGGGCGGGGCCAGAGCCGGCGGGGCGGCGGTGGGCGGGGCTCTGAGGCCCCGCCTCACCCCGCCGCCCTCCCGCCTCCCTCTGTAGGCTGAAGCTGTCCCCCAGCCCCTCTTCCCGTGTCACCGTGTCTCGGGCCACCTCCAGCAGCAGCAGTGGGGTCGGCGTGTCGGCGGGGCGGGGCCGGGGCAAGCGCCTGCGGCTGGAGACGGAGGACGCCCAGGGCCCGCGCGGCAGTGGCCCCCGCCTGGCCCAGCAGACCGCGGTCCCCGGTGTCGTGAGCATTGAGGAGGTGGACCTGGAGGGCCGGTTCGTGCGGCTCAAGAATGCCTCAGACAAGGTGAGCGAGAGGCCGCAGCTGGGGCCCGTGGCCCGTCCCCAGAGCTGGCGGTCAAGAGCGCGTCTGGTTTCAGGACCAGTCTCTGGGGAGCTGGAGGATCAGGAGACAGGGCCCGGAGGGGGAGGACATCGCCTACAAGTTCACGCCCAAGTATGTCCTGCGCGCCGGCCAGACTGTCACGGTAGGTGCCAGTGAGTGTGGGCTCGGGAGGTTCCCACTGACTCCCCGGGTCCCGAGGGGACGCCACATGCTCTGAGAGCAGCCCGGAGGCCGCTGTGCCTGCCGCACCCTCGGGGTCTCTCCGCCGGGTCCTCTGGGCCACTGTGAGCCTGTGTGTCCCGGGTCCATTGCCTGGCCAGGCCTCAGGTGACTGACCAGGGCCGTCTTGGTCCTCAGGTGTGGGCCGCTGGTGCAGGGGCTGTCCACAGCCCCCCATCAACCCTCGTGTGGAAGAGCCAGACCAGCTGGGGCTCTGGGGAGAGCTGCCGCACTGTCCTGGTCAACGCCGACGGCGAGGTACGGTCTCACGACAGGGTGGCGACAGGTCCTGGCGCCGTTCCTCACGGCAGCCGTGACTGCGCTGAAACCTGGGGTGGCCTCCTGATGGGGTGAAGCGACCCGCACCAGGATACACTGCTGACCCTTGTTGTGTAGGAGGTGGCTGTCCAGGCTGTGAAGCAGTCATCCGTTCAGGTGAGCGAGAATGGGGAGGACGAGGAGGAGGAGGCGGAGGAGGAGGCAGAATTCGGCGAGGAGGACCTTTTCCACCAGCAGGTAGAGCCTGTGACATCGCACCTAGTGGGACTTTGGGTGTCCGTGCCAGTCCTGCCTCAGAGGACTGTACCCCCCCCCCCCCGTTGTGTGACACCACAGAGTTGAGCGGCACGTGCCTGACCCCTCAGCCAGGACGCGTTCTCAGCTGGGGACGGGAGGCAGGGATGCCAGGGCTGAGTGTGGCTGGGGGCGTGTGGGAAGCTCTGAAGCGGGCTGCCTGGGAGCAGGCTGCCTAACTCCATCCTCACTCCTTCCAGGGGGACCCGAGGACCACCTCGAGGGGTTGCCGGCTGATGTGAAACCCGCCCCATGGTAACCAAGGTCCTCACAGCCCCGAAATTATTTTTTTTATAATCAGCTCTCACTAGTCCTGGATACATTTCTGAATGACTGAAGTGACCGTGATTGTGCTCTGCTGGGTTTGCTAGAGGTGGGCGCCTGCCCGCCCGCCGGCTGAGGGGCTTGGGCCTAAGGCCAGTGTGGGAGGAGCAGGAGCCTGGTGGCTGGGGACGTAGTGTGAGACTGCAGCGTATCACTAGTCGAGTTTTCTTTGACGATTTTTAAATCAAATTCAGACTCCAGGTTCCTGAGGCCTGCGAGGTCACCATCCTGTGAGGACTTGGTGGCTCTTCAGACACAGGGCAGACCCGCCATTCCTGGTTGGTGCCACGGAGGGAGCATTTGAACCCCGCGGGGTCTCAGCTCTGTGCCCTGAGCCTGAAGGGTCTGAGACAGTCCCCAGCCCCGGGGTATCTGAGGCATCTCTGGGCCTGGATTCCAGAACATTCTAGTCCCTTCTAAAGCTGAGGACCAAGAAGGAGGATGCTCACACACGGGACAGCGCCTCCTTTCCTAAGCTTGTCCCTCTGGTAGACTGGAGAGGACAGACTGTGGGTGCTCGCGGGAGTGTGGCAGCGCCAGCTGTGAGCATGGTCCGTGTCCGGGCCCCGCCCTGCTGGCTTGGCATGGATGCTTTCCGCGGTGGAACATAGTTCCACAAGCCCCAGGTGCCACCCAGCTCGCACCTGTCACCTTCACCTCCCCACCAGACACACGGTATTTTTTTAATGGATATTTATTTTTTTACATCAGTAACGCAGCTCTCTGAGACGCTGCTCTGGGGGTTCAGGTCCTGGGCTGCCCCGGTGGAGATCGCCCGACCCTCAGTTTCCTCTGCTGAGCCATGAGGGGCGCTGTCTCTCCTGGCACAGCCGGTGGGAGAAGTCGGCCCCTCTGCCCACGGCAAGAGCCACAGGAAGCCACTACTGCCACCAACCCCAGAACCCAGCAGCCACACACACACACACACACACACACACACACACACACACACACACACACACACACACACACACACACACACACACACACACACACCCGCTCCTAGATACCTCCGTCGTCTTTAGGTGATAGGTGTTGGTCCTGGCCCACGGCGGGGCAGGCTGCGGTCCACGGCGCTGCGCTGCCTCTCCCACAGGGCAGGGGTCCTCCGGGCACCCGGCGCCAGGGCTGGCCTCGTTAGGAGTGGGGCTGCAGCAGCCGGCGGGCCCAAAGCGGTCCTGCCCCGGCCCCTGCGGGCGACGCGGCGCCGGGGGAGCAGCCCGCCTAAGCGCTTCCCAGGAGGATTCCTTTCTAAGATGCATGCCAAAAGTGTGTTCCGCCTTTTTTTCCCTCCCTGCTATGATTTTTAATATACATTTTACGACTGGAAGCTTTTGTACACTCAAATAAACACTTTGATTTTAACCACAGCCTCGGACTTTATCCTCAGCTCCACCCCCCACCCTCCCCCATCGCGGGAAGCGCCCTTAACCGCGATGGTGTTGGCCACACGTGCGCATGCGCCGCGGTGACTGACCTACGACCCTCGGCCAGTCCGCGTCCTTCTGGGAGTTGTAGTCTGCGTTCAGCCTAGGGACAGCTCACACAGCCTTGTGGGAATTGTAGTACGGAGTGTCCCACAGCGCCGCGGGCGATCGCTTAGCGTGGCACGCATGGACTTGTGGGACATGCAGTTTGATTCGTTTCCATGGTGTCTCGGGTCACAACTTCCTGTCTGGTGACCTCGCGCGCAGCCTTGTGGGAGCCGACGTGGCTTCCCGTAGTGCCCCGCTTCCGGCGCCTGCGGGTTGGCGCGCGGCCGCGGCCCGGTTGACTGCGCAGCCATGGAGAGCGGCTTCGGCTCGGACTTCGGCGGCTCGGGCGGCGGGAAGCTGGACCCGGGGGTCATCATGGAGCAGGTGAAGGTGCAGATCGCCGTGGCCAACGCGCAGGAGCTGCTGCAGGTGCGGGGCGTGCCGGGGTTGGTGTCGGGGCCCCCCGGGTGGGTCCCCGCTGAGGCCTCGCGTGTGTCCGCAGAGGATGACGGACAAATGTTTCCGGAAGTGCATCGGGAAGCCCGGGGGCTCCTTGGACAACTCTGAGCAGGTGAGCGTGCCCGGGAACCCAGGGTGGTGAGGGGCGCGGGGAACGGGCTGCAGGGAGTGAGCAGCCCGGAGCCCCAGCCCGGACGGGTTCTGCGCGGGCTGGGACCCTGGCTTGTGCGCGCGTATTTGCAGCCCTAGTGGGTGGTTCCGGGGTCGTGGAACCCTAACCCAATGTGGAGCCCGTCTCCCCGCTCTGCAGAAATGCATCGCCATGTGTATGGACCGCTACATGGATGCCTGGAACACCGTGTCGCGCGCCTACAACTCTAGACTGCAGAGGGAACGAGCCAACATGTGACCGACACCCGTGCCTCGGGTACCGTGCGCTTGCCCGCGATCGGGACTGTTTCCACTCACGAGGGCCGCTCCTGTCTGGCAGCACGGAGGGCTCGGGAGTTGAGGCCTCCCCCTGGGCTGCCGTGCCTAGCCCAGTCTCTAGGCCAGTCTCAGAAAAGTGAGGGCCGGTTTGAGCTCGGGGTCTGCCTGCCCCCACCTGAGCAGGCCAATAAATCGCCGCTGGGACAGAAGCTGACGCGTTGTCCTCCCCGCAGTAGGCCCAGGGTAGCTCTCGCCCTTGTTTGAAGGTGTCGTGGCCCCCACCCCCTAGAAGCAAGAAGGGAGGGGCCTCGTGCATGACTGAGTGTGGTTTCAGGTGCCCGTCGGCTGGCCTGGGGACTAGCCTAGGATGCACAGTGCGGCTCTCACCTGTCACGCATGAGGCCCAGAGTGCCAACCCCAGCTCTACATAAACCAGGTGTGGTGCGTGCCTGCCATCCCTGGGGGGATGGGGACAGGAGGACCCAATTCAAGGTTAGCCTTGGGTACATAAGATCCGGGTCCTCACCGGACGGTGGTGGCCCACGACTTTAATCCCAGCACTCGGAGGCAGAGGCAGGTGGATCTCTGTGAGTTCGAGGCCAGCCTCCAAAACAATACAGAGAAACCATGTCTTCGGGGGAGAAAAAAAGATCCTGTCCCTCAAAAACAAAGACGCCAATGGGGCTGGGTTCTAGGCTCTGTTGCTGAGACACAGGTCCTGAGCCAGGTCTAGGGGAAGCGACTGTTTATTGGAACAGTACACACTGCCGCAGGTAGTTCCGCGTTCCTCCATCCCAGGCTTGGGTCACTCACTGGCCACACGGTGGTCACTCCTGGATGCTCTGGGTTATCCATCCCAGCACAGCAGCCACTCGAGTGTAGACACCCGGGAAGTGGGGCCTGCCACAGCCGTAGCCCCAGCTGGTGACCCCAGTCAGCACCCACTGGCCCGATGGCTCCCTGCAGGCCAGGGGCCCCCCTGCGTCACCCTGAAGGAGAAAGTGCTGTCAGGTCAGCAGCCCTTGGGACCAGAAAGGAACCCCCACATGAGGAACTGCCAAGGAGCCTCATTTTTGCCACGTATAAAATGGGTTTAGTGCTAATGTGTTGGTTTTTTTTTTGTTTTTTGTTTTTTGTTTTTTTTTTGGTTTTTTGAGACGGTTTCTTTGGCTTTGGAACCTGTCCTGGAATTCTGTAGACCAGGCTGGCCTTGAACTCATGAGATCCTCCTGCCTCAGCCTCCCGAGTGCTGGGATTAAAGGCGTGCGCCACCACCACCTAGCTTGTATGCCAGTCTTATTTTTTTGGCTAGTGTGTTTTCTTAATGCCTCTGACTTTGGCCTCTGCCAGGTCCTTACCCTCTGTGTGTGTGTGTGTGTGTGTGTGTGTGTGTGTGTGTGTGTGTGTGTGTGTGTGTTTGCTTGCTGAGAAACCTGCATATTGCCTTTGAACAAGCCGTTGTGATACCTGATGTCACCACAGGCAAAAAGTGGCTGGTTTTAGCCAGGTGTTGGTAGCACACACCTTTAATCCCAGCACTGGGAGGCAGAGGCAGGAGGATCTCTGAGTTCAAGGTCATCCTAGTCTACAGAGCGAGTTCCAGGATAGATAGCCAGGGCTGCTACACAGAATCTCGGTCTCGAGAAACCAAAAAAATAATGCAAGGTGGCTGGTGGCCAGCTGCGATGGCGACTCGGAAAGTGCTTGTCTTAAAAGCCTGAGGACCTGAATTAAACCCCAGAACCCATGTGAGAAACCAACGCTCCGGGGCAGAGGCCGTTTCTGGGGTTTGGGGATCCCTGGGGTGAGCGAGAGTCCTGTGTCGGCCACACTCACGGAGCAGCTGTCCACGCCGCCCTGCGGGAAGCCCGCGCACAGCATGCGGCTGCTGATCTGCACGGGGTAGAAGCGGCGGCAGGCCTGCTCGCTGAGCACGCGGACGGCTGCCTTCTGCAGCTGCACAGCCATGGAGCCTGCGGGGACGACGGAGCGGCTGGGAACCTGGCCGCCTCCCCTGCGCCCGCCCCGCCCCGCCCTCCGCGCTCGCCTACCTCCCTCACGAAGCGAGCCCCAGCCGGTGATGACGCAGCGCGCGCCTTCGGGGGGCCGCGCAGGCCCTGGCAGGCAGATGGGTCGCACCAGGCGGCTGCGGTGCACGGGACCCGCCAGCTCCAGCAGCGCCACGTCGTAGTCCAGCGTGTAGAGGTTATAGAAAGGGTGGCGGTAGATGCGCACCACGCGCTTCAGCTGGCCCTCGGCGCCGCTTAGGAACGGGGTGCCCAGAAAAGCTGCCCACTGCACAGGGTCCCCATAGCTGCAGGGCGAACATGTAGGCAGTCACCTTTCTGCTGGCACCATATCCAGGGCTAAGGATGGTCCCCACGCCCTCGGGAGACCTGAGACAAGAAGGCTCTTGATCTCTGCAGACCACCCAGTACACGGGGCTCCTACACACACACACACACACACACACACACACGAGCACACTAGTAAACAGCCTCCGCCATTCCTATTCGAGCTCCGTGCGCTCAACCCTCCAGAGTGAAGCCTCCTGCCCCGTCCTTAAAACACAGCATGGGACCACCTGTCCCTTTCACCCCGTGCCCCGCATTGGGGGTCCCCTTAAGAACTGCACCCTCCAGTGCAGCGCCCTGCCAGGGAGACTGTGCCCCCGTACGGTGACCTTGGGGACTGGCACCGAATTGCAGAGGAGGGGCAGGTGGACCCCCGCGGGCAGGACTCACGTGTCAAAGCAGTGTGCAGCGGACAGAAGCCACCTGTCAGCCACCAGCACAGCCCCGCAGCGGTGCTCCCTGTGCTGCAACCAGAGGCTCACTTGCCAGGGCCACTCCCCACGCGAAGCCGAGCTGCCTCCCACGATCCGGGTCAGGGCCCCGGGGGGCGCCAGGCCGCAGTCTGCAGAGAGCAGTGCCGCGTGAGCCCCCGGCAGAGGGTCTTCTCCCCCTGCTACACGCCCCTAAGCTGGTGACCTGCCCCAGGCTGGCCTGACTAATCCAGCGGGGAGCTGTCCCCAGAGCCCTGTGGGAGCGCAGAGGGTGGTTTTAAGATCAGCCGGGCTGGCTCCTCTTCCCAGACACCGGCCTTCCCGCCACTAGGTAGGTGTCCCTTCCTGGCCCAGTCTCAGGCAATACAAAAGGAGCCCAGGGAAAGAAAGAACCATGGGCCCCACCAGAGGAGCGCCCCGGAGGACCCAGGAGGCTGCTATGTGAGTCCCTCAGGCCGAGCAGCCTGGGAAGACACTGCCTTCCCACAGTGAGTGGCCCCAACCGTGGTCCCATCTTGAGACTTCCCTGGGTCTCTGACTGGCGCCCTCAGAGGCCACTGCTTTGTCAGGGTCAAGGTCACATTGAGTTGAAGGCCTTCAGGTGTGGAGCCACGGAGCCGGACTCTTTCCTAATTCCAAGACGTGGGAACGTCACCTGCCCCCGGGGTCCTGAGGCAGAGGGCTTTTGGTAAATGAGCCCAGTGAGCCTACCCCTTTGCATGCGGCCCTGACGCTGTCTGCTCAGTTTCCATCCAGGAAACACTGCCTGCCATGTGGAGGGACATCCTCCCTGGGCCAGGGTTAAAGGTGTCAGCAAAGTCAGGGGCAGCATTTCCACAGGAGAGCCTTCTAGAGCCAAGCCTGGGCCAGCGTCCCCACAGTTGGGAGTCATGGCTGAGGGGGCACAGAGACGCCTGGATCCCCAAAGTGTGGGAAGCAGAAACACAGTCCCTTAGAGGCTGTCAGAGGGACCCAACCTGCGGATCTCCACCCCACAGAAAATTATATAGTAACAGTAGCAACATTACAGTTATGAAGTAGCAATGAAAATAGCTTTATGACTGGGGGGACATCACAACCTGAGGAGTTGCACTAAAGGGTCTCATTGTTAGAAAAGCAGAGAAGCTGCTCTGGTTGCTCCTGCTGAGACCACACGCCAGACCCCGGGATGTTGTCTCATCTCTGCAGACTGCTTTTCCCAGCTTTAAAAAAGGTCTCACCACGTATGCAGTCAGAGAAACGCTCCTGCCTCAACCTCCCGCCCAAGAGCTGAGACTACAGGAGCGTGGCCCGGCTTAACTGAGCCATCATCCGTCTCCAGGCCGCTTCCTTCTCTTACCGGAACTTGCTCCCTCCTCCTCTCCCTCTCCCTTTTTATTTTATTTGAACATTCATGGCCAGGATGAAGGCCAACATGAAGGCTAGAGCTCCAACACTGCACACCTGACCACGCCCCCCAGCCCCGCCCTGCGGATTCTGGGCGGGGCCCCACCCTGACCACGCCCCAGCATCTCACTGGGAGATTCTAGGCAGACTCCACCCCCAAGCCAAGTCTTCATCTTGCTGGTCAGAGATGGTCTCGCTGAGAAGCCCTCACCGCCCCTCACCGCTCAGCCTGGTGTTGGATTTGTGATACTCCTGTCAAGAGGCTGACACGACAGGTGTTTGCCATCAGACCCAGTCTGATGTCTTCTTATCAGATGCTCCTTGGATTGGAGAGCCTGCCTCAGACCTCTTTTTACCAAAATTCCTATTTCTAGACTGTCTCTGAATAGTCGCACTCGGGGGCTGAGTGAATCTGGGTGATGTGGCAGCCGATTGTAGCGTCAGTCACCCACACAGGCATGTGGAGCTCATGTAGCTTGGCAAGGGAAGGGAGCGAGCGTGGGACCCCTGCACCCACTGTTACCTAGGGCCCTGGGTTTAACAGGAGCCTCCTCATGGCGTTTTCCACGGATGCTGCCTTGTGTGAGGAGCTGGGGAGCTTGTGATGAGGACTGGAAGGGACCCTGGGTGCATGGGTGTGGCCCTGCTGTGCTCCTCACTAGTCCTAGCTTTAGCCGACACCCGGTGGCCCAGGGTGCACCCACGCAAGCTCCAGCAGACGTGACCCCAGGGTGTGGCTCACAGGTGTGCCTGCCAGGCCCTGGGGTCTGTCCGCAGCGCCGACAGAATGAAGAGCGAGAAACAGAGGCAGCCTGGCGTGGCCGCACAAGCTGTCATCTCAGGACTCAAGAGGCTGAGGCAGGAGGATCAGGAGTTCAAGGTCAGCTTCAGCTACCGAGTGGGTTCTAGGCCACCTTGGGCACAGATAAACAGAAGTGAACAAATGAGGAGGGAACAGGGGCGGAGAGGTGGTTCAGGGGGTGTGGTCGTGCGCCAGCCTCTAACCCCGCAGACAGGAGGTGGCTGGACTTACCCGCGGCAACTGCAGCCCACAAGCCCCGCCGTCAGTGAGTGCCTCACAGACAGGGCAACGTCTGCATCCTTGGCAGAGGGGACACTGACAGTCCCCGCTGGCCTCTGCATGCACACGTGTGCACACACACAAATGGGCAGATGATGTCAGCACCGAGCTCACAGTAGGACATGGGGAGAGCGCCCTATGGAAGGCCACGCACAGGCAGCTCTGGAGTCCGGCACGTGTCACTGTACCTGGCAGCTGGGAATGTGTGGCGGCACCCGGGGCATTCGCAGCTGGTGTCTGTCCCCTGGTAGTGGTGCTCCAGGCAGCTAGTGTGGTGTTGGGTGGTTTAGTGGTCACCCTGCTGGTGCCCCTGGGGGTTGCAGGTCTGCTGGTGGTGGCCTCTGTGGTTCTGGCGGGCTGGTTAGGGATAAGCTGTGTGCTGGAGGTATGGGGGTGCGGTGTGGAGTTGAGGCCTGAGGACATGACCCTCAGGATCCAGTCCTTGAGACGGGTGATGCGGGCATATACACCGGGCCTCTTAGCCTGAGCACAGCCTATGCCCCAGCTCACGATGCCAGCCAGGTAAAAGACACCGGGGGTCTCCTCGCATGCCAGGGGGCCGCCAGAGTCACCCTGCCGGAGAAGGACACCACCAGGCCTTCGTGGGGCAGCCTTTGAGCTTGGCCATGTGACCGCAGACCCCCGCCTCTCTGAGTCTCCATCATCCAATCTTGCTTTCTTTTTGAGTACTGGGATGGAACTCAGGGCCACACACATGCTAAGCGTGTGCTCACCACTGAGCTGCACCCCAAGCCTCAGGGGAGCCCGGGGTGTCCCTGTGACACCCACCTGGCAGGAGTCAACTCTGCCCTCCAGGAAGCCAGCGCAGAGCATGCGGTCCGTGAGGGAGAAGTTGTAGAGGGAGCCACACATCTTCTGCTCTATGATGCCCACAGACGCCTTCTGCAGGATGTCGGGCTTGGTGGCTGCTGGGAAAGAGAGCTCAGAATGCCACCTAGTGACTCGTCACCAAGTAGGGCCACCAGGTGCTGCTCCTATCCTGGAGACAGTGAGCAGAGACCACAGGAATCTTTGTTTGAGACAGGGTCTCACTGTCCAGCTCTGGCTGTCCCAGAACTCAGAGATCCGCCTGCCTCTGCCTCCCAGATGCCGGGAATAAAGGTGTGCGTCACCCCCGCCCAGCTATTACAGGAGCTTCCATTTTCTCCTTGTGGCTTGGGTGGAAACAGGATTTGCACATGCTAGGCAAGTGCTCAGCACACCCCCACCTCCTGGGCATTTGAGGGTCTGTGACCCTGCCTCTGCTTCCTGGGGGCTGGGAAGACAGCTGCAGACCACCCCCCCATGCTGACACAGCTTTCTCACAGGGGCTAGAGACCCTTTGGGGGATCCAGAGCAGATGTTTACATTATGATTCATAACAGTAGCAAAACTACAGTTATGGAGCAGCAATGAAATAATTTTATGACTTGGGTCACCACAACACTATTAGAGTCACAGCATTAGGAAGACTGGGAACTGAGAACCACTGGGCTGGAGCGTCAACATTTTCAGTTTACCCTGTCAGGAAACGGAGGTGTAGAGAGGTAGAAAAGCATTATTTACTCCCAGTCAGGGGCAACACGTGGCCTCTGGCGTGGCAAGAGGCTAATGGCTCAAGTCTGTGGCCAGTAGATCAGCACAGATGTTTTCTGCAGCCATGGACATCTGAATTTGCCTTGTTTTGTTTTTAGAGACAGGGTCTCTCTGTGTAGCCCTGGCTGTCCTGGAACTCAATATGTAGACCAGACTGGCCTTAAACTCAGCAATCTGTCAGCATCTACCTCCCTAATACTGGTATTAAAGGCTTGAGCCACCACTGCCTGGTGAATGTGTCAATAAAACTTTATTTATACAATCAAGTGAGGGGCCATATGTAGTCCCCAGGAGACACTGAGTGGCTCTTAAAATGTGGGGTCAGCACAGAGGAATGGTTTAGGACCCAGGTGAGGGAATCCAGGTCCCATCCCTCCCAGGCCAGGCCCCAGAGAATGCAGCCACCATTCACCACTCCCCTCTGGGACCTGCTCACCATTTCCCTCCTGAGTGTTGCCCCAGCCTGAGATCATGCACTTCCGGCCCACAGGGAACTTGTGGATGGCCAGGGGGAGACAGATGGGCTGGATGTACTTGTTGAAGACCAGTGGCCGTGCCAACTCCAGCAAGGCCATGTCAAAGTCCAGGATGCCTGGGTTGTATTGGGGATGCAGGAAGACCCTCCGCAGCCCCAGCTTCACGGGGCTCCCGCCGACACCCATCAGGGACACGGTGCCCAGGTGCGCCTGCACCTGCTCTGCCGTCTTGGTGCTGTGGAGACAGAGCCTCAGGCACGCCTGCCTGCCCCCCAGCCCACACCGGCACCCCAGGGGATGTCCGAGGAAGGGGACCCGATGGAGAGTGCACCCTTAGGGCTTGGCTTTAGGTCACTCTAACCAAGACCCTAGCAACTTTAAGACTGTCACAGGTCTCTGCTGCGGAGCCCAGAGGGGAACAGTTGTGGGCCTGGGTGACCCTGGCTTACGAGTGCACCACCACACCACACCAGCTAGTTGGCGCTTGCTGGATGCACTGAGGTCTGCTCTCTGGGCTCTTGGGAGGCCTTACTGGTTGAAACAATGAGCGGCGGACAGCAGCCAGCGGTCACCCACCACGGTGGCTCCACAGAAATGTCTGGATCCTTCTTTCAGGCTGGCCTGCCAGGGCACCTCCCCAGACACAGCACTGAGCCCGCCCACAATCCGAGTGGGCTTGTCCATGGCAGGCCTGGCCCCACACTCTGCCGGGGGAGAGGGGAGAGGGTGATGGGGTTCCGCATCCACTCAGGGTTCATCTGACCCCTGACTGACCCAGTACAGAGCAATAAGGACATCACCCCGAGGTGGCAGGGCTGGAGGTGTACGAGAGAACCCTGAACTTGGAACAGCTGAGACACAGTCGGACAACACCGATGAGACACATCCACAGGACCACAAACGCAGGTCTGTCACAATAAAGCGCCAGGAGAGCCCAGGAGAGCCTTGGCGATTCCATGGCAGTTGAGGGGGACGGAGGCAGGGGACAAACACGCCAGGCAGGCAGAGCTTAGTGAGTTTTATTAGAAAGAGAAAGGAAGGAGGCAAAGAGAGACAGAGAGATGACAGAGGAGAAGAGACAGGAAAAGTCCTGTCCGTCCCCCCAAGGGAACAGCGGGGTAGGGGTGAGTGGGTGCGATCTTTCTTTTACAGGGTCCTGGTGCAGATTAAGCAGCCGCGGAACCCTGGGCTGACCAGGGCGCTGCAGAGTGCACTCTGCCAGCGCAGTGCCTGAGGCCTTACGGCCTGTCATCCCAGGACTCGGAAGTTGAGGCAGGAGGATTGTTTTGAGTTTGAAGTCAGTGTGAGGAACAAAAGACGCTGCCCGGGAAAGGAGAGAGCGTGGAGAGGGACGGAAGCAGGGCTGGCCGGGGTGAGAGAAAGTGAATCACCCGCTGCTGAAAGGCAGGAGCGAATCGCAGGGAAAGAGCCCCACCACGAAGCAGCAAAGCTCACCGCGTGCGCGGCCGGTGCCGGGGCCCAGGCTCAACCCCGACGCCGCAGAGCGCACGACAACCCGGCGGATGCAAGGCTGGTGAGGCACCAGAGGCGCGCGCATCAGCGGGGACCCTGCCGGGGACGCACCTGGGTCCCGCCACGACAGCCACCTTACTGCTGGCCCCGTGGGCCTCTAACTGTGCCGTCTTTGCGCCTATGTCACACTTTCAAAGAATTAAAAACCAAGCCAGGGCCGGGCGGTGGTGGCGCAGCCTTTAATCCCAGCACTCGGGAGGCAGAGGCAGGTGGATCTCTGTGAGTTCGAGGCCGGGCTGGACTGACAGCCTCCAAAAAATACAGAGAAACCCTGTCTCATAAAACCAAAAAAAAAAAAAAAAAAAAAAAAAAAAAAAACCAAGGCAGGAATAGCAGTAGACGCCTTGAATCCCAGCAACCGGGCGGCTACGGCAGGTGGAGATCTACAAAATGAGCTCCAGGCCGGCCAGGGCTACACATTGAGACTCTGCCCCCAAAAGTAAAGTAATAGTAATAATAATAATAATAATATAAAAAAGTATGCCTGAGCCGGCCGGTGGTGGCGCAGCCTTTAATCCCAGCACTTGGGAGGCAGAGGCAGGCGGATCTCTGTGAGTTCGAGGCCAGCCTGGTCTACAGAGCAAGTTCCAGGACAGCCTCCAAAGCCACAGAGAAACCCTGTCTCGAAAAACCAAAAAAAAATAAAAATAAAAACCAAGTTTGCCTGAAGAAAACCAACCTGTGACATGCAGGTGCTCGCGGCAGGCACCCGCAGTCACTGCCAGCCCCGCTGACGGGTGTCAACACACGGCGCCCATTTCCCGTAGTAAATCGCCCATCCGTCGCCCGCGGGCACTTCCCGGGCAGCACAAATAACCAATCCCCAGTTTCTCGCGAGCTCGAGGCCCGCCTCGCGCACGGAGAGCTCCGGGCTCAGAGCGGCCCCAGACACTCACAATCGACTACCGCCCGCTCGCTGGGCCGGGGTCGGCGGTCAGCGCCTGCGCCCGGACAGACATCAGCAGTCGACCGCCGATGGCCCCGCCCCGCCCCCTGTGGGGAGGGAGGCCCCGCCCCGCCCCGCCCCGCCCCCCGTGGTACCTTGCGGCTGGGCGGCGGGGCCGGGGCGCGGCGCGGGGCTGCTCGTCGCCCCCGCCGCCGTGGCTTTGGCCGGGGCGTCGGGGCTGGCGGGCCCGGGGGTGCTCGGGGCGGCGGGCGCAGGGGCCGCGGTGGGGGCGGCGGCCGAGCCGGTCACCTCCAAGATCCAGTCCCGCAGGCGGGTGACGCGGGTGTAGACGCCGGGTCGCCGCGCCTCCGCGCAGCCGATGCCCCAGCTCACGATGCCGGCCAGGAAGAATCTTCCGGAAGGCTCCTCGCACACCAGGGGTCCCCCCGAGTCCCCCTGGAAGGCGGGGCCGCCGTCAGCGCGGACGGACGCACGCGGCGGGCACCCCGGGGGCGCCCCCGCCGCAGGAGACGGCTCCCGACCGCCGGCCACCGCCCCAGCCCCACCCCGGCGCCGGCCACCGCCCCAGCCCCACCCCGGCGCCGGCCACCGCCCCAGCCCCACCCCGGCGCCGGCCACCGCCCCAGCCCCACCCCGGCGCCGGCCACCGCCCCAGCCCCACCCCGGCGCCGGGCAGAGCGGGCGGGCGGGTCCGGAGTTCGAGGCCACCCCGGGCCACAGGGGACGCCCTGTCTCGAAAACCAAGCAAACAAGGTAAAACCCACACAGCGGCCCCTGCGTGCACGGAACCCAGGCGGACACAAACGCTCCGGCAGGGTGTGAGGCGGCCCCACGCAGCCCGGGCGGCTCCGACTCCTCCTGGAGCTGCCGGCGCCCGGCCTCGCACACCGCGTCTGTTCGCTCGCCCTCGGGGCAGAGGGCGAGGCTGGCGCCGCACCTGGCAGGAGTCCACCTTGCCGTCCAGGTAGCCTGCACACAGCATCCTGTCGGTGAGCGCGTGGCCGTACAGCCGGGCGCACAGGCTCTGCTCCAGCAGCTCCACCGTGGCTTTCTGGAGGACCTCCGGCTTCACCACTACCCAAGAGAAAAGCGCGGTGAGAGCGCCGGACCCCAGCAGCCACTCCCTCTTGGGGTGCCCAGGTTACAGGGGCCGCCTGCCCCGCACCCCAACTGCAGCGTCCAGCACCCCGGGACTGGGCTCCTCTCCCCACGAGTGCCAGGCCCTCAGACGCTCTGGGCTCTCACGACACCGCTTCCTCCAGCCGTACACTCATCCCCGACATGCCGGAGTTTTCCTCCTCTTCTCCTGGCTATAGGCTTCTTTTGTTTTTGTTTTGTTTTTATTTTTGAGACTTGGCCTCTTAGAGCCCGGGGCCGGCCTCGAACTCACTTCCTAGCCAAAGATGACCTTGGACTTCATCCTCCTGACTCCCCGGCTTAAACTCGGGGATGACGGCTGCTTCCACCACCGTTAGCATTACAGAATTTCTTTTTTCTTTTCCTTACCGGATGCATCGAACCCACACCCCCCCCCACGTTAGACTCACTCCACCCGGACGACGTCCCCAGCACCCCACTGGGGTTCCAGGCGGGGTCCACCCTGACCACGCCCCACCGTTTGTAGCTTTCTGAGGCAGGGCCTTGCTGGGCTCCCCCCGGACCCCCGCTTGTGGGCTCAGGGAGGCGCCAAGGCGGGGTCACAGGCTGCTGTTTCAGGGCCGGAGGGTGGGGTGGAAGGAAGCTCGCGAGCTTACGGAAGTCCTCCTTCAGGTAGCCCCAGCCCGAGATCAGGCACTTCTTGCGCGGCGGGAAGACGTGCGTGGCGGCGGGGAGGCAGGCGGGCTGTACGTAGCGGCCAAAGGGCAGCGGGCGAGCCAGCTCCAGCACCGCCACGTCGAAGTCCGCGGTGTCGGCGTCGTAGGCGGGATGCTTGGCGATGCGGAGCACGCGGGCGCGCACAGCGCTGGCCTCCGAGCCACTCAGGAGCACGCTGCCCGCCTGGGCCGCCCACTGCGCAGGGTCCTGGAACCTGGGGAGTGCGAGGGTTGCAGCTTAAGAGAGGGGGGGGGGGGGGGATCCGAGGAGTAGGCAAGGAAAAACAGTAAAGGACGCGGGCCAGGGGGCTCCGTGGGCACAGGCACTTGTGGCCAAGCAGGGCGGCCTGAGTTCGAATCCCGGGCCACACAGAGTGGAAGAATCAGATCAACTACTGCACGTTGCCCTAGAGGGACACGTACACGCTCTGGCATGTGCACCCACACGCATACACACAAAACAAATGAAAGACTGAGCACGACTGATACCAGCACCTGGGAACAGAGGCAGGGGCGTCTCTGTGAGTTCAAAGACAGCCTGGTCTGCAGAGCTAGTTCCAGAACAGCTATATAGCGAGATCTTGCCTCAAAATTAAAGCAATAATAAATGAAAATCAGTGCAGACTGGCTATGGGGTAGACACCTGTAACCCCAGCTAGGATGCTGAGATAATTACGAATTCCCGGGAAGCCTGGGAACCTAGTGAGGTCTTGTCCTTTTTTCTTTCTTTTTTTTCTAGACAGGGTTTCTCTGTGTAGCCCTGGTTGTCCTGGAACTCGCTCTGTAGACCAGACTGGTCTTCAACTAAGAGATTTGCCTCCCTCTGCCTTCCCGAGTACTGGGATTAAAGGTGTGCACCGCCTCCGCCTGAGGCCTTTTCTTTAAAAAAATTAATTTTAAAAAAAGAAAAGAGAGGGGGCCTGGAGAGATTGCTCAGTGGTTATTATACCAACTGTTCCTGCAGAAGATCCAGTTCGGTTCCCAGCACCCACATGGGTGTGCACAACCATCTGTAACTCCAGTTCAGGGGATCCAGTGCCCCCTTCTGGCCTCTGAGCATCAGGCATGCATATGGTGCACAGGCAAAACATTCATCTACGTAAAATTAAATACGCCGGAAGAGGAAAGGGGGGACGACAGAAGAGTGGACTCTGGGAAAGGAGGCAGTAGAGGAGGAGGGTGGGACTCACTCATTGAAGCAGTGGGCGGCAGACACCAGCCACCTGTCCCCAATGATGGTGGCCCCACAAAAGTGCTCGTGGTTCTCCCGAAGGCTGACCTGCCAGGGGAACTCCCCGGGGGCTGCCTCCACACCACCCACAATCCTGCCGGCCGATCTCCATGCAGGCTGCCAGCCGCAGTCTGCAAGACACAAGGCCACCAGCTGGGACCCCAGGGCCAGCCTGTCTGTCACTCATCGTTTGGCCCCGAATTGAAAGCACCATCACCACGTGCCTGGGGTGCCCTGCTTCTTGATGCCCAAGGTCACACCAAACAGTGTCAGCCCACACATGGTCAGTGCCAAGCATGAAGGTCATAAGACCCTCAAACCTATTGCTTGTTTTTATTTTATTCACCCCTGCCTTCCTTCTTTTCTTTCCTTTTAGACAGGATTTCTCTGTGTGACCAGGCTGCCTCAGACTTGCAGAGACGCGCCTCCCTCTGCCTCTGAGTGCGACACCACCTGGCATCATTTCTTTCTTTCTTTAAAAAGTTATTTATTATATACTCAGTGTTCTACCTGCATGTATGCCTGCAGGCCACAAGAGGGCGCCAGATCTCATTACAGATGGTTGTGAGCCACCATATGGTTGCTGGGAATTGAACTCAGGACCTCTGGAAGAGCAGCCAGTGCTCTTAACCTCTGAGCCATCTCTCCAGCCCATCCACCTCTTTTTAAACAGACTCTCCTTCCAGCCCAAGCACCCTGCGACTCCTGATCCTCCTGCCTCAGCGCTGGTGCCTGGATGACACACCTGCACCACCAAACACTGGGGAATTTTCTTGACTAATAACTATTGACGCTGGAGGGCTGAGCCCCTCCCCTGTGGGTGGTGTCAACCCCTAGCAGGTGATCCTGGACTGTGGTGAGCCTGAGAGAGAGCCCAGGGAACCTCCATGTGACTCCCATTCCTCTCCGAGCTGTCTTTGCTCTGACAGCAGCAGAGAGCAGATTAGGACTGAGCTCTTCTTGCTGAGATCGCCGGCTGATGACCACGCAGCATTTTCCTCACGCGGATCTACCCAGCCCTTGTTCCTGGCAGCATGGGGCCGCAGGCTCCCTGCACTCCTCTGGGCCCCTGTGCTTAGTGGATAGCTCCGTGCCCTCTATGCCCTCACACCCATCCACCTGCTCCTCCCAGCTTGCGAGCCACATTCAGCGGGAGCCCAGAGAGCCCCGGCCCAGACCGTGCTGACACTGACCGCACTGGGCCTCGTCAGACCCATCGGAGCAGTCCACCCTGGTGTCACATTCCGGGTTCTCTTTGTTCACACACTGACTGTTGTCACAGGAGAAGGCGTTCCCAGGGCAGCGGCCTGGGGACAGAGAAACCAGCTGGAGGCAGCGGCTTGTAGGGGTCCACTGGGAACCTCCACACTAGGGAAAACCCCCGAGTTCTTTGCGTATCTCTGGGGACAGGACAGAGATAGATAAAATGGGTGTGGGTGATTTGTGTGTGAGACAGGGTCACACTGTGTAGCCCTGGGTGGACTAAAACTCCCTCTGTAGGCCAGGCTGGCCTCGAACTCACAGAGATCCGCCTACCTCTGCCTCCCGAGTGCTGGGATTGAAGGCGTGCGCCACCAACGCCCAGCGAGATCCTATCTTTATAAATAAATAAGCCAACAGCATTCACTGCGGCAGGGCCTGGCTGTGGACACTTGGTCCCCCTCTAGAGTGCCACTGAGCTACTCCAGCGATGCCAGGGAAGCCAGACACCCTCAGGAACCACCCTTGTGATTCTGGAGAGAATTCAGGGAAAGCCGAGCTGAGGGTAGAGGCCAGTCCTACCTGACTTCAAGTCCCTCTCGGTCACCGGACTGTCACATCTTCCTGAAGTAGAACAGACAAAACCAAGTGAGAGCTAGGCACGGTGTTGTGGTGTTGGCCTGTCACCACGGCTGAGGCAGGAGGATTGTGCCTTTGAGATCAGCCCGGGCATTATGATGGGGGGTCTGGCTTCCTCTCCCTAAAAGATCAACTGAGTGAGTTTTGGCTCTATGACAGTCTCACTGCAGGTGGCGACTGGGCCATCCCAACCCAAACCCAAACACTAACCCCAACCCAAACCCTAACCCCAACCAAAACCCGAACAGTAACCCTAACCCTAATCCCAACCCCAAAATCCCAAGCCCTAACCCTAATGCCAACCCAACCCTAAACCTAACCCAAACCCTAACCCTAATCACAATCTAACCCTAACCCCAACCCTAAAAACCTAACCCCAACCCAAACCCAAACCCCAACCTCAACCCAAATACTAACCCTAATCCCAACCTCAACCTAACCCTAACCCCAACCCCAATCCAAACTTTAACCCTAACCCCAACCTGACCCTGACCCCACCCTCAGCCTGGCTGATTGGGGACAGCATGGAAGAGACACACGAGGCTGGCAGCCACCATCCCAGTGAGGGACACAGGTCACTAGAAGATGGAGCTGAAGTGACAGTCACTGAGACCTCAGGGACAGTGAGGTCTAGTAACAAGAGTGGTTTAATGGGTTTCTAATTGGTTCTCCCCTTTTAAAAAAAGATTTGTTTATTTATGTTGTATACAGAGTTCTGCCTGCATGTCAGAAGAGGGCGCCAGATCTCATTATACATGGTTGTGAGCCACCATGTGGTTGCTGGGAACTAAACCCAGGTCATCTGGAAGAGCAGTCAGTGCTCTTAGCCTCTGAGCCATCTCTCCAGCCCCAGTCTCTCCCATTACTACCTGGAGTCCAGCACACGGTGGTTTTGCATTTCCTGTGATTTGGTCTTTGTTTTCTTTTGTTTTTCTTTTTGAAACCAGGCCTCATTATGTTGTCCAGGCTGGCTCCAGGTTCCTGGAGTGACTGGGGAGCTAGCCTGTGGTCCTCATGGCAGGCCCCCACAAGAGCAGCTGATGCTTAATCCAAGGGACAACTCCAGGGTTTCATGTTTACCACGCTCCTCCGAATGGGTTCAACTTTGACTGTTTGAACTGTTTAGTTCTGGAATTTTCTTCTTCTCCCTCTTCTTCTTGTTTTGGTTTTCTGAGACAGGGTTTCTCTGTGTAGCCCTGGCTGTCCTGGAACTCGCTCTGTAAACTAGGTTGGCCTTGAACTCACAGAGATCTGCCTGTCCCTGCCGTTCAAGTGCTGGGATTAAAGGTATGAGGCCACCATGCCTTGTTAGTTCTGAAAATTTCCGTTATGTTTTTGGAATCACAATGAACCAAGGATGACCAAAACCATGGAAAATAGTCCGTGAATGTAAGGGGACTCTTACTGCCAAGTCACTAGTCACAAAAGTAGGATGTTTACATAAAAAGTAGCTGAACCTCTGCCTCTGAGGGTGTGGGAGACTGGGTTTCTTCGTCCTTCCATCAGAGGGGGAGATTTTTCTAAAATGATGTTACACCTCACCCCCAGCGGCCCTTTGTCTCCCAGACAGGGGCTGCCACCACCTACCTGTCAGCCTCACTGACACGATGGTGCCATAGGCAGCCAGGGAAAGACCGTGTCCTTGCAGTCTTGCCTGGATGCCTTTCTGCAAGATGTCCTCCTCCTGGTCCAGGCTCAGTGGCTGGAGGGCTCGGAGCAGAAAGTGGAGCCGGAAATGCACAAATACGCTGGAGTTCCCATCCCTGCAAGCAGGACAAGCTTGGAAGCAGAAGGCAAACTCGCTGCTAGGATTTTCCAGAATCTTCTAGAAGGTTCTGGGATTGTCTACCAAGGCTGCTTTGCCCTCACAGAGGCCTTAACTCACCTGTAACTGAGCACTGTACAGCCTGCACAGCTCGATTCCAACTGTGTTTTGTGGAAACTGCTCACAAACTGCAACAAAATCGAGCAGTGATGCTGAGGCCACAGGGAGACGGGGGTGCAGAACCTCCACCGGGAGACGACGGGGATGCAGAGCCTCCACCGGGAGACAGGGGTGCAGAGCCTCCAGCGGGAGACGGGGTGCAGAGCCTCCACCGGGAGACGACGGGGATGCAGAGCCTCCACCGGGAGATGGGGGTGCAGAGTCTCCACCGGGAGACGGGGGTGCAGAGCCTCCAGCAGGAGACGGGGTGCAGAGCCTCCACCGGGAGACGGGGGTGCAGAGCCTCCACCGGGAGACGGGATGCAGAGCCTCCACCGGGAGACGGGGTGCAGAGCCTCCAGCGGGAGACGGGGGTGCAGAGCCTCCACCGGGAGACGGGGGTGCAGAGCCTCCAGCAGGAGACGGGGTGCAGAGCCTCCACCGGGAGACGGGGGTGCAGAGCCTCCACCGGGAGACGGGGTGTGGTGAAGGCAGCCATGGGGAAACACCCTCCTGTCAATAAACTAACAAACCGACACAGTGCGGTCTGTGCAAACAATTGAATATTACTCAGCCCTGGAAAAGAATATAAGACTCACACCACTTGGTGTTATAACGCCCAAGATGGAAATCAACATCTGAGTTACAGACACTCCATAGCTATATAGGGAGGGCATAGAGCCCCGGGGCAGGAGCAGGTGCTTGTCTCTGTCCATGGAGATGGATGGGTGGGTGAGTGGATGGGTGGATATACTGGTGGGTGCGTGGATGGTGGACGGGTAATGGCTACATGGGTGGGTGGATAGGTTAGTAGATGTATTTATGGGTAGAGAGTTAGGTAGATGGATGGGTGTGTTACGGTGTTCCGGCCCAGTTCCGAAGCTGCCTCAGAGCCCCAAATAACATACGAGACGCTATATTTATTGTAAGCTGTTGGCCAGTAACTAGAACCAGCTCCATCCTTAGTATTAATCCATAACTACTAATACATACATACATACATACATATATATATTTCTGCTAGGTGTTACCGAGAAAGCCAGACTGATGTGTCCTCTCCTCCCAGGATCACATGGCAACCTTACTACACTTCCCAGAATCCTTCTTGTCTCATAGTCTCATCTATCTTGCTTCCCTATTGGCCAACAGTGTTTTATTCAACAATCAAAAGAGAGACGTGCACAGAAGACTTCCCCATCGTGGATGGATGGGTGGATGGATGGATGGATGGATGGGTGGATGGATGGGTGGATGGATGGGTGGGTGGATGGATGGATGGATGGATGGATGGATGGGTAGATGGGTGGGTGGATGGATGGATGGATGGATGGGTGGGTGGATGGATGGATGGATGGGTAGATGGGTGGGTGGATGGATGGATGGATGGGTAGATGGGTGGGTGGATGGATGGGTGGATGGATGGATGGATGGATGGATGGGTGGGTGGATGGATGGGTGGGTGAATGGGTGGATGGATGGATGGGTGGGTGGGTGGATGGGTGGATGAGTTGGTGGATGGACTGGCAAATGGTTGGGTGGATGGGAAGAAGGGTGGTGATTTGTTGGGTGTGTACATGAATGGATTGTCTGTTGGGTGGTCAGACAGTTATATGAACAGCTGGATGGATGAATGGATGACTGCATGATAAATACACAAAACATGGTCCATCCCACACCAACTGCCATGCAGTCACAAGCATGTGAAAACCTGCACATGCCCCACATGGAGGGACCCTGAGGACACTGTTTGCAGTGAGGGACCCACACAGCATGGACTCCATGATAGGGAACATCCAGGCAGGAATGCATACATGTGATACCCCCCCCCCTGGTCACAGCATCCACCGCTGCCTCCTCGCACTCACCAGTGTCTGCAGCGCAGGCGTGAGCAGGCGGTAGTAGTGGGAGGTCTCCTGCTGAAGAGAGCTGGAGAATCGGATCCCCTGCAGCTGCGCTGTGTGCTCCACCAGCACCCCCTGCGCAGAGAGGAAGGCTGCGGGCGAGACCCGCGCCTGGTGAGCGGCAAGGCCTCAGCACCCCTGCCTGTCTCCCAAGTCTGCACGCACAGGAGGCCAGCCTGTGCCAGCCACCAGTGCACCACTGCTGAAGGATCCCCAGATACAATGTAAGGGTTATAGAGGCCAAGTGACTTTGGTGTCCCCAAAGTCAGCTTCCTTGACCTGAGTCAGTGACTTCACTGATGATCAGACCTCAGGGGGCCTTGCAGTGTGTTCCCAAGTGCCCTCCTAGGGTGGGACAGCAATTACTGTAGAGGTCAGAGCAAGCCAGGGGACCCCAGGACCTTTGCATGGCTCATCCTGGGGGCACGCTCCAGGACTGCCGGCTGCCTTTGGTGGTCACTCGTGTGAGCCAGGCCATCAGGTACCTCTCTCTCTCTCCATCTTGTGTGTGAGGCAGGGTCTTCCAGTTGCACTGGCCGGCAAGCCCTGGGGATCCTCCTGTGTCCCCAGCTCTGAGATTACAAGAGTCTGTCACTGCACCTGGCTTTTTCTGTGACTACTGTGGATTGGAACTTGGTGTCTTTTAAGGCAGACGCTGCTGCCTGAGCCATGTCCTGGCCCCTCTTTCATTTGTCACTTTGAAGCGGGGCTTTGCTTTGTAGCCTGTGCTGACTTGAATATCACACCCCCTGCCACAGCTGTCCCTGCCTTTGCCACCATGCCCCCTAAAAGGAGTTTCTAACTGTGAGTTCCATCATGAAACAGGAGTAAAACCCAAACCAACCACCGGCACAGGTGAGGGTGTGCCTCTGCCCAGTCTCTCTGGAGGCTGAGGTAGAAAAATTGTATCTCCCAGACACTTAACTGCAACCTGGGAACCATAGCAAGACCCAGCTGCAGACAGAAATTCCAACAGAGGCTGGAGTGCCAGCTCAGCCCTTGTAAGAACTGCCTGCTCTTGCAGAGGACCCCGGTTCAGTCCCCAGGCCCCACATGGTGGCTGAGCCTCCTATAAGTCCAGTTTCAGGGTGTGGACACACTCTTTTGGCCTCTGGGCACTGCACACATATGGTGTACAAACATACATGCAGGCAAAACACTCATACACAGAAAATAAAACTTAAAAAACAAAATCTGCCAGGCAGTGGAGTCGCACGCCTTTAATCCTAGCACTCATGAGGCAGAGGCAGGCGGATCTCTGAGTTCCAGGCCTGCCTGGTCTGCACGGAGAAACCCTGTCTCAAAAACAAAAGCTAAACACACAAACAGGAAATACAGCAGAAGCAACAGTGTGGGTAACTCCTCAGGGTAGAGTTGTGGATCCATGGGTAGGAGAAGCATCCAATGACTGTGGGTCAGCGGGCACAATACTCAAACCCAGCAGGCAAGCTGCCTTGGGTACCACTCCAGTAACCATGGGCCAGGAGTGGTGGCTCATACCTGTGGTCCCAGCACGTCAGAGATGGAGGTGGCAGGATCGGGATTTAAAACTACCCTCACCAGTAAGAACTTCAGGCAAGTCTGGGCTACACCATCCTGATTCTCAAAATGAGAAAATCTCTCAAAAATGGGGAAGAAGGTTTTTGCGCATCACACCCAGGCCAGCCCAGGGTCCCAACAGTCTTGAAATCGTTGCAGACAGTCAGGACTCCCACTTCTAGGCATAAGGACACACACACACACACACACACACACACACACACACACACACACACAGGAACAATTGGGAGTGAGAATGCTATTGGGAGTGACAGGCACAGACACTAGGGGGCAGCAGTCAGTCATGTTAGTCTGCAATCATTCAGAAAAGTTTAATAAATACTATTATAGTTGGAAAACCTAGAGCAATTATTAGCTTATTCTTTTGCCACACAAGAGGGTTTCCTGATGTGGGATGTTCTTCTGTGTGTGTTGACTTTATTGGCTGACGAATAAAGTTGTTTCGGTCAGTGGACAGGCAGAATTTAGCTAGGCAGGAAAAGTGAATAAAGAGACAGAAAGAGGGAAGACGGGAGGGTCAGGAGACATGTAGCTGCCAGGGAGGCAGATGTCGGGGAATCACCAGTAAGCTACAACCACAAGTGATACACAGATGAATAGAGATGGGTTAATTTATAAGAGAGAGCAAGCCAATAAGAAGCTAAGCCATTGGTCAAACAGTCACAACTGGTATTAAGCCTCAGAGTGGTTATTTTGTAAGCGACTGTGGGGACCCTGTCGGGGCAGAGAGACACCGGTCCAGTGGGACTGGACTAGACAGAGAAAAACCTTCCGTTTCCCTGTTTGTGTTCGTCATCATTCTCACACAGAATAACCATTCTAACAGGCTGTGGTTAGCCACACCCTGGCAGGGGCTCCACCCTGACCACGCCCTCAGCTCCTCACTGGGGAATTCTAGGTGGGGCTCCACCCTGACCACGCCCCCAGTCCCTCCTTGGGGGACTCTAGGCGGGACTCCTCCCTGACCACGCCCCCAGCCCCTTACTGGGGCATTCTATGCGGGGCTCCTCCACAGCCACGCACCCAGCCCCTCACTGGGGGACTCCTAAGCCACTACTCTGTAGCCCCAGCTGACCAGGAACTGGGATCCTCCTGCTGCAGACTCTAATTCTGCCACAGTGAATAGGTGTCAAAGCTTACACATGTTCATTCTCCCCCACTGGACCCCAGTGTTGACCACTCCTGGACTCCTTTCAGTTGGGAAAATAGTCACCCATTGCTACTGCACACTCAGCCATCGCATCCTGGGATTTTGGAGCCTGTTCCCTAGGTTGCAGACGCAGGGCAGCCCTTTGGCTCTGAATGGATGCTCCGGACACTGACGGTGTCCTTTTGAGTGTCTTATACTCCAAGGATCCTGCCACTTACCCAAAAGGACTCCCAGGGTAAGGACAACTGTACTGACGGCCACAACAGCGGTGACAGCAGTTCGACAGCAGCCAGAGTCCGGAGCTGGGACATGGGTGTCCTTCGTCATCTCTGGCATGAGTTGTAAGTCAGGTGCTGTGCGCTCCATGGCTCAGCAAACTCAAAGCTCCAGCTAGACACCTGCAAAACATGGATCAAGGATTTGTCTGACATTCAGCCCACCGGGAGGTGGGGGACAGGACACTGGAGTGCCATCTTGCCTTGCCAGGGAACTGGTGGTGGTGGCCACAGCCTTTGGGCATGATTTTAGGTGCAGACATGACCCATTATAAGGTAGAGAAGGGACTGACTCTCGCTCTCTTGGGTTGCGGAAAGTATTAGGAATGGCAGAAACCGCATCTTCAGGATGCGGCTATCCTAGTCACTGCAGCCCAGCGGGGCCAGGGTGGTGGGCAGAGAATGCCACCCAGGGACACAAGCCAGTGGTTGGGAGAGCTGCCTGCTCTCTGAGAATATGGGCGTTCAGTTCCCAGCACCACAGGGAAGCTCACAGCCATCTGTAACTCGAGCTCCCAAGGGTCCAATGCCCCCTTCTGGCCTCTGTGGGAGCTGCACTCATGTGCACAAAGACACACCATTACAACATTAACGGAGAATGCCCAGATGAATATGGCTGTCACAAACAGCAGACACAGATCTGTAAGTGAGCTTTGTCTTGACGATGTATCCACATCTGCATCAGACGCTGGTGAGGATGTGGTGAGGATGTAAGGACCCTTTTTTTTTTTTTTTTTTTTTTTTTTTTGGTTTTTCGAGACAGGGTTTCTCTGTGGCTTTGGAGGCTGTCCTGGAACTCACTTTGTAGACCAGGCTGGCCTCGAACTCACAGAGATCCGCCTGCCTCTGCCTCCCGAGTGCTGGGATTAAAGGCGTGTGCCACCAACGCCCGGTTGGGACCCTTTTTTTTAGGCAAAAATCACCCTAGTCGGTTTAATCCCAGCACTTAGGATAAGAGGCAGTGGCAAGAGGATCTCTGTGAGTTCGAAGCCAGCCTGGTCTACAGAGAGAGTTCTAGGACATCCAGGACTGCACAGAGAAACTCTGTCTCAAAAAAAAAGGAAAGAAAGAAAAAACTACTCTAGAAATTGACTGTTAGTGCACACCTGTGATTCCAGTGTTCCACACACAGTACCTGGAGGATGTGTTTGAGGCTAACCTGGGCTACAGGATAAAATTTGAATTTTTTTGTTTGTTTGTTTGGTTTTTTGAGACAGGGTTTCTCTGTGGCTTTGGAGGCTGTCCTGGAACTAGCTTTTGTGGACCAGGCTGACCTTGAACTCACAGAGATCCTCCTGCCTCTGCCTCCCGAGTGCTGGGATTAAAGGCGTGCGCCATCAACACCCAGCACCGTTCCCCCCCCAACCCCCCGTGGTTTATTTATTACATATACAGTGTTCTGCCAGAAGACAGCACCAATTGTAGATGGTTGTGAGCCACCATGTGGTTGCTGGGAATTGAACTCAGGACCTCTGGAAGAGCAGTCGGTGCTCTCAACCTCTGAGCCGTCTCTCCAGCTTGAACTCTGTTTTGTTGTCATGAAAAGAACAAACTTTTTTTCCTTTTTTCTTTTTCTTAAGACAGGGTTTCTCTGTGTAGCCCTGGCTTTCCTGGAACTCGGGCTGTAGACCAGTGTGGTAGAATATTATTTTAAGTTGTGCGACTTTTGTTTATGCTGCATTTAACTCTGTGGAGCTGTGATTCTTTGCCTGTCTGAAACACCTGATGGTCTAATAAGGAGCTGAGGAGCGATGACGGGTGTGGCTGCCAGGCAGGGAGGGTAAGTAGGAGGTGAAACGAGGGAAAAAGCAGCAACCAGAGATCCAGGGGAAGAAGATGTCAGGGCAGCCACCAGCCAGTCATGGATAAGGACAGTAAGACATACAGAAGCAGGGAAGATAAAAGCCCAAAGGGAGAAGCTAGTTTAAGAAAAGCTGGCTGGAAACAAGCCACGCTAAGGCCAGGCATTCATAACGAAGAATAAGCCTCTGTGTGTGAGCTATTTGGGAGCTGGGTGGTGGACTCCCAAAACAGAAAAATATGTATCATAACTACACACCAGGCTGGCCTTGAACCCAGAGAGATCCACCTGTCTCTGCCTGGGAGTGCTAGGATTAGGGCCCATGCTGCCATCACTGGCTAAAACAACAAACTTAATGAAACAGATAAACAAATGGATACTCTATCAAAGACACAGGAGGGCTAGTGAGAGGGTTCAGAGGTGATTGCTGCCAAATCTAATGACCCGAGTTCAATCCCCAAGACCCACATGGAGGAAGGACAGTGCTGACCCCTGCAGCTTGTCCCCCAACCTCAAAAGAAACAAACATGCGTCCCTCCTGGAGGAGCCACACCGAGTCCCTGGCCTTCCCTCGCTCTTCTGGAGAAGCCCACACCACAGTCGAGGAAGTGTCCTATTTTTCCGCCCTCCTCCCCTTCATGTAACCCAGGCTGGCCTCAAACTCACAATCCCCCTGCCTCAGCAAAAAGAGGTTTATTTTCATTTCATTTGCTGGGTGTGGTGGAGCACACCTTTAACCCCAGCACTCAGAGGCAGAGGCAGGAGGATTCTGTGAGTTCCAGCTAGCAAGGGTTCCATCGGGAGATTCTGCCACAAAAGAAAGAATGTTAATCATTTCATTTCATTTTCAGGCAGGGTTCCACGTGGCCCAGACCGGAGTCCTGGTCCTCCTGGTCCTCCTGGTCCTCCTGGCTCCACTCCGGAGGGAGCGCAGGGTGGGTGACAAGTGTGTGCACCCATTCCCTGCCTCTCGTGGATCCCAGTGCACCCTCTGCTAGTTCTGGCGTCTCCAGGCTGAGGTGCTGTCCTTACGGGAACCTGTCTCTGCCTGAAACGGCCACCACGAATGACAGGGGGCAGGGCAGCAGCCTGGCCACGACAACACTCACATCTTTATTCTTACAGCTCAGTTACACGGCTTCTGGAGAAGAACAACTATCTCTGTGAGTCTCTCAATGAAATAAGATAGGAACAAAGCCACAGAGAAGTGCTGAGCAGTGAGGCCACCCTTGGACTCCCAGGGAGACTCGTCGATGGTCCTGACACGCACACTGTGCAGCACCCACACGTGCACGCGCAGGGACACACGTGCACCTGCAGGGACACACGTGCACCTTCAGGGACACACGTGCACACACAGGGACACACGTGCACGTGCAGGAACACACGTGCACCTGCAGGGACACACGTGCACACGCAGGGACACACTGCATACGCAGGAACACACGTGCACATGCACGCACACTAGCGTGCACACACCCCACGCTCCCCCATGCACACTGTGCCCATTTGTTGTGCCCCTTGGTCCCCACCAGTCCTGCCAACAGTGACCCTGCCCTCAGAGGACTTGCTGCTGCTGAGGGCTGAGCACGGAACCATTCAGCACTTTCTCTCCGTGCTAACTACCACAGGGCCGTCCTGGCTGCAAACCCACAGCCCAGAAAGGGGCGTGTCCAACTCTGATCCTTCGGAAACCTGGGCCAGGGAGACCAGGCCAACAAGAACCAGATGAGGTGGCCCACACCTGTCATCCCAGCACGCAGGGAGCTGAGTCAGGGGGATTGCTGTGAGTTCAAGGCTAGCCTAGGTTACATAGCAAGGTCCAGGCTAACAGGAGATACAAAAGAAAACCCTTTCTCAGGGCGGTGGTGGCGCACGCCTTTAACCCCAGCACTCGGGAGGCAGAGGCAGGCGGATCTCTGTGAGTTCGAGGCCAGCCTGGTCTACAAAGTGAGTTCCAGGACAGCCTCCAAAGCCACAGAGAAACCCTGTCTCGAAAAACCAAAAAAAAAAAAAAAAAAAAAAAAACCCTTTCAAACAACACTACCAAGGCACGATGACACGCATCTGTCACTCCTGTACTGGGATGAGGAGGCTCACTAGTGAGAAGTTTAAAGTCATTCAGGCAAGTGTGGGTTACCAAGTGACAGTCACCAAAACTGATAGGAATGGCAGTTGGAAGATCTGGAACACAGAGGACTTCGTGTGCCCAGCTCTGATCCAGACAGGGGCCCAAACCTAACCTGACACGTGGTTTGTAAGTAAGTTTTTGTTTGTTTGTTTTGTTTGTTTGCTTGGCTTGGTTTGGTTTTTCGAGACAGGGTTTCTCTGGACTTGAACTCACAGAGACTCCCCTGCCTCTGCCTCTTAAGAGGCACTATCATGACCTGGCAAAACTCAGATATTTTTCAAAAACTGAAACGTTAAAAACAAGCCCAGCAGATCGGAAGGTTCAGTGGGTGAGGCCACTTGCTGTCAAGCCTGGTGAATTCCATCCTGGGACCCACAGGCTGGGCAACTGACTTCTGTAACCTTTGACCCCACAGCCTCAGTGACACACTCCCACACAAGTACACACCAATAAACAACAGAGTCAAAACAAAATAAAAACCTCAAAGCCAGCCATGGTGGCACACACCCTCAACCCCAGCACTTGGGAGGCAGAGGCTGGAAGTCAGGGAGTTCTAGGTCAGCCTCGGCCACAAAGCAAGTTTAAAGTTAGCCTGGGCTACATGAGGCCTCCCCCATCTCAAAAATATTTTTAAAAGGAAACCAAAGGAACCAGGGGTAGACTCACAGGCACCAGACACTGAACTTTGAAGAGATGAGGTAACAGAGGGTGACCTGAGGCCCTGCAGCCAACAGCCACCCCACTGTTGGACACACCTGGCTTGTTTCCATCCAGAAAAATGCTGTACATGCAGGGCCAGGAGTGGGTATCAATGGCCCAGCAAGGAAAGTCCGGAGCAGCGAGCAGGAGCAGCTCCACCTGAGGTGACCCCGAGCATCCCATTCTCAGGGAGGCCTGACAGACCACGGCAGCTGGCAGCTTCTCTAACCAGATCTGTCCAGGGCCTCTCGGGGGGCACGGGAGTGGGGGGGGTCTGGCACAGAGGGAACAGAAATCCAGCCAGCCCAGCTCTCTCTGAACCAGAGGCGGTTGCAGAAGCCCAGGCGGCCCCTGCCCATGTGGGCCCTTGAGCTGAATGGCACTTTTTAGTGGTTTTGAGGGGCTGTGGCCTCTGAACACGCCCACGCTGGAAGTCCCCGGCATCTGCGAGTATGTTACCTCACATGGCGTCCACTCTCACCAGGAGGCCCTCAGAGCGAGGCAGAGGGTGAGAGGGAGGAAGGGGCAGAGAGCCAAGGGATGCCAGGCCTCTACCGACTGAGGCAGATGGGATTTGAAGCTCGGAGCAAACACTCCTGCCCAGCCAGAAGTTTAGTCGAGACGAGCCTGGTTCATGTCGGAGTGGCTTTTGCTGTTGCTTGTCTGTTTTGGTTTTTGTTTTTTGACAGACTCCAGGCCTGTAGCCTGCAATTTGTGACTCTCCTCGGTCAGTCTCCGTCACATCTGGCTTTTTTTTTTTTTTTTTTTTTTTTTTTGGTTTTTCGAGACAGGGTTTCTCTGTGGCTTTGGAGGCTGTCCTGGAACTCACTCTGTAGACCAGGCTGGCCTCGAACTCACAGAGATCCGCCTGCCTCTGCCTCCCGAGTGCTGGGATTAAAGGCGTGCCCACCAACGCCCGGCCCATCACATCTGGCTTAAAGTGGCCTCTGTGGCTGCTGTCGAGCAGGGCTTTCTCTGTGTAGCTCTGGCTGTCCTGGAACATACGTAGTTTCAGGGCATGGTGGCACACACATACACATACTGGGGCCAGCGAGACTGCTCAGCAGGTAAAGGCACTTCCGGCTGAGCCTGATACCTGAGGTCCACCCCCAGGAGAGATCCAAGCACCCAGAACTGCCCCCGACCTGAGTGAGCATGTGCACCGTGGCACGCTTACAGGCTCGCGTGCACAAGGAAAATAAATCAACGTGTGGATTTGGCAGCGTTGAGGGGCAGCAGACAGTGCCCTGCCCTGGATTGTCACTGTGTCCCTCTGGATGTGTGGAGACTAGTCATCTCTGACAAAGCAGGGTTTTGACATCAGAGAAAGGTACAGGATAGAAGGCACTAGAAGATTCTCCAAGCTGATAATATTAGGCTACAAAACTATGTTCTAGAATGGGCTCTTACTCTCCAGGGGAGGGCGGTAAGAGCCGATTAAGAGTAAGGAAGAGGGAGCCATTACCACTGAAGGGGAACTTGAGCCAGATCGTCCCTGGTGTGCATTTTTCCAAAGCCACGGAGAAGACTAAGTTGTCAGCTGCTTCAGGAGACGTGACAGCTTCCCAGACACACGGACATCAGCAAATGGAGCAATCTGCTCTCCCGCAGTCCAAGAACGGCCAGAAAAAGCTGCCAGAAGGTTCTCCTAAGATCCAGACCACAGCTAGCCAAGCAAAGTCACAAGTGGTCACACTGGTGTCTGAGCCTGCAGTGGACACCCTCTGGGAAGTATAAGGGGCTCAGGAGCCTGAGGCGGGAGGATCATGGGTTTGAGGCCAGCCAGGGCTACAGAGTGAGTTCCAGGACAGACTCCAAAACAATACAGAGAAACCCTGTCTCGAAATTAAAATAGAAAAAAAGAATTAAACAAGAGACTAGGCTGTCATTCCAGGTGACCCTGAGTAATCATTGTCAGCCACCTAGGGTCACAGAGCTGCCCCAGCCTGACCCCTCTGAGCCAGGACGTGATCTGATCCATCTTTCCTTCACCTGACTCTGTTGGTGACCCGGGGTCAGGAAAAGCGGGAGGGCAGGGGACGGAGCTGTGACTGTGGATTCGGTGGGGGTGACTTCTGACTCCGGGCTCCTGGGCATGCCAGGGGAGTCTCAGTTTCCCGGCGGGCAGCGTTTGTCCTCAGTGCCTCCCTGGCACGCGGCAGTGTCGGCTCTGCACAGGGCCCAGCGGGACGAGCGAGGAGCCGGGAGCCGTGCGTAGGCTCACCAGGCAGCGCCTGAGGAGAGCTGGGAGTCACAGCTAGGAGTGAGGGGCACAGGGCGGTCACCCCAGCACTCCAGTGCTGTCTGTGGTCACAGCAGCAGGGACATCTCCTGATCCATGCTCCCAGAGGGGTCTCTGGGCACACTTCTCCTGGGCTCCTTGGGTAGCTGCGGTGACAGACCAGGCAGACAGCATGCTTTTTTCTTTTTTTTTTTTTTTTGAGACAGGGATTTTGGAGGCTATCCTGGAACTCACGCTTGTAGACCAGGCTGGTCTCGAACTCACAGAGATCCGCCTGCCTCTGCCTCTTGAGTGCTGGGATTAGGGATTGAAGGTGTGCAACCAGCTGCAACCTGCTCTCTTACCCAGCCCGCTCGCAGCTCCACTCCCCTAGCCTGGCCCCCAATCATTTAGTAAATCACTCAGCGAGCATAAGAGAAACATAATAAGCTTGCTCCTTTTCTATCTCTCTTCTTGTCTATGGCGTTTTTGTTAGCTTTGCAAGAGAAGAGGTGCTTGGGAGGAAACTGTTGAGGGACCTCTGGAGCTCTGTCAGGACTACAATATGCCTGGAAGATGGGGCCGCGGCCGACGGTGTGGGGCGCAGAAGCTGAGAGACGCGTGGGTGGGGGTGGGGAGACATTAAAGCTGGAGACGCAGAAACAAGGGTTCAGGCTCCCACAACTCAGGGAAGGAGCTCACACGGGGCCTAAATGTACCAGGGGACTTGCTGTAGGGACATTAGTGAAGACAGATTGTCACCCATATCAGCTCTTTTTGTCTCTCTGTCCCGATCTCTGTCTCTATCTGCCTCATTTCTGTCTGTCTGTCCCTGCCTGATTGTATGTCTCTCTGTATCTGTGTATGCTTCTGTCTCTTTGTCTGTCTGTCTGTCCCCTCCCACACTGAGTTCAGGAGGCCTGCTCATTCTCAATGGCCCCACCTAACCCCAGAATCTGTGAGGGGAAACCAGAGTCCTCCTGCTCTGGCTCCGGAGAGCCACAGGAGAGACGGGCGTGGACAAAACCCGGCACTGGAATACCACTATGGTTGGGGACACAAGAGCGTGCCTCCACGGCCACCACGCTGCAACGTGTGTGTGTCCCGTGTTCGGCTCTGGGAGACACTGCGGGTGACCAGGGATAAATGGCCTCTGGCACGCTCTGGCAGTCACGTGTTACCACAGTGCCGTGACACACTGCCACCCAAGCCCCACGCGACCACTGACGCAGTCCCCGTGGACACATGGGGAACTCCACACACAGCCGCATGTCAGCACAGCCGTATGGGTCTAACGTGGTACACAGGGACACTCGTGGAGCTGCTGATACCCTCCAGTGCACACTCACAGCCAGTCTGGGCCACCGGCGCGGCACGGCACAGGCTCCACCTTGGGGTGGTGTGTGGCATTTGGAGACCAGCAAGGAGGTGACTAGTGTCTGTCAAACACCTGGCCTGGGGCAGAGTTGCTGGCCCAAGTCCCCGCAGAGGCCCTTCCTTGGAGTCTGGCGGTGCTGGGCTAGCCCTTAAGTGTAGATCTGCCCAGCGAGGGTCCAGCAGCCTCAGTGCAATCCGGTGGATGGGGGAAGGGAACGAAAGACTCCGGCCATCAACGACCCTAAGCATAGCCCCATGCGTGGGTGCCAGGCGTGATTTCTGACCATGTGCAATGTGAGCCACCGACCCCTAAATAGTCATCATCCCTGTATACCCCCCCCCCCCGGTCACACATCAAAAGAAGAAAAAAATGAAAGCCCCTTCTTGGGGCACATAGGGCCCCCTCAATGTCACACCCTATGACCACAAACTTCTTGAACCCCCCCCACCTCCACCTGCTTCTCTGTTGACACAGGATCTCACTCTGTAGCCCTGGCTGTCCTGGAACTCGCTCTGTAGACCAGGCTGGCCTCGAACTCACAGAGATCCACCTGCCTCTGCCTCCTGAGTGCTGGGATTAAAGGTGCACGTCACTACATCCATCCCTGAACACTCTCTAGACCCACGGGGGAGGCCTCTGAGTCACCGGCACATCTCAGTTCTGTCACGGAGAAAGAGACTGGGAAGCTGGGGTGGACACAGGGAAGGTTGGGGTGTGTGGGGTCCCCAATCCTGTACTTAGCCATATCTGTGCACCCTAATTGAGACACCAGCCCTGGCTCTTCCCAGTCTGCCCAGGGGCAGCTCCCGAGCTCCTCTGTCTGCACAAGACACCCCCAGCCTCTCAGCCCCCACTGTACACCCTCACACCCCAGAGCTTGGCAAATCGCATACCCCACCTTCCCACGGGAAATCAGAGCCCTGCGGGGACCCTGGCTCACCGAGTTCCAGCCTTCCAGCTGAGCAGAGTTTAAGCCGCAGCAGACACCCGGCCACCTAGGAGCCAGAGCTGAGCGGGGCCGGCGAGGAGGGGCAGGACTCATCACAGGTGGGCGTTACCTACACCGGGCACCGCCCTCTCAAATGGCTGCACACCCCAAGCCCCTTCTCCTGAGGTCAGGGACTGGAGCCGGGCCCTATCCACACTTGCAGGAAGGGGACCTGGGATCAAGTGGGGGGCCTGACCACAAGGGAGGGTCCCTGATCACCCGAGGGGGCTGCAAGTGACGGTGGCTCCCCAGGCAGCTGAGGTCCTGGGCCGGGAAGTGGAAGGGAGTACCAGAGGACTCGGGGGCTGGAGGATTGAACTGAGCGTACACACGGAATTTAGGGCTTTTGAGAGTCCCCCCCCCCCCGTCTCTGTCTCTGTCTCTCTCCTTCTCCCTTTCTGTCTCTCTTTCCTTTCTTCTGGTAGGGTCTCAAATAGCCCCAGTGGTCTTCAAACTCACGTTGCAGCCAAGCATGACCTTGAACTCCTGATCCTCCTGCCTCCGGCTCCCAAGCGCTGGAGTGATAGCACTAGGCCCTGTACTGTGCCTAGAACCCACAATTTCCTGCATGCCAGTGGACTCTCTGCCAACCCAGGACTCTAAATTGGTTTATTGTTTGTTTTTGTTTGTTTGAGGCAGGGTCTCATTATGTAGTCCTGGCTGCACTGGAACTCACTCTGTTGATCGGATTTTACAGAGATCCGCCTGCCTCTGCCTCCTGAGTGCCGGGATTAAAGGCGTGCACCACCAATGCCCAGGTTATTTGAATATTAAAACAATTCTCTCCGTGTGTATATGCATGGTTATGAGTCAGTGCCCACTATGGCCATCTAATCATTGGAGTGGTAAGTGGTGGGAGCCTCCCACCGTGGGTGCTGGGAACTGAACTTACACCCTCTGGAAGGGCAGCAAGCACTCTTAAGCCTGAGCCATGCCGGCACCCACCTGTCTCTGGCCTGTTCGCTTTGGGATTCCCTCCCAGGCGGGAAGTCCAGGAGGGCAGCCAAGTGCATGCAGCGTTGCCGTGGGCTCTGGGGATCTGAGTGCTGCTCTTTGCACATCTATGAGGGCCTGGACGGCTGAGGTCCACCCTTGCCCAGGACCACTTCCCGAACGGATTGGTGGCGGCGTATTTGCGCCTTCTCTTGCGGTTTATGTGGGGGGAATGGCTGCAAGCCATAAGGATCTGTGTACAGGGCTGGTGCATGGCACCCCTGAAGCCTTAGCTGGGCAGGGTGTCACCTGACCTCCTCTCCACTTGACTCGCAACCTCAAACCCTGTGCAAGCTAGCTCTGTCCTCACCAAATGTCTGTCCCATGTCCCCGGCCACCTGCAGAGCGGCCCAGCTGATGAAGGAGATGCTGTGTGCAGCAGGCAGGGCTCAGGGGGACCCCACGGCACTGTAGCTGTGGTCTTTCCAGACAGGGCCGGTGTGACCCTCCAGAGCCCTCGGCATGAGCCGGGCTCCAAACCCCATTCTCCCTAAGGTGCCTCCAGTCTGCATGGAGGTGTCAGCTCACTCCTCACTCGAGAACCAATGACCTTGACTTACCATAGCCCACTAGACCCTGCAAGTAGGGAACCAGCCCCTTGACTTCCACTGTCCTGTCCTCAGGGCTGCTGACACACATCTCTCTAGCTGAGCACACAATATTCAGAGACTCCTCCTGTGTCCCTTACACGCAGGGACACAGACAGCCTGCCCTAATACCAGCCCCTCAATTCAGAGCCAGGGCATCTCCTGGAAGTCTCTGGACCAGGGCTGTATTCTGCTTCATCAGGCTGAGCCATTTGGGACAGAAATGGGTCTAGGATTCTCCCATGATACATCTGTAACCCTAGTGGAGTGTCTGTGATGGAGGCGCTCCGTGGGATGGGTGTGTGGAAGGACAGATGGACGTCGGCATGCATGCATGAGCAGATGGGTGGTTACGTGTCTGTCTGGCGGCAGCACGTGTGCTCTGGCTGTCCCAGTGTGAGGACACTCCTTCCTGGTCACTGTCTCAGATACAGAGCTACTTCCTCCCCCCCCTGCAGCTGGCTGCCCTTTCCTCTCCCTCCCCAGGCTGTCTGTCCTGGCCATGCAGCACACCTGGATGCCTGAACTGCTCTCTGGGCAGCCCCAGCGTTCCGGGCACCCGCCGGATGCAGCCTGTGCCTCGGGGGGGTTTCTTTTTGAGGGTGGGACTTCCTCCACTGTTGAACTGCTTTAGCGCTGAGCAAATGGGTCAAGGACACACACTCCATCCTGAGCATATGGTCAGAAAACCCAAATGCTGGGACCAGCCAGATGGCTGTGTGTGGAGGTGCTGGCCGCCAAGCCTGGTGACCTGAATTTGGTCCTCGACCACTGTGCCATTTGGAGCTCTGAATTCACAGGGACGTGTAGCAGGAGGTGACCTCCCCACCCCCAGGGCAACGGAACCCAGGGCTTTGTTCATGGGAAAGGACACTTCCCAGTGAGCCCCAGCCCTGGTCCCCCCACCACCACCACGAGTCCCGTGGTCCCATGTGCTTCATATTCCAAGTCCCAAAGCTTCAACTTGGGCTTTTTTTTTTGTAGTAAGATTTTAATTATGGTCAGATTTAATTACACCTTTAATCCCATCACTCAGGAAGCAGAGGCAGGCGATCTCTGTGACTTTGAGGCCAGCCTGGTCTACAGAGGGAGTTCCAGGACAGTCAGGGCTTCACAGAGAAACCCTGTTTCACCCCCATAAAGATTTAAATTAAGTGTGTGTGTCTGTACACATGAGTACCGACTCTCCAGAGCTACCACCACCCTGAGCACTGGGGCCCCGCCTAGACCCTCAGCAAGAGCTGGGGCACTAACTCCAGGCCCTGGGGCTCTGTCCTGTTTCTTTTTTTTGAGACAGACCCTCACTACAAAGCACAGCCTGGCCTGGAGCCTGCCATGCAGACCAGGCTGGCCATGAATGCAAAGATGCGCCTGTGTGTGTGTGCAACCAGCTGCAAGGCAGCTCGCTGGGGGTCGGGGACCATACACATCTGTGGTCCCCACACAGCCAAGAGACGCCCTTCTGCCAAGGAAATCAGGGCATCCTGGGGGCAGGGGAGGGGGGAGTCTGGATCCATGGCTCTGTCAGGACCCAACACCACTGGGGAATCTGCATCAGGGCACGCAGATGTCCTGACCAGACCCCGAGGGACAGGGCCAAGATGTGTATGAAAAGCTGTTTAATGCCCTGACAACCTAAGGCCAGGGCCCTCAGGGGGTCCTGCCCAAAGCCCTCCAACCAGCTCAGGCGGAGGAAGCATTTGGACACCCAGTACAAAATGGCTTAAGTTAAGGCGCAGTTCAAATGGCAGAAGCAGGTGGCTGGGCCCCAGTGCTCCGTCTCTGTCCACTCTAGGACAAGAGTGCCTATGGGAAGTCCTCCCCCTCCCCCTCCCTCCCGCCCTCCCCCCTCCCTTCCCCCCCCACCCTCCCTCCCCAAAGCTCTAGGACGACTGCCCGGCTGCCACTGCCTGTGACCTTTTTCCACGCAAGTGGGAGTGGACACGGGTCCCAGGCGCCATCACGAGTGTGAGGACTGGCCTGTGCCGCCGTGCCATGCAGCATGTGTGGTGGGCTCCCTGCAGGCAGATCGGGCATGGAGTCCAGAGCCTGGCTGGTGAGGTAGAGGACAGATGCCAGGTCCAGACCACTGTGGGGCAGTGGGCAGTGGCCATGGCATGGAAGACTTGCACATCTGAGCGGAGGAATACCCGCTGGACACGGACCTGCGTGTGCTGTGCACGGAGCGAGGGCCACTCGCTGACTTGGAACAGTGACCAGCACTCTGGGCTCCACCGAGGCGTGGACACTCCTGATGGGGTATGGACCCCTCATGTCGACCCTTGGGCAGGGCACCCACATCTAGGCCTCTCATGGCTGCTCCCAACCTAGGAACTCGCATAACGGGTGGTGTTCGGGCCCCACAGAGCCCTGTCCTGTGGAGAAGGCGCGGCCGGCTGGGACGGCAGGGCGGGTGTTGGGTGTCGGCGAAGCACCAGAGGCGGCAGGCTTGCAGAGGGCCGGCAGCAGGGGAAGCGCAGCCTGGTGAGGAGTGGAGCTGGGCGCTGGCCTCAGCTGTGGTGGGGGAGGGGGACAAGCGCGAGGCCTTTGCGGGCTGAGCACCATGTTAGGGAGGGCACCGCACAGGTCTGCTGCCCGGGGGGATGGCAGCTGTCCCTGTCCCCTGAGAGTCTCAGGTATCTGTGTGGCATGGAAGGCTGTGAGGGCCTAGCTCTTGTGTCTCCCTAGGCCGATGTCCCTGGCTGTGCCGCAGGGCTGGGCTGAGCCTGGTCCCCATTTGTGGGACTGGATGTGTTGGCCATGGGGCTGTTGCCGTCCTCAGCAGGGTCTGCGGCTCCTGCCTCGTCAGTGGGCAGGGGTCTCTTGGCTGGCTCTTCACCTGGAGGGTGCTGGGAGAGGGGGGCATCTGAGTCCCTCGGAGGTGCAGGTCCCTCAGCTGGGGCCCATGAGGACTGAGGTACATTCTTCTGTAGAGGGCAGAAGCTGTGAGGCTGGGACAAGTGGGCAGCAGACCCCAGTGGGGCAGAACCCAACACAAATGCAGGACACTAGGGCAGCAGGCATGCAGCGCCATCCAGAGACACAGGCATCCACCGCCATCCAGAGACACAGGCATCCACCGCCATCCAGAGACACAGGCATCCACCGCCATCCAGAGACACAGGCATCCACCGCCATCCAGAGACACAGGCATCCACCGCCATCCAGAGACACAGGCATCCACCGCCATCCAGAGACACAGGCATCCACCGCCATCCAGAGACACCGCCATCCAGAGACACAGGCATCTGGCACCATCCACCGCCATCCAGAGACACCGGCATCCAGCGCATCCAGCACACAGGCTGCGGGAGCCCAGGCCTCCAAGGCCCGGGCAGCAAGGCCCAGGAGCAGGTGTGTGGACCGGGCTCTCCCTCCACACAGATCCCTGCCTACCCCAGCAAGGACTTCCTGCCTACACCAGGAAGTCCTGGAACACGGGCCCACAGGAAGATGCATCCAAGCAGCCAGGCTCCTCATGGGGAGTCTTGTGCCATTTACGGCCTGGGGCGGGGCACCTCTCATTCCCTTGGGATCCTCCGCCCTCTCTGGCTGGAGCACGGCCTTGCAGAGAGGGCTCTGGCAATGCAGAGCGAGTGTTCACAGCCTCGGGTCACATCCAGTGAGTTACCACAGGGAAGGAACCACAGCCCAAAGTGTGACTTTGCAGAAGCAAGGGACCCGGCCAGGGGCTCAGTGGGAGCACAGGGGGTTGGACTCAACTTGACCTGGCGCCTTAGGGGTTATCACTGCAGTCATAGCAAACCGGTATTCACCACAAAGCCGCTGCCCGTCCAGAAGGCTCCCAGCTCCCGGCGCCACAGAGCCACGGTGCAGCTGGCCATCAGTGTGCAGGGGACCAGGTAGAGCAGCGCAGGCTGGCCACGCTGCATGAGGACAAGTGCCACGAATGTCACCAGGAGGCCCAGGCCGTAGGCTGCAGGGACAGAGTGGGAGTCAGACAACCAGCCACGCGGACGACAAGGGCAGCAAGGACTCGCTCAGGCAGTGCTGAGCCACAAGCCGGACCTCCCAGAGCTGCGGTAGCGGAGGCAGGAGGATTGTAAACTCCAGGCCAGACCAACAACACGTGGCCCAGGGAGAAAGAGGCGCGGGGCTGTGCGGGTTGGGGTGGTGGGGCTGTGCGGGTTGGGGTGGCGGGCGGCGGCTGTGGGAGCCGGCGTGGGGAGGGCTGCCACCAGCCCCACTAGGCGACATCTAGAACCAGCCCGGGGTAGTGGCAAATGGGACTGGGGGGCCTGAGGTGACACCTACCAATGGTACAGGCCACAAAGTAGATCCTGGAAGACTGCACCTGGATGTCAAACCTGTGGCAGTAAGCCACCAGCAGCCCTGGGGAGACGCAGAGTCACCACATCTATGGCACGGCCATGCAGACCAGTGTGACAGGGTGACACACAGGTGATCAGGACCTGGCAGGCTTGGCCATGCAGCCACGCCCACCCAGGAGGCCACCTCACTCCCAAGCCCCCCCTGAACCCTGGGCACGGGCGCCATGCCCCACAGCCCACCTGCTGGCCCCAGCCCACACCTGGCACCAAGATGTCTCCAAAGCCCAGGAGGGAGAAGGGCCGGTCACACAGGGAGAGGGGTGACGTGTTCAGCCTGGGTACCTTCAGCACCATGGGCAGCTGTGGGAGAGCAGGGCTTAGGCTGGGGACCCGCACTCTCCACCCCTGCCTGGGCTCTTAGCCCGTGGCCCACACGAGGGAGCGGCGTACCTTCTCGTGGGTGGACGAGTTCGAGGGCCCGGTGGCCACCTCCACCATGATGCTGTTCCCACTCTGCACAAGACAGGCTTGTCAGCCAGGGCGGGGGAGGGGGGCGACTGGGAAGGCAGAGGGGACTCACCTTGGTCAGGAAGGGGGTGATGAAGACGAAAAAGACGTCATAGATGAACAGCACCGACAGTAACAGTGTGCAGGCCTGTGAAGAAGCGCTTGAGGGTCACCCAGTCAGGGCCCCGGCTGCCCGGGACTAAGGGCCCAATCAGGGCTGCTTCTGTGATCACACCCCACGCTGTGCCCAGGCCCCCAGACCTCCAGCCAGGACCGAGCCTGCCGCACTCACTGGCAGCCCTCACCTTGAAGGTGGGCAGGCGGATGGTCCTCAGCATGTACAGGCAGAAGGCAATGCCCAGGATGTCCTGCAGGACCCAGGCCCACCTGGGAGGAGAATGCTCGGTAACGAGGAGCCCCGCCCTCGCCGCATCCACAGGCCCGCCACCAAACCATGGGCTGCACCCAGCCTGCCCACGAGGGGCCTCAGACCCCGGAAGCAATAGCGCCAGCGAGCTGGGCAGTGGGGCCTAGCAGGGTCCGTGGACGGGGGCTCCATGTGGGGTGCAAGCCAGGGAGACGGCTCCTGCACATCCGAGCTTCCAGAACACACTACCGCGCGGTTCAGCAGCTGGGACTGCATGGGCCAGGGCTGCGGTGCAGTCAGAGGGGTGGGCGCAACCAGGCTGCTTGAGACAGGACTACTGTCCCTCACGGCCACGGCAGCCAGCACGCAGAGCATGTGGGGACAGCAGGGCCGTCTCGTGTGCACACGACTCAAAGCATCCCACCCCGTCCCTTCTCCCAGTGGTGCATTAGAACACCAAGCTGCAGGGCAGCCAGGGGAGGCGTGGGCTGTGCCAGACGGTGTCGATGACAACCAGGAGCCAGGTGGGGACAGGCAGGCTGTCCTCTGGGCCACGGCGCCAGACCTCTGACTTCAAGGGGAGCGTGCAAGCACAGGATCCCCGTGGGAACTCAATGCAGGGGAAGACGGGGCCTCCCGTCACCGTGGGGGCAGATGACACATGGCATCAGGTGCTGCCTGAGCCCAGGCCAAGACAGCAGGTGACAAACAGTGCCTGTGCTCCAGCATGTCCCCTTGCCCTGCCCAGGAGTTGGGCAGAGGATGGACAGCACCCCTATCTAGATTCCAATCAGGGTTAGGCTCTGGGCCAGGCCTCAGTGAAACGGGACTCGGGCGGGCGGCAGGCGTGGTGTGCCGCCCCCCTGATGGGCAGCACGGGCGGGCTGGGCAGCCAGGGCGCCCAAGGACAGTGAGAAGCTGACAGAGCGGCTCTCAGCAGGGCCTGGACACGGCGTCACTTACTGGTCCTCATTGCGGAAGACACCCCACACTACGGTGACAGTGACGCAGAAGAGAGCTAGCAGCAGCATGCGGGCCTGTGGGCGCTTGTGGAAGTACGGCAGGTTGTTGTCGGGGACCCTGAGGGGACCGCCCATCAGCACCCTTCCATGACACCACGCCACCTCCACACCACCCTGAGCCACAGCTCGCGCCTGCCATCCCCTCCCGTCCAAAAGCAGAAACTACACGGCTGTGTCTCCTCCTGCCGGGACAGGCCCCTCTGGTGCGGGCTCCTGCACTGCTGGCCTCCAGTGCCCAGGGACCCTCACCTGGTCCACATGGCTCTGAGCAGCAGTGTCGGCTCATTGGTACCCAGGGGCTACTAGACCCTTGGGGGCTGTGGCATTGTCACCTCCCCCCTTGGCAGCTTCACTCCTGGGACCCCTGAGGCATGCCCCAGCTGGACAGGAAGGGGCACAGTGCACGGGCATGAGCATCTGCTGAATGTGCCAGCAGGGGGGGAAGCGCAGGGGGCGGGCGGGCGGGAGACGCCACCTGCACGTGCAAAAGGGCAGCTTGCGGACGCAGGGCGCCAGACAGCTGTAGAGACCGGTGGAGGAGGCCAGGCAGAAGATGCCGATGATCACGTAGACTGCAGGCGGGAAGGCGGGCGGCAGGCAGGACACCAGGAACAGCGCGGGCCGGAAGGACAAGTGGAAAGAGTCACCATGGGTGCTGGGCTCTTGGGCGGGGCCCTGGTGGGTGGGCGGGGCCCTACCTACCCAGGCGGTCGTAGAAGTAGTAGAGCAGCACCAGCATGAAGCAGCACATGACAACAAACACGCAGATCATGACTGGCGTCACGTCCACCGCCTCATCCTCATGCTTCTCAGGCCCGTCATCCCGCTTATGCTTCATGTACCTTCTTGGAAAATATCAGGGTTACCCGGGATCTGCCGCTTGGCCCTGCCCACGATACCTGAAGTGGGCGGCACTCACTTCTTTACGTCACGGCTGCCGGCCCAGTAGCCACCGAGGGCGACGGTGCCCACGGCCATGACGAAGATGATGACCATGTTGTAGTCCATCACTGGTTCGCTGGGTGCATACAGAGCCACCATCACCGCATGGCCGAAGCGCTGTCCTCAAGAGGAGAGTGGGCTTAAGGGGGTGGGGGCACTACGCCTCGGCTTCACTTAAGACCCACCCACAAATCTCAGGACCCCACCTGGAACCAATCCCTAAGACCATGGCCCAAACCCACAGCACCTGCTTCTAGGACGCAGGCCTCAGACTCTAAGCCCCACCTACCCTGCCACGCCCTGGTGCCTACCCTGAAGATATCTTGCAGGTCCCTGTGACTCAGCAGGGCCACAGGGATGCTTATCTCCTCATATTGTGTTTTGTTGCCGCCCGGAGGGACCTGCAGCGGACAGGAAGTATAGGATCATCCCAGCCGTCTGGTGCACCATGCCCTGGTGTGTATGGGGGCAGTAAGGCCTGGAATTCAGGTTGGCAGGACCTGGAGGCTCCTCTGACCTGGCCCTGCACGGTGGCCACTCCAAGGGTCCCAAGCCCATTAGCACAGGCCAAATCACAGCTGCCACGTGTAGCCCCGGGACTCAGTGCCAGGCTCTACCGTCCCTCGTGTCCTCACCAGCCATCTCAGTGCCCCACAGCCGCAGAGGTGACGGAGCCTGGGCACCTACCAGCTTCTCCTTGCTGACTACCAGCAGCGCCCGCGCCCCACTGCCTTGGGCCAGCCGCACTTTCTCGTAGAAGGTACAATTGCCCCGGGCCACCAGCGCAACCTGGTTGGCGAGGTCTTCCACAGGAAGGTCGAGGTGGGAGCAGAGCTGTGTTGAGCTTAAGTCTCGAAGCTTCAGGAGAGACTACAGAGGGGATGGCATCAGGGCCACCAAGTCCCACAGAAACAGCTAGCAGTCCCTACGGGCACCCATACCAGGAGGGCCAGGCCTGTCCTCCCCAGCTGAGGTGGGCCAGAGGGCTGCTCTGAGGATCCCGTGAGGATTCATGTCCACACAGCATGCAAAGCTAGGAGCTGGTACACCCAGGAGCCACAAAGCCCCCACCCACACAGACAGGTATTTCCTCCAAAGCCCAGCAAGTGTCCCGGCCTCAGTACAGTCAATGCGGCAAAAGCATCACTTAGGGCTGAAAAGCCATGCCGACCACTGTGAGCATGCTCGACACCGTGAGACCTTGGGCCTAGAGGCCAACTTATGGATCACACACCAAAGGACAGGCACCTTCCAGGGAATAGCATAGGGGCACAAGGCAGATATGGGGGCCTTGCGGGGTGAGATGGACAGTCAGCCACCTAGCCAAGCCCTGGCTGACCAGACTCCCCAGAGCGCCTGCCTCCCCAAGCCTCACTTGGCATTTACTCCTGAGCACAGAAACCCAGGCCCAGAGGGATGGAGTCCACCCTCCCAGACTGCAGGAATGGGTATCACCAGCAGGCCACGCACACATGGCCAAGGTGTGACCTACCACTTTGCTGAGATCCTGTGGCAGGTGGGCCCACTGTGGGTTGTAGAGGATGCAGTAGTCCTTGCCCCGAGTACCTCCACTCTGGGAGACCACGCGCAGCACACCAAACTCACAGGCCACCTGCAACGACAAGGCGGCGTCCAGACTTGTAGCACCAGGGGAAGCGATGACACCTCAGAAAGCAGGGCCCATGACCAAGGGCTTGGTGAGGACAGTGAGGAGAACAGGCACGGACAACGACACCTTCCTGTCAGCCCACACTTGGGAGGCTGAGGCAGGAGGATAGCCATGAGTCTGAGGCAAGCCTGGTTACACCCTCTTCCCGATACTGGCCACGCCTGCCAGGCGCAGCGTGTCAGAGCGGTCCTGCAGAAGGGGCCTCTGAAGCAGGGAGCTACACGAAGATGGGCGGCTCCCAGAGCCCTGCACCCTCTCCTGGCTCCCATCAGCGTCCCTGGGCTCAGATGACCAGCACCTATACCACCTACTGGGGCTGCACAGGGCTACAGTAGAGATGGGATCCCAGAAGAGAAGCAAAGGCTGCTTGCATGTCCTGGACCCCAGCCTTGAGCTGGGGATGCCCCCAAAGCCACACCTGGAGTTAAGGGTATGTGCAGCCCATAACAGTAGCACATGGGGATGGGGTCAAAGCAGGGGACAGTCATCTGAGTGGCCTCTGCTGGATCTGCCCTGAGAAAGGCATCGGCCTCCTTGTCAGCTCGGGCCGGCACCAGTAGGGGAAGGAGAGGCAGATGTGGAGGGCAGGTTGGCTACTCCAGCTGAGAGAGTGAGTTAGACCCCCTGCTAATCAGCACTTCCTTGGCTCCAAAGACTCAAAGCTGTGGGAAGACGCAGACAGAAGAGGGGCAGGGGCTAGGAAGGATGAGTGACAGCCCCCCAGGCCCGCCCATAAGGGAGCATAAGGGGCAAGGCGTGGCAGAGCACACCCTCACCCCAGCACTCGGGATACAGGCTTGTGAGTTGGGGCTAGCGTGGTCTGTATATGGAGTTCCACCATGGGGCGTGAGTGGCCATGCAGTCAGCCCCACAGTTGCAGAGAGCGAAGGGGCAGGGACTACAAAAGTGTGTCCCCATCCCTGCTGAGGGAAGCACCACTAGAGTGCTGAGTCTGGCCTTGGCCAGTGTTCCCTTTGTGAGACCCTTTTAGCTACAGCTGGGAGAGAGAGTCAGATGGGCCCTTACTCCACAGCTGGGAGAGAGTCTGCTAGGCCCTTACTGCCCAGCCTCCACAAAAGGTACAGGGGTCAAGGTGGTTCACCAGGACCCGAGGTCCAGCCCCGGGACCCACAGGGCAGGAGAGGAGACCCCATGAGTTTTCCTCTGACCTCCACGTGTATTGCCGCGTGTCCAAAAAGCAGACAGAAAGAAGCATTATGTAAACAAAGTTGAGTTTTTTTAAGCATTGATTTTGTGTTTGAGTCTGTCTGCTTTTTGTTATTTTGTTTTTCGAGACAGGGTTTCCCTATGGCTTTGGAGGCTGTCCTGGAACTCTCTCTGTAGACCTCAAACTCACAGAGCTCTGCCTGCCTCTGCCAGCTCCAGGTCCCTGATGCAGACAGCACAAACAGGCTGTGCAGACAGAGAGATCAGGCTAGGGCTGAGGCGGCAGACTGGCCTCTAACACACCTGCTATGGCTCCTGAGTGCCACAACAGCATGGCACAGGGGATGACTGTTACATGTGTGACCAACTACTTGGGGTCGGCTGTAAGGTCCGCCTACTGCTCACACGTGTTGTGAGCCGGGCAAAGGCTTCCCTCGGGTGAGGTGGTCACAGTCTGCAGCAGGGACATAGCTCATGTAGCCCAGGCTAGCATCCAACTCTTCTTAGCTGAGGATGACCCTGATCTTGCCTCATCCACCTCCTGAGTGCTGGGACAAACAGGAACACACCTGGCTTTGTGGTGCCAGGGATGGAATCCAGGGCCTCATGCAACAGTTCTGATGGATATTTGTGCTCTGCCCATAAAGATGCCTTCTAAACATCCGTGTTTACATGTAAGGGTCATGGCCGCCCAGTCAGTCAGAGCGAAACCAGCCAGGCTCCTGAGGAAAGCTGATTGTAGCTGTGGCACAGTGGACCAATGGTCAGTCTTCATCAGAGAAACTCCCACATCTCCCTCCCAAGGCTCAGGGCGCATCACAGAAGAGGAAGCACTGGGAGGGGTGGGGGTGTCTAAGGATCGGAACTCTACCCCAACTTTCCTAAATTCAGAAAGCCATAAGCTCACAGGCCCACATGCAGCACCTGCTGAGGGAGACAGCCCAGCACCTGTGAAGCCTGCCAGAGCCAGCTTTTCAGTGACAGGGCCCCCCTCACTCCTGTAGGGACCGCCCTGAGCTCCCCTGGGTGGAGTCATTTCTGTCATGAGGGTGAACTATCTGGGACACACAGATTTTGTTTATATCTCCCCAGCAGTCACTCTACATCCAGGCTCTGGGAGTTCACTCTTGGCTACAAATTCATTAGGGAGAGACTGGGTGTCACCTGAGGCCCTGCCATGGAAACAGGCAGGGAATCTGCCCTGAAGACAAGGACGGACACCCCTTTGCAGTGAGCAGGACTGACAGAGTCCCCTCCACGATGCCTGGGTCTCTCACGCAGACCTGGCTTATCCCCTTCTAGAGATGGGGCCACAACTCAGCCTGACACACACCCTGTAACAGGCCCAGGCTGCCCCAGGTCCCCACGACACAATGTAAGCGGCCACCACCGCAGGAACCCAACGCTGTTGACGCCAGGGAGAGCCGTGTCCCTGTCACCAACCTTTCAACTGTGGTCCCCACAGTATTATCTGTGCCTCTCCAGGCTGCAGGGTGTGTCCTAGGGAAGTCCCACAGGGCTCAGAGTTCACACCACAGACTCCTCCTGCCATCTTCGTTTATAAAGTTGTATTAGCACACAAACAAGTTCATTCCTGGGGGGGGCATGGTTCCTCCCCGGCCCAGCAGCAGGGCTGTTGTGACAGGGGCCAGCAGAGCCCTGCTCTGTGGGCTGGGGATGAGGCTCTTTGTGAAAAGTACCTTTTGTGTAAAACAGAAACCGATAGAATAGCCTCTCTTCAAGCGGCCATCTACAAGCACAAAGGCGCATTCAGTCACCTCAGGGACGGCACAATGACAAGCTCAACAGGCCAGGCTCTTCCAAGGACCAGTCCTGGTCACACTGGGAGAGCTGAGACCAGAAGCCTAGGCAGCAAGCTCACTCAGACACATCTGGGCACCATGAGCCCCCAACACCACCTCAGAGTGGTGGGGTCCAGATGACACGATGGGGAGTAGGGTAGTGGCCCTCGGGACACCAGAGGCCGTTCAGTACCGTGTGGTCCCACTGCTCACACTGGACAATCCAGTCCCTCAGCCGGGTCACAAATGGGCACCGGGGCCTGGCCGTTGGAACCCAGCTGAGAACGCCACCCGTTGGTTCCCCTCCAGATGTGGGAAGGGCAGAGACGGCTGTCACAAGCAGGGTAACGTCCAGGTGCCCGCTCAGGTAAAGTCCCAGGCACACAGCCTCGCCGCCAGCCAGGACCCAGGCCCTTCTGTTCCACTGTCTCCAACCCCGAGGAGGATGCCGTGTCTCCAGGGGAGGAGCGCGCCCCACGCTGGGAGCCACCAAGCACGATACCTCCATGTCTCACACTTAGGGCTAGCACGTGCTGCCCACAGTGCCCTTCCTCTCCCGTCCTTGGCAAACTCCTATTCATCCTTCAGAACCTCCCAGTGTCTGGCCCTGAAAAACCCTCCATCAGGTAACATAGACCAGCAAGAAAGGCTTAGGCCGGCCAGGGCGGGTGCAGTTGAGTCTCCATGGCCAGGGGCATTCTCAAGTCAAAGAAAAGACACGGGAAAACAGAATGACCTCGGAGGACATCGCCCGCCCAAAGAGGGCGTGTTGCGGACAGGCACAGGCAGAGCCGCGGGCCGCTGCAGGGTGGTGGCCCTGACACACCTTCAAAAGCTCACAACCAGCCCGCGGCGGGATGTGGGGTAGGAACGCTTGAAGGGAGCTGGGAAGACGTGGGCCACATGGCTAGGAACCACACGCCTAGGGAGAGCCTCGGCTTCCCAGCCAATCAGGGAGGAGCATGCAGCCGGGCCAGCGCTGGGGAGGCTGAGACTCACTCACCAGTGCAATGCTAGCCTGCGCTGGAGACCCTGTCGTAAAACTTTGTAATCTTGAAAAAATAAAAAGGGGGGGCTGGAGAGATGGCTCAGAGGTTAAAAGCACTGGGTGTCACCTGAGGCCCTGCCATGGAAACAGGCAGGGAATCTGCCCTGAAGACAAGGACGGACACCCCTTGTGTCTCTTCCAGAGGTCCTGAGTTCAATTCCCAGCAACCACATGGTGGCTCACAGCCATCCATAATGAGATCTGGCGCCCTCTTCTGGCGTGCAGACATACATGGAGGCAGGATGCTGTATTCATAATAAATAAATCTTAAAAAAAAAAAAAAAGAAAGAAAAAAGAAAAAGGGTTTAAAAGAAGGATCCTGACCCGGGGTCCATGAGAGAAGACGATTGTATAGAACAACGTGCACATACAACAGTAGCACAGGCTAGCCTTGCCATCCCCACGGAAACCCAGCGACTGCCCCGTGGGCCCGAGGCTGCAGCCCCCACGGTCCATCGGGACTGCAGGCTGACGCCGCGGACTCAAACAAGAAATCTAGCAACTCAGCCAAGAGTTCTGACGCGGGGAGACTGAGGCGGGTGGCTTGCGGTGAACGCAGGCCAGCCCGAGCTGACAGGGTTCGGGGCCAGCCTGGGCAGCTTGGCAGCGTCAGAAGCCCAGCCTGGGCTGCAGAGCTCGGCGGCCAGCGCGCACTAGAGTGAGTTCAAGGCCAACATACGACCGACTCTCAGCCAGCAAAGCGCACCCACGTCCTGCCTCGGCACCGGGTCGGGGCCCCCACGGGGCCCCCGCGTTTTGCACTGACTGACCCAGAGGTGGGGACCCCCTCCAGCCCAAGGTCACGGAGCAGAAGCCGGGGTGCAGGGCTGCAAGCACCCGGGGGCCGCGCTGGCCGCCCCCGAGGGAGGAGGGCGGGGACTCGCCCCATTCTGCAGAAGGGGAAACTGGGGCTGGCAGGGGCGGCGACGGCAGTTGGGGCTCCGGGGCGCGGGGCGGGCTAAGCCCGGCCGGAAGTCTGCGGCGGTGACAGCGAGGAGAGGACAGCAAGGTCGCGGCCGGCCGCGGTGACGAGCGGTGCGGCCGAGCCGAGCAGCCGTGGCGCTCACCTGGGCCGCGAGCAGCAGCAGGGCCGCGGCCAGCCGCGCCGCCGCCGCCATGTCCGCCGGTCCCGCCGCAGCTCCAGCCGGAAGGTTTCCCGGCAACGCCTTCGGGACCCGGGACGCGCATGCGCCGGCCCTGCGCGTGCGCGGGCCGCCCCTCGACAGAAGGGGCGGGGCGGCGCCTGCGCAGGGCAGCGCGGGGCGGCAAGATGGCGGTGAGCATCGCTAGATGGCAGAGAGAGCGGGGCTACGGGCACGAGGGACTGTAGGAGCGAGAACGGGGGGGACACACACAGGAGGGCCAAAGAGAGCGTGGCGGACACCCGAAGGCGGACAGGGAGACAGGGACGCGGAGGAATGGGAATCACGTGGGACTGCACACCGGGCGTCTTGGGGCTGAAGACGGGGAACCTGGGGATTCAGACGGGGGGCGTGGGGCTGCAGACTGGGGACATGGGGTGCAGACGGGGGACATGGGGTGCAGACTGGGGACATGGGGTGCTGACAGGGGGCATGGGGTGCAGACGGGGACATGGGGAGCGGAGGACATGGGGGGTACAGACAGGGGGCATGGGGATAGAGAGAGATGCAGGCTCAGCGACCTGGCATTTAGTTAGGGGGACATGGGAGATGGACCTGAGTTGCAGACAGAGTTATGTAGGACGGCAGAAAGGAGTCGCTGGGTGCCTGGTCCAGGCAACAAGGATATGGGAAGATTGGACCTCACTCCTCAGCCCCTCCCCTCTCCAGCAGGACAAAGAGAAAAAGAAGAAAGAAAGTATCTTGGACCTGTCAAAGTACATTGACAAGACCATCCGAGTGAAGTTCCAGGGTGGCCGTGAAGGTGAGTGGGTGCAGCAGGGCCCCCAGGACACAATCCAGGTCAGGACAAGCAAGGCGTGCATTTTAATTCTCAACAAAGGCTAAGCTTGGGCCATTCTGTGACGTTGAGAGGCACCAGTATGTCCCAATTGTGGATGGGGAAACTGAGTTCCAGGGAAAGAAAGCCAGGTGCACCCGGACCATTATTGGTGGAGCCCGGAGGAAGAGGCCAGAAAGGTAGCAGGAGGCAGCAGGAGGGAGGGAAGGAGGGGATCCCCTCAAGAACCTGGAGTTATCAGGGACCCCACAGGTCCCCAGTAGGGGGAGCAAGGAAAGTCCCAGGTCAGCCTGAGCTATGCAGCCAGACCCTGTCTCCAAAACTCAACCAGGGCTGGGCTATAGCTCAGTGGACAGAGCGCTGGTTTGGTGTGCATGAAGCCCTGGGCTTCACTTCCAACACCATGTAAGCCGGGAGTGGTTGTACAAGCCTGCTATCCCAACCCTAGGGACGGAAAGGCAGCATCAGGGAGTTCAGGATTATTTCCAGGCTGCCTAGTGAGTCTGAGGCAAATGATACCCTCTCAAGGGGGGGGGAGGTCCACCACGAACTCACTGTCTATGGCCCCTTCCACATTGGAAGGAAGAGAGTTAGAATCAAAGTCACCAGGCCACCACATAGGGGCACGCCTCCGCATGTCCCCATGCCTGGGTCTGCAGTGGGAAGTCAGTGACATGATCCTGACCTGTCTCTCCCCCCTCGTATTCCTCAAGCCAGCGGGATTCTGAAAGGGTTTGATCCCCTGCTCAACCTGGTGCTGGATGGAACCATTGAGTACATGCGAGGTGAGCTGGCTGTGGCTGTCCCAGGGATGCCACCAGTCCCTGTTTCTCCTCCACCCCTGGGGTGGAGACCTGGGGTGCAGTCCCTCCAGACCACCAGAAAGGTGACAAGCCCACCATGATGCCCCAGGTTTGAGATTGCAGCCCCTTCCCCTCAGCGCTCCCAGGGATGGCAGGGGTGGTTGCTGCTCTCTGGGGTCTGTGTCGCAGGCTCCAGGGTGCATAGGATTATTATTCCAGAATAGCACCCATAATTCCTCCAGAGTGTCCCCTCCTCTGCTCCCACAGCAATCACTTTAATTGCTCCCTGTCCCCACCCCTGGTCCACCCTCCCCGGGGCCTCTGCTTCCCCTGCAGACCACTCCTTGGGGTGAGTATCTGCCCTGGGTTTTTGTAGAATCCCAGGTACGCATGCCCACAGTCGGCTCTGCGGCCCGAGCGCCTGGGTGTGTCGGTCCCCTGGAGTGCCAGGTGGAAGGACGTGTTTTCAGTTCCTCTTGCCTGTCACCTTCTCACAGACCCTGATGACCAGTACAAGCTGACGGAGGACACGCGGCAGCTGGGGCTTGTGGTGTGCCGTGGCACCTCAGTGGTGCTCATCTGCCCGCAGGATGGCATGGAGGCTATCCCCAACCCCTTCGTGCAGCAGCAGGATGCCTAGGTGGAGAGCCACCTGCCCAAGGACCTCCCTTCCTGCGGGAACGTGTTCGGTGTTTTGGTTTCTGGTTTTGTATTTTGTTTTTTAATAAAATGGCGTCCTCTGCCCCTTGTGCTTTGTCATGGTGGTCATCTGAGAAGCCAGGGGTGGTGCAGGGCAGAGCATAGCTCAACGAGAACGAGCAAGGGTCCCGAAAAGCCTGCGCACCCGAGCAAGCTCCCTCAGCTGGGCCCAGCCTGCCCTCTCCTGCTGGGCTGCAGCAAGAGGACACCTTCAGGACCCTGGACTGGACCTCACCGCACACGCGCGGTCCTCAGCAGCACCGTGCCCAGTGCCTTGTCCCCTCCGCTGGGGAGCACGTGGAGAGACAGCAGCTGAGCACAGTGGCTGACAGTGTGAGCCTGCGGCCATGGGGTCCCTCGGGCTGGGATATCTGCCAGGGAAAGAGCCAGGACCAACGCAGGGCTCTACCTCAGGGCAGGCAGCAGACAGACTGGCAGGTCGCTGCACTTGGACCTATACAGGTGTGAGGCAACCATAAATCAGGGAATTAGTTCTGGCGCTCAGCCTTCCCAGTTCCTTCCCTTCACCTGGGGGCTGGAGCCCAAGCAGTGGCTCTTAAATTTGGGGAGCCTGGCTCCCTGAAGACGTGACCTGGCCAGAGTCACCAGGGTCCCACTTCTCAGTGACCAAAGCAAGCCTTGTCGCCAGCCAGCCCTGCTTAGTGTTCCCAGAAGCCATGGAGGATTAAGTCAACAAGCTTTGTCTCTGACACACCTTGAAGCTGTCACCTGTGCTCCAGTTGGCAGACTCGGGAGAGAACGCCCACTCCTGCCTCCCTGTGTAACAGGGAAGTGTCCCACTCCTGCTGAGCTCCAGTCTTGAGGGCATATGGACGACACCACTGCCTGACTACAAACAGAGCAGACAGGTCGCCATCCCTGGAGACTTGGAGCTCAGAAATTGGCATGAATTTACTCCACCCGCCTGACTTTCCCAGTCCTAAAAGATGACGGGGCCGTCTATCACACGGTGATGTGTACAAAGTGCCCCCCAGCTTCCAGACTGCTCTCCACTGTGTGCCTCACGCTGCGAGCAGGACATGGGTGTCCTGCACCGTGCCAGAGACAGCCTAGCTGGCAGTGGAGCATGGCCGCCTCTCCCTGCTGCAGAAGGCCCTGGAAACTGCGGCCGTGTCGGGAGGCTGGTCTAGTACCTGTCGCCCAGAGACAGAAAAGCTCAGACCCGGTAGTCTGAGGGCTGGAGGGGTGGTGCACACTTATTAGCCCCGCCCATACCTCTTAACCCCCCATTTGGGAGGCTGAAGCCAGAAAGTTGCCAGTTCCAACTTGCCAGGGCTACAGAGCAAGACACCCCTCAACAGCACAAAACGGCCATTGAGAGGGCTGGACAAGTAAAGGCCCTTCCTCGCCTTCAAGCCTGCGGCCTCAGTTTGCTCTCTATAACCTACAGATGAAAAGAAAGTACAATTTGTCCTCTGACCTCTGATGGGGGATGTCCTTCTGTGTATATGCTTGTCTGCTTAGTGTAAATAAAGCACTGCTGGCCAATAGTGAAGCAAGATAGGTGGGACTAGGAGTCAAGGAGGATTCTGGGAAATGTAGTCAAGAGAGGGAGTCGCTATGTGACACCCCCCCACCCTGGGAAGAGGACGCATCAGGATGGCGTCCTCAGAAAGGTAAGTCCTTATAGAAATATGTATTAGTAGTCATGGATTAACGCTTAAGACAGAACTGGCCAATGAGAAGCCATGGCACTTGTCCCCAGAGATACAAACACACAAACAAAATGAAAAGCAGTGTGTCCAGCCTAGGTGAGACTGCCGCACACTCATGTGAAATGATAGAGCGTGTTACTATATTTGGGGATGTTTGTTACACAGTGTAACATTACAGGAACTTGCTGAGACAGCCCTGGGTCAGTTGAGGGTAAAGATTCAAGTACACAATATGTATAGAAGAATCCCATTTGTGGTATTTTTGATTCTCTATATCTAAGTATACATATAGATATTTGTTTTGTTTTGTTGGTTTTTCAAGACAGGGTTTCTCTAGGTAGCCCTGGCTGTCCTGAAACACACTGTGGACCAGGCTGGCCTTGACTCACAGAGACCTGCCTGCCTCTGCCTCCTGAGTGCTGGGGTCAAAGGCATGGACCACCATGGCTCCCTAATTTTTTTTTATTTTTTATTTATTATTTTTTTTGGTTTTTCGAGACAGGGTTTCTCTGTGGCTTTGGAGGCTGTCCTGGAACTCACTCGGTAGTCCAGTCTGGTCTCGAACTCACAGAGATCCGCCTGGCTCTGCCTCCCGAGTGCTGGGATTAAAGGCGTGCACCACCAACGCCCGGCCCTAATTTTTATTTTTGATGAGATTTTGCAGGTGTGTGATTGAGTTTTGAAGACAAGAATATCCTATCACGGGGGCTGGAGAGATGGCTCAGGGGTTAAGAGAACTGTCTGCTCTTCCAGAGTCCTGAGTTCAATTCCCAGCAACCACATGGTGGCTCACAACCATCTGTAATGAGATCTGGTGCCCTCTTCTGGCCTGCAGGCAGAACACTGTGTACATAATAAATAAGTCTTTAAAGAAGAAAAAGAATATCCTATCACAAAGTCAAATGCTTGTGCATGTCAGAAGGGTCCCTTGCATCCTTGGGGTGGGAGAAACTGGTCTAAGGATTTGGGGAGCAGGATCCAGATCTGAGTTTTTTCATATTATAAAAAAGAAGAAATTTAATGTTTTCTCTTTACATTACCGTGAAGATTTAATATTTCTCTAGGAATTGGAGGGGAGATGAACGGGCGGAGGGGGCGGGGACAGCAGGGAACCAGGCCACCAGCCTCCCTGACACAGGATCCGGGCCTCCCTATGGTCACTGTGTCAGCCTGCGGCCCCCTGACCCCGGCCTAGATCCCGGCCTGCTGCACGTGCCTGTGCTCCCCACGGCCCTCGGCCTCCAGGCCCTGCAGATGGGGAACGACAGACCCCAGATCCACAGGACACCCCTGAGACGCCGCCTCCTGGCAGCTTCCAGAAGCTGCGGAACCCAGGCCAGGTACTATGGGTACCGCGGGTCCGTGGCAGCTCTGCCCAGAGAGGGCAAGGAACCTCCGCAGGGTCACACAGCCTCCTTTGCACGCGGGCTGCTCACACACCCCTCCCTCAGCATTCCCGCTCTCCTCTGCGGCGTCGAGCCCTTCTCTAACCACTCTGTCCTCATGGCCGAGTCCTCGGGGTCCGAGTCTGAAGGGACTGTGGCTGTAGCGGGAAGATAGAGGGCTTGCATACCTACCCCAAGCCCTGCCGCGCCGGGGGTGTGGAGGCCGAGGATCCTCAGCTGCAGGGGGATGGGGGTGTCCAGGAAGAGGGGACCAGAGAAAAGAAACCTCTCCTCCCTCACACGGCAGGCCGCCCCAGACAGCCGAAGGGAGGCCTCACCCCGGCCTGGCCCAGCTCCCGAGGAGCCCAGACGGCTGTGCTCAGAGTGGGGCTTTCAGCCACCCAAACCCTAGCCGACCTGGTGGAGACCTGGCCAGCCTGGCCATGACGTGGGTCCCTGCAGGATGGGCCCGGGCCGCTGGGGAGCCACCCCACATCAGGGGATTGAGCTTCCATGCCTCTGGCCCAGTGGCTAATTAATGGCACTTCTTGCTAAGCCTGGCGGCCTGAGTCCATCCCAGGAACCACCCAGTGGAAGGACAGAACCGACTCCCATAGGTTGTCCTGTGACCTGGACTTGAGCAGAGTGGAAGAAACCAGATCCACAACCATTTGGGGAACTTAGAGTCAAACAAGGCCCAGACTGACCCACAGCCCCCTTCTACCCAGTGCCTCCCTGCTGCTGTCAAAAAAAGGCCTGGGATTCGGTCCTACCTGTGATCACCTGACACCACTCCTCCCCTGCCTCCATCCTCCGAGAGGAAGTGACCCTGGGGCTGTGGGTGGAGCTTTGGGGAGGGGCGGAGCCTCTGCCTAGAATTCCCCAGTGAGGGGCTGGGGCGTGGTCAGGGCGGAGCCTCTGCCTAGGCTTCGCTAAAGAGGGGCAGAGCTCAGGGGTGAGCAATTCCAGCAGTGCCAAGCTTTGGTTGAGTTCCTCTAGAGCTCCACAAGCCACAGGAATCAAATCGATCTGGAAGCTTCCCAGGAACCCATGCCCCCAGTTCTTCCAGAAACCAGAGGTAGAAGGAATATTTCCCAACTAGTTTCTGAGGCAGCAGGTTCCACTGGCTGAGGACGGAGACTGCGCCCCCCCCCGGGCGGAGAGCCTTCACCTGTCTAGCAACTGACCCCAGCAGGTGTGCGGGATGAGACACGCGCCTCTCGTCCTGGCTCTTCAGATCCCAGGAATCTACCTCGAGGTCTGAGGCCAGCCTGTGTAACTTAGCAACACAGTCTCAGAAAACAAAAACAAAAACAAAGAAAACCCAAAAATCTCTGCTCACAGATAGCCAGGCCGAGGGTCCCTTCCTGCCGTCCCAGCGTTGAAGAGCGCTACACAGTTAGAGCCTGCCCAAACCTGGGCTGCAGTAAGTCTGTCTCAGCCGGTGAGAGGGTACAGGTGAAGGCACTTGCCACCCAGCCTGATGACCTGAGTTCTGCCCTGGGACTCTCACAAGCTGACCTCTGACCTCTGCGTGTGACAGGTGCATGCCCCGCCCATAAAATAAACATGTGAAATATAATTTTAAAGAAATTGATGTTAGGCCAGGCGTTGGTGGCACACGCCTTTAATCCCAGCACTTGATCTCTGTGAGTTTGAGGCCAGCCTGGTCTACAGAGCGAGTTCCAGGACAGCCAGAGCTGTCGCACAGAGAAACTCTGTCTGGAAGCAAATGCGTGTGTGTCCCAGCTTTTCAATTTTGGGGATTTGAACTCGGATCCTCATGCTTGATAGCAAGCATCTTTACCTACTGAGCTATCCACTGGCCCTGGAGGCCACTTCTTGTTTTCTTCATATACATATATGGGCGTGTGTGTTCATGTCTTCTGTGCACCGTGTGTGTGCAGGTCACAGGGTGGCATCAGGTCCCCGGGACTGGAGCTGTGTACCTCCCTGTGGGTGCTGGGAACTGAACCCGGGTCCTCGGTGAGAGCAGCCAGTGCTCTAACCCCTGAACCGTCCCTCTAGAGCCAGGAGGCCGCCTTCCTTCCTTCCTTCCTTCCTTCCGTTTCCTTCTTTCGTGTTTTGAGACAGGGTCTCTCTATGTAGTCCTGGCTGGCCTGCAACAAGAGGCCAATTTAGGACAATTTCTAGTAAGTTCTCTCTAGAGCCAGAGTCCACTTTCCAAGGAGTATGAGGGACCCTCCACCTTCCCGGGCAAACCGGGTTGTAATCCTCTCTGCCTAGAGCTCTCAGTGTATCCCGACGCCCCTGCAGGTAGTGTTCGTACCTTTCCCTCTGAAACTGTCCAAACATTTGTTGTTGACCGCAGGCAGCTGTGTGAACACCACGTACCCACTCACCGCTGAGGAGTCATTCATGTGACTCAGCTTACAGACAGTTAGTAGGGCTCAGAGGGGGTGGCCACTGACCTGAGGATGCACAGCCTGTCAGCCCCGGCAAGGCTCAGGATACCGGAACCTGCACATCTTAGTGACTGACAACTCACCCCTGCTCAGGAGTGGGGGGGGGATACGGCTCGTGTCACTTGCTTGGAAGGTGCCACATGGCAGGGTCAATCATAACCCGGAAGAGAATAAACACGAGGCTTTGATTTCAAAACTCGTCCCTTGGCATCAGGGCCCTCACCAAAGCTCATCATGGGGACCCCTGCGCTGTCCTCAGACCACACTGAGCTGAGCATGCCTGCCCCTCCTAGGTAGTGACATACACCCCCAAGCCACACCCATGCTCCCCGTCAGCAGAAGCCACCCTTGCCACTCAGGTGATCCATCTCCATGGCGACCTCCCATCCACAGGTGGTCGTAACCTTGGCAACCAGGTGCTAACCGCCCCACTGCCTGGAAGGCTGTGACCCTCCTACAGCTCCCCCCACCCGGCAGCCTCCCCACAGAGGCGGCTCCGAGGAGTTACAGGGAGGGGGTGGAGGACTCCAGAGGAGGCTGAGCTCAGAGACAGCAGGAGACCTCCCAATGTCACACAGCAGGTGGGTCGGGTTGTCACACCCACAGCCCTCCTCGGGTCAGCACCACAGGCTTTACACAAACACGTCTAGTGTGTCAGTTAAATGCCAGCAGCACGTGTGGCTCACGCACATCTCTGCCCTCAGCTGACACCTACGGGGACAGGAAGTGAGGCAGGGCTGAGGGGAGAGGGCCGAGAATGCCCTGGTCTCCCAGCCCTGCGCCGTGCTCCGTCACCCACGGCACTGGTTCAGGAGCAACTGCCGAGTTCCTGCAGAGAGGCCGGGCTGCAGGGTTAGGGGAAGAACAGACATAAATAGGATGAATGAGTAAATTATAGGGTATCTTGGGAAATTGCAGGGAGGCTGGGAACGGGGGACAGAAGGCGGCTGGGTGGAGATGTGAGTCAGGAGAAAGCAGGCGCAGGCGGGGCGGGCGGGCGGCTGAGGAGGGTGCTCTGCTAGGCAGAGAACGGCATATGCAAAGGTCCTGAGGTGGGAGCCGGTCCCCTCGCCCACAGCCCGGCCCGGCTCTCTCTCCACTCCAGAGCCATGAGAGAGGAGGCTGGACGGAGCCCCCACGCCCCAGTCACTAAAACTGGAGAGCCTGCGGCACTAGACTCCGGTGCTAACCCTGGATTCAGACAAGATGGGCAGGACCTCGAACGCCTGTGGCCCCAAGCGCACTTGCATCCGCCTCTGGCTTTGGCTGTAGCTCTCCCCATCCATGAAACGTACTGCACACAGTAGGCACTCAACCAATACCGCTGCCACGAGTCCACAGAATCAGGATATCACAACTTAGGGACTCAGAGAAGGTATGCAACCTGCTTGGGGTCACACAGTACATCAGTACACAGACAGGGCACCCTGGCGTGGAGTTGGAGTCTACCTCCAAGGATATTGGGGGGGGTCATTTTTTTCTAGAACTTTTCGTGGCTTGGAAGGATGCTTCCCCCACTCTTGACTTGGGGAGTGACCTGGTCCAGGGCCTCCCAGGATGTGACAGTCTGGGAATGGAGCCTGCTTGAGTCACAGGTGGCGAGGCCAACAGGGGACAGTGCAGGACATGCCCCTGGCTCCCTGCAGCTAGGCCCACAGGTCACCCCTCGCTGGGGACAAAGGCGGCTGAGCCTCCAGCACTCATGTCACAGGGGGGAGTAACCAGATGCAGTCCAGCATCCCCCCCAGGATGGATCTCACGGGGCCTCCCCCCCAGGATGGGTCTCACGGGGCCTCCCCCCCAGGATGGATCTCATGGGGCCTCCCCCCCAGGATGGATCTCATGGGGCCTCCCCCCCCCAGGATGGGTCTCACGGGGCCCCTCCCCATTCACATTCCTGTCCTGGTCCCACGGCCTGACCCCCCGACTGGAGCAGTCCACACCCCAACTCCTGTTCCCATTGGGGAGCCCCTAGTTCCCAGCCTCAGAGTAGGGGGAGTCCTGCAGCTAATGCCACTGAAAGAACAGGCACACTCACCTCTGTTGCGAAAGATTTATCTTATTTTTAACTCTGTGTGCATGCAGTCGGGAACCTGTGAACTAGAATGGGACGTTGGGTCCCTGGAGTCAGAGTTAACAGCTGGTTGGGTTGTGAGCCTCCATGTGGGTGCTGGGAACCGAACCCTAGTCTTCTGAGAGAGGCCCCAAGCTGTAACCTCTGAGCCATCTCTCTGGCTCCCCCTCACATCTCAGGGTTCTCCTATGACCCCTATGTAACATGCGTCCATCTGCCTCCACCAGGCTGTGAGTGCTGAAGCGCACCCCGCAGCCCCAGGTGCAGGGAAAGGCTTCGGGGAGAGGGGGACACGGTGGTGGCCATAGCTCCGGGTGGCAGGTGCAGGAAAGCAGGCAGGGGCGCAGTGGGGAGCCAAGGCAGGCTTTGGAACCCTCTGAGGAGCAAGGCCACTCAGGGATGAGATTTGGCAAACCGGGCAGGTATGCGGTGTGGTGCAGATGGTGGAGGCCTGGCCTGGGAGGGAGGAGGAGTTGGCGGTTTCCAGAAGGTTCCAAAGGGACAACCTGCCGTATCTGGGGAGCCCCAAGCATTTCCCGGAACTCACTGTCTGCGGAGGCCCCAGGACCGGGAGGTGCCAGGCACGCGGAGTGCCGGGGGCTTCGTCCCCATCTGTCCCCGACCGGCTCCAACACGTGTCGCGCGCGCCCCTTGTAGCTCGCGCGCGCCCTGGCCATGCGCACGGGGATGCGCGGCGGGGACGCGCACGGCGGAGCCCGCGAGGCGGCGGTGGCGGCGGCTGGTGGCGGCTCCGAGCGGCCCCCGTGCCCTGTCCGAGGCGGAGCCGCCCAGGTGAGTGGCACCGCTGCAGTCCGGGGACCCCCCCCCCGACTCTCCTCGTGCACTCCTCTCCAGCCCCTCTGCACCCCCGGGAAACTTCGGGGTCCTCCCCGCCTCCGGGAATGCAGAGCCGAGGGGACTGAGGGGCGCATCCCCGGAGCACCCTGGGGGACGCGGAATGGGGATGCGCACTGCGGCAGGGGGACACCCGGGATGGAGCTGCGGCTCGGTGCCTGCGATCCCCTGCCAGCCAGTGCAGGGCAATGCACGCGAGGTGAATTGGGGGGGTGTCTGCACGCGGGACTCGCTCACATTTGGGGTCCCGATCCCGTGAGGAGGGACCGGGTGCTAGGCAGACCCCCCCCACACTCTTCAGGCCTGTGTCCCGGTAGCAGCCAGGGCTGTGGGGGCGTCTGTCCATCCCATCCCGGAGGCCAGGCCTGTTGTACCCTGGGTCCTGGGGCCTGGCCAGTGAGGCCACTGGGCCCCATTCAACAAGTTGAGAGAGGCAAAGCTTGGGTTCCAGTCGGCCAAGGGTTCGTGTTCACACCCCACCTCCTGAGTGAGGACTCCCAACGCCTGAGTTCCTAAGACAAGGATGTCCCTCCTCCCAATGGGGAGGACTCAGAACTTGGGGGTCTGGTGCTTTTGGGAACCGGTGTTGGTGCCAAGCAGCTTTGGGGAACACTCAGAGCGCAGGCCATGCCTGAGACCCCCCACCCCCAGCCTGCAGTTTGGTTGTGGGGAAGGCTGTTGGAACTCGGAACCTGGTGGGGACTTTTCGCACAAACAGATCTGTCAGGCCGAGGGTAGCCAGGGAGGGCTCCGGGAGAGGCACCCAGGCCACAAAGGTTGTAAGAAGGGGGTTAAGGGGTGCATGGCGAGAGGGAGAGGGGCAGCCCTGGCCGCTTCCCCTCCAAGCAGCAACCGCTTCAGTGGTGTCAGGCGACCCCATAAGCGTCCCTGTCACGCAGACACCAAGTGAAGTGGGCACCCACGATGGGGTGGGGAGCAAGTGGGGGTCCCCTTAGCCTCCTAGTCGCTCTTCTGTCCCTGGTTCCTTCCTGCAATTGACACTCCATCAAGGCAACCACCCCCACCCCAGGATCAAGCGCCATGATGGGTATCATCAGCATCTGTGCATCATGCCTGGCTGGCCTCAGTGTTCCCATCTGTAGAGTGGGGGTGGCCGCTGCTACCATCCACCCCCAGACGCAGCTAGGCTGTGGTCGCGCCTCGAAGGGTGGGCGCACACAAGGTCCCAAAGCTGAGATTTTTGTGCCTCTACCCACAGGGCTGTCACTCCAGGGCACTTCTGAGTCACTATCGACTCACCAGGTAGGAAGCCTTTTAGCAGAACTTCCCAGCAACCTTCGGGGCAGGGGTGTGGGCAGCCGGGGTGAGCCGCCCACCACCTCCCCTGTCAATCATGAGCCTTGAGAACACTGAAGGGTTGGGACTTAGTAAAAACAGGGCTGGGGTGACTCTGGAATTCCAAAGCTCAGGTGAGTGATCTGACCCCCAGTCTCCTTCTCCCCCTCCCCCGAATGAGGCCGTTTCTGCTCTCAGGGCCAGCTGGTGAGCAGAGACACTGTGTACTAGGGGTTCAAGCGGTTGCAAATCTAGAAGCTTCCTCTCCTTCCCTGCTGTGGCGGGTGGTGGGGATCTACTACTCCCCTTGGGCACAAGCTACTAAAGAAATTAGGTCAGGAGGCCCCCCCACCCCCTAAAACAGTGGACAGGGACCCATGGCAGATGGGAGGCTAATTAGGACTTTAATGAATTGTCATGGATTAAAAGCCCCAGGAGGACCTAGATCTGGGACAGGAGAACGAACGAACCAGCCCTGGAGGTTGGGGGGCTGGGAGAGTGTCCCCGAAAGTGCACTCAGAGAGGAGGGGGCTTGTGGAACTGTCCTCATCCCATCTGTCTTCACCCCACTTTATCCCTATACTATTTTTGTGGTGGGGACCGGTTGGTGACGGACAGGAGCCTGTCTTCCCCAACCACACAGCCTCATCCCTCCCTTCCCAGGACAGGCCTCAGTGTCTTGTGGCCCAAGAGGGGACTAGCGACCAGGAGACACTCTGTCTCCCCTTGGACTGAACACTTCTTGTCAAATTGTCCCCAGATTCTGTAGCCAGAGAGAGCTACCTCCCAGACTGCTCCCAGGGGCCTCTAGCAGGTCCCCACAGCACCGTTTCTGCAGATATCAGACCTCAGGACCCGGCAGTCAGCACCTACATCCTCCAGCAACAGGAAACAGTGCCTGGCTGCCAGGAGACCACAGACCACTCCCTCCTCCAAACCACGGTGGCCCTGGGTGATCGTCCCCCAGGCTGCTGGAAGAAGCCACCACCTGCCACAGGGACACATGTCCTCCTCAGATCCGTGCAGGAGAGGCTAGCCCAGAGAGCACTGATCCCCAGTAGCCTCATTGTCTGGAGGCCCAGCATTCTGGGGCTCCTGGCCCCTTCCAGGAAGAGACCTGTCCCCAGGGCCCAGGATGGTTCCATTTCTAAAGGCCAAGAACAGCACCAGGCATAGAGTGAGCATCCACTAATTGTTTATTGAGCGAGTGAGTGAGTTGGAGACTTACTCCTAACCTAGGCAGCACCCAGTTGAAACTTCTAGAAGCTAGCCAGTCCATGGAGAAGCTTCTAGGCTGAGTTCTCCTTCACACCCAGCCCAGGAGTCCTGTTTGGCCTCCAGCAAAACGGGAAACTGAGGCTCTAAGAGAGACGAATGTCTCTGCCCACAGAGGCACGGTTGAGCAGACCCTGGCCCTGGGCTCTGTGTGTGCACATGTGAACACATGTGTTGGCACTCCCCTTCCACCAGGGGGTCCCAGGTATGGAGCTCAGGTCGCCATGCTTATTTCTGACCATGCCAGAGCATTCTCTTGCCCTGTATCCCTCCATGGTTCCCTATTGCCCCAGGCACTGGTACAGGAGTGACCTGATCCCACGGTGCTACCCATCCCTGGCCCTGCAGCCGAGGACTTACCTCCTCCCGGAAGGTTTTCCAAACCTTCATCTGATTTATTTTTCTGTTCATTTGTCCTTCGTGAGCGACAGGAATGGGAGGCAGCTGGCCACCAAGTGTGGGACTCCGTGATAGGAAATGTCCCAGAATGGGGGAATCCGGGGACAGGACAATGATTTGTGGATCCCCAGGGACTGGAGAGGGGAAGGGGTGACGGATGATGGAGCTGGGGGGACCCTTTTGGGATGATGGAAGTTTGAGATAGAGGTGTTTGTTGTGTGTACTAAGAGGTCCTGGGTTTCCTCTGGAAACCGTGGGGCCTGAGCTAAGGGTTGGAAACGCAGTCACTGGACAGGCTGGACCCTGCACAGCCTGCCCGGCTCCCAGGCCTTGCCAAGGCCACTGCAGTGACTTCTCATGCATATTAATGAGCTGTGTCCTTGAAGCCATAGGCTTGGCTCTTCCTTCCACAGGTCCACAAGGGCTTACCAGACCCCTAGAGCCCAGCAAGGGCGATCTCAGGAGTGGCTGCATGACCCAACCCAGGCAGCAGACATCAAGGTTCCACCAGGGATGGGGGTGAGGGAGAGGCCAGAAGGTTCCAGATTCTGGTCCATGAGACAGCTGTCTGCTCCTATTGTCTGGTGCAGAGCCTCAGAGGGGCCTTTGGGGACAAAAACTGTCCCTTTGTTTATCCTTTAGTTTTGCAGTGTTAGGAATGGAACCCAGGATCTCTTTCGCTAGACCAGTGCTTCACCCCTGACCACGCCCCCCAGGCCCTCAGTGGGGGATTCTAGGCGGGCTTCTCCCCCCCCCCCAGCCACACTCCAGTCCTATTTTCCTGTTTTACATTTTAAAAAAAATTTTAGTTGTTTTTTTGTTTCTTTGTTTTTTCAAGACAGGGTTTCTCTGTGTAGCCCCGGCTGTCCTGGAACTCGCTCTGTAGACCAGGCTGGCCTGGAACTCACAGAGATCCGCCTGCCTCTGCCTCCTGAGTGCTGGGGTTAAAGGAAAGCACTGCCATGCTTGGCTAGTTGTCCCCCAGATTTATTTATTTATTTTATGTGTACAGTATGTTGCCTGCATGTCTGACTGCACCACATGTGTGGAGTGTCCCAGGAGACCAGATGAGGGAGTTGGCCCCCCTGCAAACGGAGTTACAGGGGTTGTGAGTGGATGCTGGGACCCAAACCCAGCAGACCATCAGGAGCTCTAGCCCCTTCCCCTTTTTTATTTGGAGAGGGTCTCCCTAAGTTACAGCTTGTCCGGAAGTTCACAGTCCTCCTGCCTCAGCGTCTGGGGTCCTGGGATAGCCCCCAGTAGGTCTGGGGCGTCTTTTTATTTTTATTTTTTTGACAGAGCTGCCAGCACCCGGTGGGGTGTCTGGGGGTGGAGCAAAGCACCCCTTTTTCTGCCTGGGTCAGACAATGAGGAGCCAGGACAGCCGGGAGCCGCCACATGTGAGATTGGGATTTGAGGAGCTAATCTGGGAGATGCCAGAGATGGAGTCCTCCATCCTGGAGTGGGGCAGCATTGAGGGGAGCCCAGGGTGACTCGCACAGGACGGAAGGTGACCATTTACCAAGTCCTCTCACTTGTCTGCACTTGGGAGACTGGGGCAGGGGCATTGCTGACAGTTTAAGGCCTGCTGGGGCTATAGTGTCTCAGAAGCCACAGAGATGGTTTTGCGGGTGTCCCTCTCCGAAGCCACAGAGGGTGAAAGGATTGGTGTCAGCTCAGGGCTCCGAATCAGCCCAGGACCCTCAAGACAAAGCTCTCAGCACAAAGGAAATATATCTGCCCCAGAGGACAGAGGGACAAACACAGGAGATAGAGGACAAGGAAGAAGGGGAAGGCTACTTCTGGATAGAGAGGAGACAGGAGGACCCATAGGAAAATGGTGGTTTACAAAGGTACAAGAGGAACCCCATGCTAGAATGAGGGGTCTGTATTAACTGGGCATATTAATTAGGAGAGCCAAAGGGGGCTTTTGATTGTTGGACTTCAATATGTTGGTAGTTGGACCTTGATGATCAGCCTTAGGAGGACCAAGTGGCCAGGACCTTGGGTGCTGGCTTTGGAATGTAATCTGACAGTTTAGCAAGGAAGGCCTGCCAGAGACATGCTTGCCCTGCTCTGGAGGGGCAAACAAGGGACAGAGAAACCAGCCCATCCAACTGCACCCCACAGCCCCCTTCCCAGTGCCCACGACACCCTCTCCCTGTCTTCGTCAAAGTCAGGGACCTCATCCCAGAGGCCCAGTACCCAGTGGCAGGAGAGCCCCTGGAATTCCGATTCCCCACATCACCAGGGATCTGGAGCCTTCTGCTGCTTCTGGGTTTCAGAGGCCCAGAGAGGGTTTGCTCTTGCCTGGAGTGTCCTCTCAGCTGAGAGGAACGAGATGGGGAGATGGATTAGGAGCCTTGACTGCCATCCACCTACCCCAGCAAACGCCAAGAGAGGGCAAGCTTGCTCCTTCAGGCACACAGTAATAAGGGGCCAGGCGCTTCAGATGGCCGCCCCCCCCCCCAGCTCCTGTGGCTTTGCTAACACGCCCTGCAGAGGAGATGACAGGGCCGGGCCTGCCGGGAGAGGTTAGAGTTGAGAAACTAGGTCACCCTTTGCGTGGCCCCTGCTGCGGTGGCACACAGCTCTGCTGTCCCTGCGTGGTGGAGTAATTATAGACAAAGTACCTGCCAGCGCCCTGAAGGCATCTGGTGACCAAGGCTAGAGTGCATGCAGGGGCCATCAGGGACGGTGCAGGAGGCAGTGACAGACAGACTCCTGGCCTGCCAGTCCGTGGCACCGGCTATCAGACTGGAGGCAGAAACAAGGAGGAGTAAGTAGGTGTTCAAGACCACCCACATAGATGGTTCCAGGCCACCCTGGGCTACCTGAGGCTCCAGCTCAAAGACACAGCTGGGGAGGGGGGAAGGGCTGGGGTCCAGGAGTGAGCACTGGTGTGGCTTGCAGAAGGCTGTGAGCAAAGAGGCGATAGGGAAGGCTCAGCCGTGAAGTGCTTGGGGCACAAGCCTGAAGATCTGAGTTCAAATCCCAGCCACCCACTTGAGAAGCCAGCACCGAGAAGTAGGAGGGTCCCTGGGGACCCTGGCTGGACAGCCCAGCCCAGTCAGCAGATTCTGGGTCCCACTGAGAGACTCTGTCTCCAAAAGCGGAGAATGAACGCCAAGGACTGCATCCCACACTGGGCTCCAAGCGTGCGGACACACACCACGGAAAGACAGACAGACAGGGAAGGTTCTAGGCGGGGCTCCACCTTGACCACGCCCCAGCCCCTCACTGGGGAGCCTAGGCGGGGCTCCACCCTCCACCCTGACCACGCCCCAGCCCCTCACTGGGGACTCCAGGCAGGGATTCTCCTCCGCTCCTGTGCCTTCCAGTCTGTCCTCAGAAGCCTGGCATACTCAGTCGCCAGGGCTGCCAGTCCGCTCTGCGGAACACTAAGAAGACAGGCGGACCGGCGCAGACTGAGAGGTCTTGCCTGGGCTTCAGCTGCTAACATGCCATCAGTAGCTGCCTGGCAGATGGGAAGCCGCGCTAGGCCCAGGCGGTCCAGTGCTGCTGCCCCTCCCCCACCGGGCCCCTGGGTCTGGGAGGAACCGTGGTGCAGCGTCGCTGGGCAGGCACTGCAGGAAGTCTCAGTATCACCGGAGCCTTGGCCTCCCGCCCCTCTGGCCCTCCCTCCCACCAGGAGTCAGGGTCTTTGCTAGAGTAACCCACAGCCTGGGGCCACGAACTGGGTGTCCACGGAGGGAGGCGTCCTGTGCCACAATTCCAGACTGCAGACAGTCAGACACAGGGTGTCCACTAGGCCTGGCATACTCGGGTCCTTCGAAGGCCCTGGGCAGGGTCCTTCTTGTCTCTTGGATTCCGAGGCTCCGGTATCACACAGCTCTGCCTCCATCTTTAAGGTTAGTCTTGACTACATAGTGAGTCTGAGGTTAGCCTGGGCTACAAGAGAGCTTGTTTTGTCATACTTGTGTGGATGGCCCGCTCTGCTCTGTGTTTCTGCTGTCTGTCATGCACACTGTCACCGTGGGTATCCATGTGCAGGCTTCCCGGATGGGCTGTCATGACATGTCAACGTCCCTGGGCGTGGCCATGGATAATGATGCCATGTTCCCCCTTCCCATTCCAGGTGTCCTGGACGATGCTGGCGTGGCCCTAGGCCCAGACCCTACACCATGACCTGCTGGCTGCGTATGCTGGGCCTGCACCTGCTTCTGCTGCCCACGGCGCCCCCCCTGGCCGCGGGCTGTCCGGCGCGCTGCGAGTGCTCGGTGTCCACCCGCACAGTGGCCTGCGGCCGCCGCCGGCTGACAGCCATCCCCGAGGGCATCCCGGCTGAAACACGCCTGCTGGAGCTCAGCCGCAACCGCATCCGCTGCCTGAACCCCGGGGACCTGGCCTCGCTGCCCACCCTGGAGGAGCTGGACCTCAACCACAACGTGATCGCCCATGTGGAGCCCGGGGCCTTCGCCAACCTGCCCCGCCTGCGCATCCTGCGTCTCCGTGGCAACCAGCTGAAGCTCATCCCGCCCGGCGTGTTCACGCACCTGGACAGCCTCACGCTGCTGGACCTGAGCGAGAACAAGCTGGTCATCCTGCTGGATTTCAGCTTCCAAGACCTGCGCAGCCTGCGGCGACTGGAGGTGGGCGACAATGACCTCGTGTTCATCTCCCGCAGGGCCTTCGCGGGGCTGCTGGGGCTAGCCGAGCTCACCCTGGAGCGCTGCAACCTCACGTCGCTGTCCCCCGAGTCGCTCGGCCACCTGCGGGGCCTGGGCGCCCTGCGCCTGCGCCACCTGGCCATCGCCGCCCTGGAGGACCAGAACTTCCAGAAGCTTCCGGGCCTCTCACATCTGGAGATCGACAACTGGCCTCTGCTGGAGGAGGTGGCCCCGGGGAGCCTGCGAGGGCTGAACCTCACGTCTCTGTCCATCACGCACACCAACATCACGGCTGTGCCGGCCGCTGCGCTGCGACAGCAGGCCCACCTGACGTGCCTCAACCTGTCGCACAACCCCATCGGCACGGTGCCCCGGGGCTCCTTCAGGGACCTGGTGCGCCTGCGCGAGCTGCACTTAGCCGGGGCCATGCTGGCTGTCATAGAGCCGCAGGCCTTCGTGGGGCTGCGGCAGATCCGCCTGCTCAACCTCTCGGACAACCTGCTGTCCACGCTGGAGGAGAACACGTTCCATTCGGTGAACACGCTCGAGACGCTGCGCGTGGACGGCAACCCGCTGGCCTGCGACTGTCGCCTGCTGTGGATCGTGCAGAGGCGGAAGACCCTGAACTTCGACGGCAGGCTGCCCGCCTGTGCCACCCCCGCCGAGGTGCGCGGCGACGCCCTGCACAACCTCCCGGACTCGGTGCTCTTCGAGTACTTCGTGTGTCGCAAGCCCAAGATCCGGGAAAGGCGGCTGCAGCACGTGACCGCCACGGAGGGGGACGACGTGCGCTTCCTGTGCCGCGCCGAGGGCGAGCCCACGCCCACGGTGGCCTGGGTGACGCCGCAGCACCACACGGTGACGGCTGCCAGCCGGGGCCGGGCGCGGGTGCTGCCTGGGGGCACGCTGGCCGTCGCGGATACGCGGCCCCAGGACAGCGGCACCTACACGTGCGTGGCCAGCAACGCCGGGGGCAATGACACGTATTTCGCCACCTTGACTGTCCAGCTGGCTGCCAACCGGACCCAGGGCGATGGGCACAACGAGACACAGGTGGGCGTCCGGTTCCCGCTGGACCTCACCACCATCCTGGTGTCTACCGCCATGGGGTGCATCACCTTCCTCGGCGTGGTCCTCTTCTGCTTCCTGCTGCTCTTCGTGTGGAGCCGAGGCCGTGGACAGCACAAGAATAACTTCTCTGTAGAATATTCCTTCCGCAAGGTGGACGGTCCTGTGGCCGCGGCCGGCCAGGGCGGCGCACGCAAGTTCAACATGAAGATGATCTGAGCGGGCCCGTGGTGGGCTGGCGGGAGAGCCCCTCGGACCTCCATGCAGTCCCAGATAACCTCCACCTACGCGTGTTTTTTACCCAAGGGTTAGCAGCCAGCTCACGGGCAGAACTTCGTTTTTGTAGACGTCTGCAGGACTGGTTTTGAGCAGATCACACCTTTTGCAGTTCTTGAAGTGTTTTCTATCAGTTTCAACCTGTCTCTTTCCTGCTGTGGATGCAGGCTGGGACACTCAGGGTCCAAGGTTCCCTACTCAGCAGTCAGGTCCGCAGATGTCCTGGTGGGAGGCACCTGTGCACACTGGACAGACACAGCACTTACAGTAGGTGTGCTCACGGTGACACAGTTTGGCATACACAGGGCCCAAGGCTGCAGGGCCCCTGGCTGTGCAGTAGCCCAGCTTTGTTCACTGCCACTCAGCCATAGGTCAACTGGGGCTGCCCCAGGCCCTGCTGAGTGGCTGGAGTCACAGAGGAAGCCCCCATGCCCCCAGGAACTTCCACCTGCCAGGAGAAGCCATGTTCCCATGTCCCTAGAGACCCCCCACCCTACCTAGCAGTGCTGGACATCTGCTCGCTGGAGGAGTAACTACGTGGGTCCTCGAGACAGGCCAGCCATATCCACTCAGCTGCTCTGAGCAGGGTGAGCAGCAGGGGCTCACACCTGGGAGCCTCTCCAACCAGGTTCCTTCCCGGGCACCCACTTCTGCCCCTTCAGCTAGGGCATTGTTGAGGGAGGGGGCAGAGGCACTGTAGGGCTTGGCCAGTTCTCCTGCCCTGCCACGCTGTGACACCAGTGGGCCACTTGGTCTGAGCTCGCAGCTGAGGCCGGGTCTCACGGAGCCCTCCTGACTGTCTAAAGGCAGCTTCGTGGAATCGAAGACTCACACTAGCTTGACTGCTCTGAACTTGGCTGGGAACACGGGGACCCTTTGGTCCTGCCCCTCCCAACCTTTGCATCACACACAAACTGGTCAACAGGACACGTGACTGGGTGGATTGGCATTTCCCATCCCTGAGCAGGACAGGAATGACCCCTTTGGTCCTGGAGCATCCTCTTAGCCCCTGTTGCCATGGCAACCCTGGGGCCCCTCAAACCAACCAATGAAATCCAAGTGCCTTTAGAGTCATTAAAAGACAGGAGGGGTGCACTCATGGCAGGGTTAGGGGTCACAAAGTGTCAGTACGCTACATTGGGGTTCTCCATTCCCAAGCTCTATCCTCACCTGGCTGTGTTCTACTGAAATCCAATAAAACAGACTGATTTAATACAAAAGTCAGATTTTATTATTGTTCCCATGGGAGGGGCGAGGGGAGACAGTGTTTGGGTCCCTCACTCAAGGCTCTGGCTGCAAGGGTGACCCAGGAGAGAACCTGGAGGTGGTGTGGAGGCCAAGGCATGAGGATCAGGAGTTCAAGGTCAGCCTCAGCTGCGTAACAAACTGGAGGCTGAGCTGTTTCTAGACCTCAGAGCCGAGGCTGGGGCTCACATAGCATGCTGGAAACTTTAGTTCTACCTTACCTTACCTCAGACACAGGGTATGGACAGCAGCTGCGGGACACGCCTATCATCTCATCAGGAGCTAAGAGCTCTAGGGCAGGTGGGCTACAGAGAGATAGTTTCAAAACAAATAGGAAAGACTGGGAAAGTGTAGGTGGCCATGGCAGGCTGTGGAAGCCAGATGGGTGACACCTTTACAGTGCAGAGGGGCCAGTGACTTTCCCGTGGCCATACAGCAGACAGACCAGGGCTGAGAGAGTTCTCTGGCAGACAATCCGCAAGCTCTGTGGCTGGAGAGAGGCACCCAGGACGGTCCCACGGTGTGCCTTGTGTGTAGCTCCCCTAAGTGGTCGCTGAAGCTCTCGGCTGACACTAGCCTGTCTCCCCCATAGGTGGCAGGTGTAAGCCAGCATGCCCATCTTTGCGCCTCCAGTACCCCTGACTCAGGGCTTGCTCACATCAGGGTCTCACCTTCAGGCTCTGTCCCAACATCCCAGCCTTGAGGGTGCCAAAGGTGGAGAGGCCCTGGGAAGGCAGGCCCTGCCCACACTGGGCCCTGCCTAACAGTTGTCCTAAACGCCTTTCCACCTGGGTCTGACATTCTCTTGTCAAGGGTGAGTTGCTGCAGGCCCCTGCTAGTGTTGGGGGCTGAGTTCTTGGGGACCAGGACCTGTATGCAGAGGCTCATCTCTGTGTCCTCTGGGCCTGACATTATCCCTGTCCCAGACATGGCATGGGTGCTTCCCCGTGTCCTGAGAGATGACTGACGTCCTATGGGAGAAATAAGTTCGGGGAAAGCAAGCAGCCCATGAGGACCACGCAGCAGCATTAAGCTGGGGTCACAGAATTAGAGTCCAGGTGTGCCCTCCATCTCAAGGGGTCCTTGGAGACTTCATCAATCTCAAAAGGTACCTTTACCTCTGTCATTCTCTGCCTACATGTGCCCCCAAATCCCCGCATTAGCAAGAGTAACTGTCACCCACTGGGGACTGCTGAAGTGCTCAGCCCTCAGCAGGGAGTCCTGCTGAGAGCCTGGCTGGGGAGTGGGCGGGAGGGAGGGGCGGAAGGCTACCTGGGCTCAGGAAGAAGTCACAACCCTGAGGGCCTATATAGGGCACTTTATGGTCCAAACAAGAGAAAACGTTCCCTACCTGCGGTCCATGCCTGTTACTCCAGCTTCTTGGGAGGTTGAGGCAGGATTATTTTGATACCAAATTGTATGTTGTGAGATCCTACCTCAAAATAAAAAAATAGGCCTGGCTCAGGGATGGATGCCCAGATGGGGCTGAGGACGTGGTCAGTGACAAGTAGTCACCTAGCATGACACAACCACAACACAAGCACTAGACACAGCTCAGCTGAAATCTGAGTCTCACCAGCACCATGTTGGCTGGCTTACAATAGCTTGTAACTCCAGCTCCGATGGATTCAATGCCCATGATTCCCTCAGACAACCCACACACATGCTGTATATTAAAAACGATAAAAATAGTCAGGCATGGTGCCGTTCACCTTTAAACCCTGTACTTGAGAGGCAGAGGCAAGAGGATCTTTGTGGCCAGCCAGATAAGAGTCAGACGCCATCTCGAGGGAAGGAAATAAGATGGAGAAGAAACAGAGGCCGGCTGTGTGCCTAACACCACTGGACAGTCTCCTGGCTCCGCCTGCTGTCAACCCCTGCACACATCAACATTTTTTTTCAACTCAGCGTTTCTCTATGTAGCTTTGTAGACCAGGCTGGGTTTGAACTCACAGAGATCTGCCTGCCTCTCTGCCTCCAGTGCTGGGATTAAAAGCATGTGCCACCATCATCTGGCCAACACATGAACTATTTACCTGAGTAAAGCTATTGGGGACATCTGAGAGCACATTTTAGGAACATGACACTGTGAACATGTGGTTGGGGAGCTGGAGAGGCTATCTGCAGCCTTTTGCTTTAGTCTGGCTGTGTAGTCCAGGCTGGCTTGTAACACACGAAGACAATGGGCACTGCCTTGTTATTTCCTAGGGAAGTTGTGGTCAGGGAGAGCTGGCCACAGGGAAAGGGGGAGCCTGGAGCCCTGACCTCTCCACAAGGCTTGGGCTATAGGTCCTTAATTGGTAACACCCCAACTCTCCCCATCCCGCCTCCCTCGGGGTGTGGCAAAGGTGCAGTGCGGGTCACCCCAACACCAGAATCTCTGACTGGTGCCCTCACAGCTGAGTCCCTGGACCCCTATGAGGGTGGCTCATTGTCATTAGCATGTCTGTGACTAAACATGTGTAACCCACAGTACCTCCATGTGCCCAGGACAGCCAGGCACTCCAAGGGTGGATGATGCCTGAACTTGGAACGGCTTGGCCACTGCCAAGGTCTAACCTTAAGACTTCTTCACTGTAGCCACCAAACCCTCAACAGAGCCCCTGTGGCTGAGCGCCATGCGAGGACACGCTGGCACACAGCAGGCTCTCAGTGGCCTGAAATGACACTAGTTTCAGCTCAGGGCCCTTCCTGGACACAGCTTAACCCTGTGCACTAGTCTGGCAGACACCATGGCACAGGTGGTGGAAGGGACCCTTTGGTGCTCAGTCCCCACCCATTCGCCCTTGTTGGGCCCTCTGACCGGCTGCAAACACTAAAGCTTACCCTAACCCTGCCCACACCACTGCAAGAGCACCCACATCTGTACCCCAACAGCTCAACACATACTTCCTGTCCATCCTGTCCCCCACACACATCTTCACAATCGTCCAAGACAACCCAACCCCACCACCCACTTATGCAGTGCCTCAGCAGTTAGGTGCCTGAAGGCCAACCACAAAATCCCAGAACCCTCCCTGGTTCTGAGCCACAGCTGCCAGGAGCCCAACCCAGCCCCAGGGGCAGGACACAGACACAAGTCAGTGAGCGAGATCACTTTATTGGGTTTGAGCCAAGGGAGGTGACACTATCTATCTCTGCCAGGCTTCAAAGGAGGCTGCGCTAACACAGGTCACCTGACCATCTTAAACAGCAATAAAAACAGTAAAATAGAAACCTTTATTTAGAATTAAAGCCAACACTTGAGTGTGACAAACACAGCATTCAGCTCGGAAGAAGCACCCGCTAATGGAGTGAGCGTTTATTCTGCACAATCAGGACATGTGGACAAACCCGGGAGAGGCACAGGGACACGGGCAGGGCCGGCACCTAGTCCTCTCTCTCCAGCGTGTAGACCATGAAGCAAGCGTCGGGTCTCTTGGGGACGAGGGGATGCCCGGGTCTCACAATCTCAAAGCCAAGAAAGCTGAAGGTTCGGAGTAGGGCGGCTGGGGGGCGAGGGGGCAGAGTCAGAGCCTGGGGTGACACAGCTTCCCTCCCTGGGGAGCCCGCAGCAACACCCACCTCTGTCCTCACGGTTCTTGGGGAAGCAGATGAAAACGTGGTCGGCCTGGAGCTGCTCCTCCGCGAACTCCAGGAGAGCTGCGAAACTGAGGGGGGCATGCGGCCATGTTAGCCACCTGGGCCCAGATGCCAGATCCCTGCAGCCCCAGGAGAAAATAATGGCCCACCTGTCCTTGCTGCCCTCAGGCAGGGGCCCAGCTGGGAGCTCGATGTAGAGGCCACCGCCGTTCCACACCGCCCTCCAGGTGACCTGCTTGGCCTCCGTGAGCGTGGACTGGATGCTCAGAACCCTGGTCTTGTCGTTAGACGTTGGCTCCTCTGTCACATTCAGCCGCTCATCCTGGGGGAGCAGGGCTGTCAGGACAGGCAGCTCACCCGGCAGGGGCAGGCACCAGGGCTCCCCACAGGTACTCACGGAGTAGAGGACGCTAGCTGAAAGACTGTGATCCCGCTGACTGTTCCCTCGCCCACCTGGGATCTTCAGGGGTGGGTGAGGGACATCAGGAGCACCACCGAGGCCCCGGACCCAGGTTACTACAGCAATGGAGGGCGGCCCTAGAACTGCAGCAAACAGTGCCAGAGGGGAAGTAAGTGCTGGGTCTCCAGGACTTTCCCTCCAGAGCCACCATGGCCAGTGGTCCCAGCTCACTGTCCCTCACCTCTGAGGCTCGGCCCCTTCTGGAGCCATCAGGTCCTCAGGCTGTGTCATTTTAGCACTGTGGTCCACAGCGGGGAGCTGGGCCTTCCCACTCCGCAGGCTGCCAAGGCAACCTCCCATTCTAGGCCACCTCGATCCCGTCTAAAGCTCAGGCCAGCCCTCGAGTAAAGCCCCACCCTCCCCTTTGCAACTACCAGCGGTCCCCAGCTTCACCTCAGCCAACCTCACTCCAGCACTGGAGTCAGAGAAGCCAGTGCCCTCCCTCCTACTGTCACCCAAGGCCCTCCCCCATGGCCTTCAGGTCAGGGCCTTCAGGTCAGACCCTCCATGCCAGCAGAGTTACTGCACAGACTTCAACGGCCAGGTGGATCCAAGTCCACACCCCACCCAGAACCACGCTCCACCACCGCTCCTTTTCCTGGGACCCAGCAGCTCACAAATCACACCCTGCCATGCCAGCCCCCCACTCCCAAGGTCCTCACAAACTGACCCAAGTCAATCCAGTCCCGGAGCCCTCAACGAGCAAACGCCGCCAAGACCCAGCTAAACCCTAAGTCTAATACCCAACCCGCGACAACGCCCCAAGTTCAGACCCCAGACTCTCCCACCATAAAGTAAGTCCTCAACCTGAAGGCAAACATAATTCGAGTCCCTCCCCAACAGCACCCCAAATCCGAGTCTTTTGCAGAGACCTTCCAGATCCGATCAGAGCCCCTGCTGTACAGAACGTACGGTTTGTCAACCCACGCCCCC